AAAGCTTATGGCCTCCTAGAGTAAGCTCTACCTCACATACCTGTCTCTTGGTCTCTCCTAAAAGGCAGCACTTTACTCTCTTCTCCAGCTCGGCTTCACACCCAACTTATTTGATTGCTATTTCCTGTCCTAATGTGTTTTATACCCCACCTTCTATAGACTGTAAGCTTGTCTGAGCAGGATCCTCTTCAACCTATCGTTCCTGTAAGTTTTCTTGTGATTGTCCTGTTTATAGTTAAGTCCCCGCTCTCATAATATTGTAAAGCACTACAGAATCTATTGGCGCTATATGAATGGTAATAAAAATAATAATAACAAAAGTCAAAGCATTAACACCCTCAAATCAGAGTACAAGTTTCTGCCTTATGAGCTCTCACTCATACATAGTGGGCGTCAGATCCGGTAATGCAAAGGTTTTCAAGGCTCTTATTCATATCAGATGACTTCCAAGCCTTTTTATCCTCTATTGGGCCTACCAACAACTTTACAATGCCTATCTAAATCACATTTTAAACCCAGCCTGGAAATCTCTATCTTCTTGTTACAAAGTTTTTATGAAAGCTATTACTACTGCTAAAACATTTTTGGAAATCCAGTTCCTGTCAAGAGAAGAGCCATTCACCCACATTAGTAATGAGGTAGTTATTATGTATCCAGTTCCCGAATTTCTCTCTAAGGTTGTATTTAAAGGGACACTATAGTCACCAGAACAACTACAGCTTATTGAGTTTGTTCTGGTGAGTAGAATCATTACGCTGTGTAAAATGACACAGAGCACTGTGATTGGATGGATTTCAAGCCATCCAATCACAGTGCTCTGTGTCATTTTACACAGGGTGGGAAAGTTCTTTGGAATTTTCCCATGCTGTGTAAAATGACACAGAGCACTGTGATTGGATGGATTTCAAGCCATCCAATCACAGTGCTTTGTGTCATTTTACACAGCGTGGGAAAGTTAAATTTTCCCACGCTGTGTAAAATGACACAGAGCACTGTGATTGGATGGCTTTCAAGGGGTGGGGGCCGGGGGGGGAGGACAGTAGGTCCCCCCCCTCATTATCTTTGTGGCCCCCACCCGCCGCCCAGGGGTGGAGGCCGGGGGGGCAGTAGGTCCCCCCCATTATCAATTTGGCCCCCACCCACCGCGCAGGGGTGGGGGGTCAGTAGGTCCCCCCTCATTATCAATATGGCCCCCACCCGCCGCGCAGGGGTGGGGGCTGGGGGGGGCAGTAGGTCCCCCCCCTCATTATCAATATGGCCCCAACCCGCCGTGCAGGGGTGGGGGCCGGGGGGGGCATTAGGTCCCCCCTCATTATCAATATGGCTCCCACCCGCCGCGCAGAGGTGGGGGCAGGGGGGACAATAGGTCCCCCCCTTATTGTTCATTTTAGGGCCCCCACCCACCACTCAGGGGTGGGGACCGGGAGGGGACAATAGGTCCCTCCCTTATTGTTCATTTTAGGGCCCCTACCCACCGCTCAGGGGTGGGGGCCGGGGGGGACACAATAGGTCCCCCCCTTATTGGTATTTTTAGGGCCCCCATCCACCGCTCAGGGGTGGGGGCCAGGGGGAGGACAATAGGTTCCCCCCCTATTAGTATTTAGGGCCCCCACCGGGGGGGACCCTTTTTTTTTTTAAACAGTGAGCAGCCAGAGGCTGTTTAATAGACATGCGAGTAGGGGCACAATTTACTAATACTAAGTAATTTTTACTTAGTATTAGTAAATTAATAGGGGGCGGACCGAACATCGCATATGTTCGCCATCGGTGGCGAACGCAAACACGCTATGTTCGCCAGGAACTATTCGCCGGCGAGCCGTTCGGGACATCACTATTAGAAATCCTTCCTGGGTCATGGCTGCCTAAAATGCATCCAAACATGCAGTATCTCCTCCCTCTGCATGCAGACACTAAACTTTCCTCATAGAGATATATTGATTCAATTCATCTCAATGAGGAGATGCTGACTGGCCAGGGCTGTGTTTGAATCATGCTGGCTCTGCCCCTGATCTGCCTCTTTCTCAGTCTCAGCCAAACGTACGGGGAAGCACTGTGATTGGATGAGGCCACTACTTCTGATGATGTCAGCAGACAGCTTGTTTGTTTTTTTTTAGGCAAACAGCATGCAGAGTTACAGCTTCTGGCTTGAATACAGTAAGATTTTGCTATATTTATGGAGGCATGAGGTACCCAGGGGGGCTAGATGGTGGTGTTAACACTATAGGGTCAGGAATACATGTTTGTGTTCCTGACCCTATAGTGATCCTTTAAGTTTCACTTATCCCAATCCTATCTTCCTCTTTTCCAAATCTGACCTCAGAAACCAAGTGACATATTCTAGATGTTCTAAGATATCTTATAAGATATTTGGTTTAAACTTTGGAGTTCTACAAGACTTCCCAGCCTTTTGTCATTTCTGATGTTCAAGGAACAGTGAACCAGCCTCTAAGGCATACTCGTCCGCCGGATCTACAGATTCTCCTCATCTGAAAGCTAACTCAACTAGGCCTGTGTCTAACTCTTTGGGATCTATGGCAAAGGTATTGGTAGAAAACATTGCTACAAAGCATCATGTTCTTCTAAAAACAATTTAGTTAAACACTACCATCTAAATGTCCGTTCCATTGAAAAGTGCTAATTTTGGCAGCAAATTTCAATTTAGCTTTAGTCTTAGTCTTTTGACTAAAAAAAGATTTTAGTTTTAGTTGTATTTTAGAAATCAGAATTGTTTTAGTCAACTAAATCTCTAGTAGATTTTAGTTGACAAAACTAAAATCTAATGGGTTCATTTAAAGCCTCTTATCTCTCTTTTATCCCATTCCTGCCCCTTTGTGTGTGTCCCCCAGACCCACTCTGGGTGTCTCTTTTGCCACTTCCCCAGCCCATCTTTGGCTCTTTGCCCCCCCCCTCCCAGCCCCTATGTGTGTCTTTCTCTTCATAGCCCCATTTGTAAGTCTCTTCCCCCAAGCACCTTGTTTTATCCCCCCCCCCAAACCCCTCCATGTGCTCATCCCCCCAGCCCCTCCATGTGTCTCATTCTCCCAGCCCCCTCATGTGTTTCATTCTTTCAGCCCCCTCATGTGTCTCACTCTCCCAGCCCCCCATGTGTTTCAATCCCTCAGGCCCCGATGTGTCTAATTTCCTCTCCTCCCTCACCCATGTGTCTTACCTGCACCAGTGTTAAGCTTGGTGGCAAATTTCAATTTAGTTTTAGTCATAGTCTTTTGACTACAAAGCCATTTTAGTTGTATTTTAGTCATCAGAATTGTTTTGATCAAGTTTTAGTTGACTAAAATCTGACTAAAATTGTTAGTCAACAAAATTAACACTGCAGTAAAGGACTCCAAGTTTGGCAATACGTGTCTATATTCTGCAGCAACATGGTGTCGTACCCTTCATTGACACAATGGTATAATCTCATCTGTTGCTATGGTTAGTCAGAAAAACAGACACTCTTTTCCTGCTTTTTCCATGACCGCATCACAGGATCCCTTCCTTCAGTTATGTTGTTTTTTTTTCTATAGTTATAATGAGACTAATGGGAATTGGGAAGGAGGGAGAGATAGGGAATATTTAAATTTTAATTGTGTAATTGTATTTATAACTCCAGTCGTGTAGCTTAGGCGAATCTCCATCTGTGATCTGTGATGCTGCCATGGAAAATAATATTATGGTATATCTATTCAATCTTCTAGACTACTGTTCAGCATTACTGAATATGTTGACTCTTAAAATAATAATAATATTTTAAGAGCCAGTGGAATGTCCAAGGAGATATCGGACTGCCATTCTGGGGTCAAGAAGGATTTTTTCCCCCTTGTTTGTTGCATATCAGACTTTTTTGCCTTCTTTTGGATCAACAGCAAAAACAAATGTGAGAAAGGCTGAACTTGATAGACGCATGTTTCTTTTCAATTATGTAACTGTGTAATAGATTTTAAACTCCAGGAAGTACCCTCTTCATGTCTTGTATCTGTCAGTTTCTTTGTTTGTCAGTTGATTGCGGTTATATCCTCACTATATAATTAAGTGCTGCAGAACAAGCTAAACAAATGCCAATAGTATCCACACAAACTTCCATTCTCTCCGACACACTAAGCTCATTATACCACAATTCTAGGACAACATAACAAACTATGACAGTAGGTATGCATTAATTATTGCAGCCAAATGTAATTTTTATACTCGTCCTCAGAGGAAAATCTTATTTTATGAGCACCAAAAAAAACGTGTGTGCACAGGGAATCTCTTCACTACTGTTACTAAGCGTTCTACATAATTACACCACAAGGGTAACGCCATAAAACCATTATCAATTTTAAATATACCCCAGAGTCAGGAATAAAACCTCCTCTGAAAACCATAAGAACGAAAGAGTTGTCTACTAGATGCTGCACTAAAACTCTCTGGTAAATATTTTTTTAGAAAAATACTTTATAAAAAGCATAAAAGATTAACATACAAGGTGAAAAAAACACCATGTAAAACGCCCAGAAGTAGAAATAGAAGTAAAATAAAAATTAAATAAATTTTTTTTTTTAAAACAATAATACTTTTGAGCTAATGATAACTAAAAATTTTATTTAATTAGAATGTAATTTTATTAAATCGTTCTAAGCAATAATGCTTGGCAATAAAAAGCTCACCAATATTCAACATATAGAAAATCTCAGAATAGGACACCAGTGCATAAATACATAATATGCCAAAAAGGATATACAATGTAAATATTATAAAAAGACAAAATGTAGCAACAGTTATAATATAGGACAACAGTCTCTCAATAGATCAGAGTCCTCTGTAGTACTAGATGACAAAAAAAAAACAAAAAAAAAAACTCCTGAAATACAAACCGGGGGTCAAGAAAACCTGCTACTACAGTTCCTCTCCAGCACTGAAAGGGTTACTTGCAGTAAACCCGCCCCTGGTTACGTCACAGCCCTAGCTTCCTGCCGTTGAAGCCCCTCGTTAGTTTTGCCGGCGGGAGTGTGGCTTTTTCTCTGTAAGAAGGGAGCATTCGAATGGTTCTGGAATTAGAACGCGGCCAATGTTATTGCTGTTACGGAATACCTGCACAAACAGCCTGCGTGCTTCGAGTCTACTTTCGATAAATCTATTGGAAGTAAGGCATTTATTTTATTTTTTTTAGAGGGGGGGAGCTCCAGGATGTAGCACTTTCTCAGCGTGATGGGTCCAATGCAGCTAACGTAGGTAGCGGCGGTGCTCAAATATTACCACCACACGCCGATGGGATCCCATTAAAGGTTGGCAAATTTTGGCAGACGTGGTAGGTGAATGGATACCATGTCCAATACGATAGCTGCCTGACCTAATGGTAGTGTGAGAGCCAGCAGGCATTGTGGCAAGTCCAAGGCCCAGTTACCCTCTCAAGCTTGGTGATGGTTCTCTGCTAAGTGAGCCTCCCCAGAGCTTCCTTTTCTGTACTGGCATGCAAAGCAGCTAACTAGATCATATCCTTCACACTTCTCAAATTAACAGTCTGTTACTCTAAATCCCTGCCCACATTGTTACATCCCCATCTTTTGTTTCTGCTCTCCACCACTTTTTTTGTTGTTGTGGGTGACCCCTAATGTGTGTTTTTTTTTTTTGTATTCTCCCCCCCAACCCCCTTTATTTAATATTTTGTATATTTGAAGGATCAAATATTGGTGCAGTTTCCTGTGAGAATATTTACAATCATACACAACATTCTTTGAATGTGACATCATGATAGCATATGTAGTTGTTCATATTCTGGAAGAATGGATTTTTTTTTTATCTTTTGGATATAAGTGACTCTTTGTCTGGGTAGAGAAGATTTATTTTCTTGAGGGGGAAAAAACCCTTTTGTTGCTCAATGCCCTGGATTTTGTCAAAGGAACTAAACTTCTCTACATCAACGGTTTTTGTGATGGAGAAGTGGAAACATTCATGAAGACCCTAGAGTCCAATTTGGATTAACCATCTGCGTCTTCAGTTGACAGTAAAGCTGAGGAAAGGATGTCAGATCCTAGTTACTGGTCAGCGTTCCCTGGATGTAAGGCACACCTGGCAAAGGGTGCTCTGTTGAAGAGGTCAAAAAGGTAAACATTACAGTCATGGTGTGGAAAATTGCAACACTCCTATTATATCTGCTGTGCTTCACACAGAGAGGCACTGAAACCAGTCCTTTTGTATGAGAAGCATTCACATCTGATTTGTTTTGGGGGACAAAGAAGTGTGGAAGAGCACTCTCGGAGCCGTCTAATGGATGTCTGGGAGAGTGCACCCTAAACATTTTATAAAAGTGCTAATTTTTTTTAAACAAAACTAGCATGTTTATAATTTGAGATAAAGATGTTAATTCCCAAAGCTACGTCAAAGCTCCGCCTGCTATATAATCTCTACTCCGATGCTTTACTGTAGTTATCTCTGATTTAAAAGTTACCCACAAATGTCAGAAAAATACCTTAATCCCGCTTGTTCTGTAAATCTATGTACAAGCAATAAACACATTTTTTAGTTTAATTTCCTCTCCAAATATAAGTGTTAACAATATAAAACTGGAGATAAGTCTCCTTGCAATAATCTAATCATAATTTCTAATGGTATATAACAACCAGGAAACATTTCTATTGATACACTTAGCAGTGATCTTGTTACATATAAGTATAAGACTTCTGTTCTCAGTCTTGTATTTGCTTGGTTGGCAGGGGAATGCTGGAAAGGGTGGCTGAGGGGCACTAGCCTACAGATGTTCTGCCTTGCATCACCATTCTTCTTGTGAATGAGGTGCATATTTTGGCTATCTGGCTCCCTCCCTCTTATTTTTGTAGTTAAAGGACCACTATAGTGCCAGGAAAACATACTCGTTTTCCTGGCACTATACTGCCCTGAGTGTGCCCCCACCCTCAGGGTCTCCCTCCCACCAGGCTCTAGGGGGAGGAAGGGGTTAAACTTACCTCTTTCTCCAGTGCCGGGCAGGGGACTCTCCTCCGCCTCCTCGGCTGAATGCGCATGCGCTGCAAGAGCCGCACGCGCATTCAGCCAGTCTCATAGGAAAGCCTTCTCAATGCTTTCCTATGGACGCTGGCGTCTTCTCACTGTGATTTTTACAGTGAGAAGCACTCAAGCGCCTCTAGCCGCTGTCAATGAGACAGCCCTAGAGGCTGGATTAATCCTAATCTAAACATAGCAGTTTCTCTGAAACTGCTATGTTTATAGAAAAAAGGGTTAACCCTAGCTGGACCAGGCACCCAGACCACTTCATTAAGCTGAAGTGGTCTGGGTGCCTATAGTGGTCCTTTAAGGGCATAATTAAGGATTTCGGATTGATGGATAAACTTTCCTATTTGTTACACCATACCATCTCACTTTTCACTTACAGGAATTCATGTTTGTGTTCCTGATCCTATATTGTTAAAAACACTATCTGCTCCCTCTCCCTTGCCCCCTAAATATAGTAAAATCCTACCTTTATTCCACTCTGCTGCTGCTGGCTCTGACCCTTGCCAATCAGCATCTCTATGAGGAAAGTTAAGTGTCTCCATGCAGAGGGTGGAGACACTGAAAGGCAGTACTGCATACCACTGACCTAGGAAGCACCTCTAGTAGCCATATGAGCAATGTCCAGTGGAGGTATCCCTAGGCTGTATTGTAAACACTGCATTTACTCTGAAAAAAGACAATGTTTACTGCGAAAAGCCTGAATGGAATGATTCTACTCACCAGAACAAATACAGTAAGCTGTAGTTCTGGTGACTATAGTATCACTTTAAGTCTGGGAACTTTGGTTATCATTCACTAATGATATTCTGCATTGAGTTTTTAATGTCAAGGACTATGGGGTAATATGAGACTTTCATCACTCAGGATGTGCTCCAGATGTCATTGGTGCCAATGACATTGTCACTGTTGAACAGAGTCTGCATCTCAACATACAGAGATCTATATGACAAGTTACAAAGACATATGAATATGGCCACAACAGTAATTCAAGATTAAAAGGACACTGTAGGCAGCACCCTGACCACTTTAGCTCATTGAAGTGGTCTGGGTGCCAAATCCCATCACCCTTAACCCTGAGCATGTAATTATTGTAGTTTTTATGAACTGCAATAATAACCTGCTGGGGTTAACTCCTCCTCTAGTGGCTGTCTACCAGACACTTCTGGGTGCTTAGACGGCTTTCCTCTCTCAACTAGGGCCACATTTAGTGGCCACGGGTTGGCTGATGAGCTGTATGTAGCTCTTAAAGTGAGAGCTGCATACAGTCCTTTAAATCCCTTTAAACCAGGGGTTTAACTGTGGGCCGCATCCGGCCCGCCAGGGTCCTAAACCCGGCCCAACCACTCAGGGCCACCCGATGGGCCCTATATCTTAATAGTGCAACCGGACCCCTTTAAATAAAACAAAAACGCAGCCGCAAGCTGCAAGTACTGATGGGAGGAAGTGACAGCTGGTGATCAAGAGAGCCAGGCCGCAGGAACCAAGCCGACTCCCGTCAGCAACAGCCTGCAAAAAAAGTAAACAAAATTTGCTGTGTGTGTGTGTGTGTGTATGTATGCCTGTCTGTGTGTGTGTGTGTGTGTGTGTATAAAAAATACCCCTTTCTGTCTCGTTAGCGATCTTTGCCTAAAGCTCAAGGAAGCAAGTTGAAGGGTCAGAGTAGGACCCGTCTAGGGGGGGGTCTGCCTTGACGCTGGCAGGCATTCCCTCCAGTGGCCATTAGAGTAACTAAATGACCTCCATTTGTTTAGATATACATAGGGATTAAGGAAAGAGCGCAGGTAACTTTTTTTTTATTTTTTTTTCCTTCCTTTGGTTTTTACTACATTTATTGGATTTGATGTGTGCAGAGGTCATTGCTGCCGCTCAGGAGTGATGGGAGTGAGCGCAGGACTTTTCTTTTTGTATATGTATGTCAGTGTGTGTGTGTGTGTGTGTGTGTGTATGTATGCATGCCTGCTTGTTTGTCTCTCTCTCTGTTTATGTATGTATGTCCTTATGCGTTTGTGTGCAGTGTGCATAGGAATTCGTTCATATTTTTTTATAGTCCGGCCCCCAACAGTGTCTGAGGGACCGTGAACTGGCCCCCTGTTTAAAAAGTTTTAGGACCCCTGCTTTAAACCCTTTACTACCGAGCTCCCTTTAATTAAAAAAAAAAAAAAAATAGTAAACACTTATTTGAAGCAAAAGCTAGCATGAACATATTGTAATTTTTTTGAACAGGATTGCTTTGCAGACAAACTTAAAAATTAAAAGTATGTAAATTTACAACATTTTCATTTTTCACTTCATTTTGTTGTTCATCCTTTATAAAAGTATTTGGAAAAAATATAATTTTTTACACAACCATGTCCTTTATCTTGCAATAATGCAAGGGTCCAAAATGTTAATATGAAAGCACAATATATTACAAAAGTGATATTTTCTCACATACAGTAGGTGTGACAGAAATAAATAAATAAAAATGGTTAAAAAACTTGCCTAGAGGTATTTGCAAGGACTTTTAAGGTGTTAGGGCAGGTTACTAAAATGTCAATAGGATGTAAAAGGAATGTCTACATTTGAGCATAATGCCCACATTCAGTAAATACAGTTAAATCATATAATTCTAAAATAAAGATATTTCTTATTGCTGTAGCTCACCTTTATTCCAACTAGAATTGATTTCAGCCAATCCATTACTTTTCCATAGGAAAATATTAGATTGGCTGAGATTGGCCATTCTGAGTGTTACTTCTTCAAATTTCCTATTTTTAAAAAAAATTTTTTATTGGATATGATAAGGGAAGCAAACTTGCGGTCTCTAAAATTACTTGCATTACATCCAACAAATTTTTACAATTCTGGTACACGCTAGGAGTTACTGGATTTCCCTGCACTGCTGCCTCTGGACCCAATAATTGTAGTCCTTACTTATATAGGTACTGTTAGCAAGTCAGGCAAAATAAAAGGGAAATAACTTTTTACATTTGCTAGTAATATGGATTGTCGTGTAATTGTATAGTTTAGTTAGTATATGAATTAACCGTTTAATCACCTTGAAGGTAGAGTTGAGCAGGGTCCTCTTCAACCTATCATTCCTGTAAATCTTCTTGTAATTGTCCTATTTATAGTTAAATCCCCCCTCTCATAATATTGTAAAGCGCTATGGAAAATGTTGGCGCTATATAAATGGCGATAATAATAGAGGTCAAATAATTTTCTAACTGCAATGTAATTATTTGACTTTTTCGCTTTTATAACTTGTATTAGACTAGAAACAAATTTACTTGTGATGTTTTATCTATATCAATTTGTTGGCCTGCATAGTTCTTCTTGGTGGGCATCCAGAGATAGACAGATCGTCAACTGATCACCAGCCGCTCGGCTAAAACCTTTTCATACTACGGTAGTTTGGCCACTACTTCCCCCATAACTTTAAATGAGCGTATGTTGTTCTGATTTGGGAGTGTTTCTTTAGACATTGAACCTTTCCTTGGGAAGTCTGGCATGCTAACACATAATATATGCAGAGTGTTCCATCCAACTCTTTAGTACTTGGAATTTCTCCAGTTTTCAGTTGGACAGTCTGGCTCTTATAGGCTGTCTACAAGTCAAAGGAACATTTTCCATGCCAGAAGACTTGGTTTGCTTTACACATATTGAGAGGTATTTTTGTGCTGCATTATGTTTGTGTGTAGCACTTTCTCTCCTTTCTTCCCTATGTAGAGGTAGAATAAAAATCTCTCCTGGGTACAGGCCTAGACTATTTCTTATGTATAGTGATAAGTACAGACCAGTCATACTCCTTCTTGCCCAGTGCCCTACCAGACTCTGTACTTTTGTAACTGAAATATTTGGCACTAGGCCCACCTTGCATCCAGAATTCATCAAGAATGGGGCTGGACTCCGGAGCTGGAGCTTTTTCTGTACAGTGCAGTGTCCTCATACACAACTAGGGGACAGAGACACTGCACCCAGACCACTTCAGTGAGATTAAGTGGTCTAAGTGCCTACAGTGTCACTTTAACCAAGAAGTTAACTTGCCTACATTTTGCAAGGACTAAAAATGAAAATATATGAAAAATGAAAATCTATAAATTTTAATGGTTTTAAAGAATAGAAGCTTCTAAAATTTCCCCTCACCCACTAGCCATTGTTGAGTGAAAATTCAACTCTGGTTAGTAGACAATTCACTACTAGTGATTGCGCTATGTGCCCTCCAATCTTGCAGTGGTGTGTGAGTTTTAGGCCTGTTAGTGTAAGAGTTGAAGTTCTGAACCCACACAGTCACAAATGAAAAGTCTTTAGTAATCCGTAAATATTTCTCCAGGAAAGATAAACACATTGTTTTGGGATGAAAAATCTTGTACATCTACAGTCCTGACGTGATCTACATTGCAGCAACCTGCTCTTTCATAATACTTTTGCAAAACACTATAGGCTGGATGTCTTTGCTGTAAGACCTGACCCAACCGATTGTATATTATAGTTTTTGCAATATCCCATGTGTATTGCCTCTATACGACAGGAAAAACATAATTTGTGGCAGTACAACTTCCTTCCCTACTTATTACATTTATATTTGGCATACAGCGTGTTTGCAGTATTCTTATGAAAGGAAGTGCATGGTGACAAATACTTAAATATCTTTTTTTACTTTTTTGATTTAACCTGTTCCTAGGTTACCTGTCCTGCATAGAGCAAATATTCATGCGTACTGCTTCAAAGCCAAGAAAAAAATATTTATTTTAAATAGAGACACTATATATATATATATATCTCAGAACCACTACAACTGAATGTAATGTTTCTGGGGCAAATAGTCTGTCCCTGAGAAAAGGAAGTATTTACACTGCTGGCTAACGCCACCTCTAAGGGCTGTCACTTTTAGCATCTCCAGAAGTGTGCCAGGGCTTTCCTGACACTATAACTGCTACAGCATGTGAGTTATGGTGTTTTGAGGGGGGGGGGGAAGAGGGGTGCATTTAGGGTGGATTTGATTTAAATTATGATTTACATTATGATTTAAATCACTAATATGTAAGATTTAATTTACTTCATGGTTTGCTAAATAAAAACTATAAACTTAATATTTAGAACCAGGTGAAGCTTTCATTTTCAGAATAATTAAATTTTCCTCATGCCCTGCATTTGTCTGATTCATTGTTTGCTCCAGTGACGTCTATAGGAAAAAAGGATCTGTCTATGGAGGATGTGGGATCCTCCTTAGACCTCAGTGTTGTACACTCGCACATGCACGAGACTGCAACACTGATGTGGGCTCCTGACAGCTAAAGAGGACCGTCCGATATGTTCAGGCAAGTATAACTCTCTTTCCCCTGCCTACCATGGCCACCGAACACCTAGCGGATCAGTCACCATTGGGGATCTTTGCAAATTATGCTAAGACCCAGAGGGTGACAGAGCTGTTTTAAGAGGTAAAGTCATTCTGTGGACATAGATTATCATCATAGGAATGGGATTAAGGTCTTATTCTGAACTTTTATTTTCTAACTTTTTTTTTTACTGTGTAAGAGTAGGAGACACATATCTGCATACACCAATTTACTGTTTTGAGAAATGCAACTGTGGTAGTTTTTAGATAGAAAAAATGCTTGTGATTTTTGCATTAAGAAATGTGCATAATGCTGCACCGTAAGCCTGCTTTACATAGAAACATAGAAACATAGAATGTGACGGCAGATAAGAACCATTCGGCCCATCTAGTCTGCCCAATTTTCTAAATACTTTCATTAGTCCCTAGCCTTATCTTATAGTTAGGATAGCCTTATGCCTATCCCACGCATGCTTAAACTCCTTTACTGTGTTAACCTCTACCACTTCAGCTGGAAGGCTATTCCATGCATCCACTACCCTCTCAGTAAAGTAATACTTCCTGATATTATTTTTAAACCTTTGTCCCTCTAATTTAAGACTATGTCCTCTTGTTGTGGTAGTTACACTGTGGAAACAGGACATCTTTGTAAATCTGGACTCAAATGTCACTAGATGTATAGATGCTAACAAAAAACCTTTGTGGACAAATGCAGGTGGTAAATTTGTACAGCTAAAAATAGGTTCATTCTATAAATTGTTAGTATATTATGAACTTAAATACTCACTGTAGAAAATTAAACGGACACTCTAGGCATCATAACGTCTTAATTTAAATTAAGTCATTATCATGTCTGGAGGTCCTTGACACAGTCTTACCATATTGGAATTAAACAGTTTATTTTAATCCCAAAGTACTGTTTACCAAGTGTGCCCTCTCAGCCTCTCTACCTCTTCCTCTAATGGCCACAGCTTCACTGTTGAAACCTTTCCCTTAAATTGGTACCTTTTTAAAGATTTTCTACCAATGGGAAGCTAGTTTTACATTAATGCTCTCAGCCGATCCCTGGCACCCAAGTCTGAAGCCAATGCTGGATGAGGCGGATAAGTGGCAGAGAGGGCAGAAGCGTGAACAGTACTTTGGAGTTAAACCATTTGGAAAAAAACGCTTAATCCCATAAGGTAAAATAGCGCTCTGGATCTTTAGACAGCATAACAACTTCATTTAAATAAAGTTACTAGAGTGCCTGTAGTGGTCATTTAAAATGTTTTGGGTTTTGTTTTAAGTTTTTCTATAATCTGTATAGATTGATATACGATTATGGAATTGCTTCATTTTTTTTTTCTGTGTTGTTTTCTAATTCCATGTTATTGGTGTTTATGGTAATATTGCATTGTTATTACAGAATGAATAAAGACTGCGTGGGTAGACCTTACATTTAATATGCACTTTCTGTCCCCAGCTGTAGGAGCAGCAATAGGAAGAGTCTGGTTATTGGGTCTCCTTCACCAACTATGTCAAGACCTCTCTCCCCACTGTCTGTCCCTACTGGTAAGATTACAAATGCAATCACATTTAAAGCTAACCCATTCTGTCTTCTGGGTATAATGAATGTATGTACGTTAAACTGCATCTCGGAATATGTCACTAATAATTAAAATAGTAAATGCAAGCATTTACACAAATGTGCAAAGGTTTTAGGCAGGAATGAAAAAATGCTGTAAAGAATGCTTAGAAAAACAGAAATGTAATTTTTTTTAATTTTTTTAAATCAATTATCAGAATGGAAAGTAAGTGAATAGACGAAAAATCTGAATATATTACAATATTTGGGGTGATCACCCTTTGCTTTCAAAACCGCATCAATTTTACCAGTTGTACTTGTATACATACATACATACACACTGACATACATACACACAGGCATACAAAAAGAAAAGTCTTGTGCTCACTCCCATCACTCCTGGGCGGCAGCAATGACTACAGTACACATCAGCTAATACATATAGTAAAAAACCAAAGGAAAAAAGTTACCTGCGCTCTCTTCTTAATCCCTATGTATATTTAAACAAATGGAGGTCATTTAGTTACTCCAGTGGCCACTGGAGGGAATGCCCGCCTGCCAACGTCAAGGCAGACCCCCCTAGACGGGTCCTACTTTGACCCTTTACCTTGCCTCCTTGAGCTTCTGGCAAAAATATCTCTGAGACAGAAAGGGGTATTTTTTATATACACCCCTATGTACTTGTTAACCCTTAATAAAGAACACATGGGATGCTCTGCAGGTAGGCAGTTCTAAACTAACAAGTTTATCTGTGGGTTTTGGTAGCCTCATTTGCTTCTGTTTCTCTATGTAATCCCAGACAAACTCAATGATGTTCAGATCAGGGCTCTGTGGGGGCCATTGCATCACTTCCAGGATTCAATGTTTTTTTACACTGAGGACCATTTTTAATGACTTTGGCTGTATATTTTGCCCCAAATGTTTTTTGCAGCTTGGCCACACGTATAAGATGCCTCCCTGATGATATTGCATGATGGGCAAGTATCTGCCTGTACTTCTCTGCATTGAGGAGACCATTAATTGTGACAAAATCCCCAAATCCATTTGCCCAAATTTGTAAGGATACTCCATTATGCTTCTGTGTTGCCTCCAGACACTCTTACTTGTACTGCTCTTCAGCGAACAAGCTGCCATCTGCTACAGCCAAATAGTTTGACTTTTTAGTCCAGAGCACCTGCTGCCATTTTGCATAGTTAATTTGCTTGACCTCGTTTCCACATCTGAGGTGTTTTGGGTCCTAAGTCTCCTATAAAGACCACATCTACTGTCCAGAGACATCTGGTAAGAAATGAAGGACCGCCTGGCACCCCGACTGGGTACGTCCGTCAAGCTCACTTCTTAGCTCTCCTCTGGGACACAGGAGTGCTTCAGCCACTAGCCACTGCAGCTTTGCTGGGGTCTCTCCATTGCTTCCCGTCCTGGGGCAGGGTTCTGGGTACAGCTTCAAGTGATGAAGCTCTCCTGCAGAGAGTATAGCTGATCCACCCAAACACTAGCCCAGACTGAGTAATGGGTGAAAAGGAACTGCTTTATTATGGCCAAGTTGCCTGCTTTTATACACAGCCCCCAGAAAAACCTTCAAGTTTCCTGAATATTTTGGAGTAACAGAATTTCAGGATTCATTCCAGCAACTTTATCTGCTGATAAGCCATCACAGCCAGAGCCTGCTATACGTTGCTCTGGGAAGAGTGAGTAACCCATTACCTCTGTGTACTTAAATATCTGTGTGTGTGTGTATGTGTGTGTATATGTATATATGTGTAAATAAATATATATATATATATATATATATATATACACACACACACAGTATTACACTATGTACAGTTTTATATTTTACAGATAATCAGAGACAAATTGTAAGGTCCTCCTTGATATAAGTATATCACATTGTGTGGTGGTGTTTTTAATTGCGCACCCTGTACTTGTTTTTGTATTTCTCACACATGCCTAAAACTTTTGTACAGGGCTGCGTGCGTGTATGTCTAATATTTAATAAATAAATATATATATATATATGTATATGTGTGTATATTAGATACATATATATTGAACACGCATTTAATATATACTTTTAGAATTATTCATTTGTGTCTGTATTTCAGCAGTTCATGAGGATTGAAGAAATTAATTAAATTGTAAATAAATAACAAAAATTATTTCTTAAAAATTACAAAAACAAAATGTCACTCATGTTCCCGAATACCTTTCTTGAATGTACTCCTCTCACATGGTCCGTAACTGCCTTTTTCGTGATTGGGACAGATGGGTATCTTGAGGACCTTTTAAAACTTTGATTTGGATAAGCATGTGATACTATTTATATGGAGACATGGCTAGGAGCAGCCTTGGTTGGCGCACAGTAATGGCTACACACCGATATTATTTAATTGCCCATGGAGGCATTTTCTAAAGCTAGAATGCATACTCTGTTCTGTGTTTCGCCTTACAGGACTTGTTCCTGTAATGCATCCTGTTGCTTATGCATTTCATGGGGTTCCCAGTGCACATGTGCATTGAGAATGTAGGTGACTGGTGCTAAGATTCAAAACTTGAAAAACTACCAGACCCTGTTTGACAGCAGGGTGCATTTGGAAGGGGAATATGGATTTTCAATAATTGTCAGTACCGTATCTAGTGGTACCAACACGGATAGAAGTCTTTTCTATAACATGAAAGGTTTCTTATTTTCATTTTATCAGTTTAGTATTCAATTATTTTATATATTGCTCAAAAAGATCCATCAGAGGAATAGCTTTATAATAAAAAAATCTTTATTTAATTAATCTAAAAGCCGTATTTTGCACAGAATTGACATTATCCTGCCTAGAATTGTATTCTGGGATGGCTAATGAGGCTGCTGGAGGTGAAGTTACACCCCGGATAGTGAAGAGGTTAATCTGTATGTGCAGTGTTTCAATGCAAAACGCTGCACATACAAACTCCAGCTACTATGACCACTTTAAATCTTTCCTCCTCTACGGAGGAATATGAGACACCTACCTCAGAAGAGAATAGCACCCAGTAGGGCATGGCTGTCAAACATATGACCCTTGGCAAAGCAGCCTGTTCCCGTGAGAAATTGTTATGCTGGGGGGAGTAATTAAACTTAAATTCTTCCTGGGTAGGACCACATGGGCATTTGGGACCAGGGAGAGGCAAGGTGCTGCTGTATCTGGAGGTCTGAAAAGAGGGAGCGGTGGAATGAAAGGGAACAGAGACATCTGCTTCCTCTTATTGCCCAGCATACTACACCAGGAACAGCCACCACAAAAAGTGTGTGTATATGCGTAATAGTGTGTGTTTATGTGTAACTCCTGGAAGGAAGTGAGCTAAAAACTATAGCTAAAATAATATTAATTGTTACTACTGTGTGAGGTCATTCCATGTCAAATTGTCACACAGTTTCAGACTGACCTGATTTTTCATGAAGTGCTAATTTGTCCTATGGCAGGCTTCCCCAAACTCCGGCCCTCCAGATGTTGCTGAACTAGAATTCCCATGATTCTAAGCCTATCTATTTCATTCATAGAATCATGGGAGTTGTAGTTCAGCAACATCTGGAGGGCAGGAGTTTGGGGAAGCCTGTCCTATGGTGTAATGCAAAAATAAAAAATTTCAAAATGGGCCTTAAATTGTTTTAATTATTTTAACAAATAACTCCCATAAAAGGAACGGATTAAGACCCGTGACAGTGTGTTCCCTTTTCCATGAAACACTAGTGATAGTTAAAGTTTGTGACAATTGTAGGAAATAAATGAGTAAGATTGAAAAAGAAATGACAGGCTTTCCAAGTACTAGCTAGGATGTAGATTATGATTGCAGAAGTTCAGATTGCAGACCTAGTAGAGTCTCTCATGAACATGAAAAAGCACCATATATATATATATATATTGTACAAAAAAAAGTAAAATAATTAAAACCGCTGTAAAACGCAAACTTCTTGACAATGCAGATTCTTCCGAAAGTTATGTGGAGTCCCAATATAAAACTATTTTAAGTTCCTTGGAAAAAAATTCCAAGCTTTGAACAACAGAAAATAAAAGCTTATGATGCTAACTATTTTGCTTGAATCTTGGGGTATCAGGAAGAGTATGAGGGAATTTCATGCACCAATGTACATGGTAAGATGGTCAAAGCTAGAATTAATTTTTAACAATTTATTTCTACTCAAAATCTGAAACCTGGGAATACTGTACTTGCAGAAACTGCTGTGTGGCAAAAAACATATTTTATTCAAGTGAAGAGGTCCGTATTCCTGGGCTTGGGATAAAATATTGTGTTTCCACGAAAGTCAGTACTCAGCAAAAATTAATGTCTCCAAATGTCTTATCAGTTGAATTCTACTTGGGTAATTGTGCGACCTGCCCTGAATGTCAAGTAATCCAAAATTTGTTAGAAAATGCCTTTAAAGAAAAGGCAATCGAGCGTGTAACTTTTTGCCGGTGGATATCTGTTGACAGATGCATTTTAGAGACATTACAAAAAAAAAGTCTCTGAATTTGTCAACCTGTATTGTGCAAAAATTTCAGTTTTTACTTCACCGTGACTTCATAGCTAAACAATAAAGTTCCTATTTGAATCATGTCATGTCTGATTCAGAAATTGTGTATAGTTTTTCAGAAAACTCGTATTTTGTTGTGCAAGATGAAGCACAGTGCTATCATAGGACCAGCAACCAAGCCACACTACATCTGTTTGTATATTTTAAAACAGGTGAAAAAACTGAGCATTCCTAGAACATAATACTGTTAACTGTTTATTTCATCGGGAACTCTCAGATTCTTTTGGGCAGTTTCTGAAATCTCCTCTGCAAAAATTTGTATTTTTCCCATGGGTCTGCTCCTAATATAAAAACAAGAAGAACTTTTGAAATTTATATGGCCGTAAAAATAATTAGAATTTTGCAGCCGAGTGGCATTTTTCCATTATAGCTCATGGGGAAAAGGGGAATATGATGGTGTTGGTGAGACGGTGAAAAGGTTGGCCGCCCGAGCAAGTTTCCCAAGGCTATATGAGGACCAAATAATGACACCAAGGGAATCTTTTGAGCTAGGAAAAAAAAGTTTCAAATATTGACTTCACATTTGTTACACAGGCAGAGTACATTGAGCCATACCAGTTTTTGACAGATCGCTTAAACAAAGCACAAAAACTGTACCAGGAAGTCAAAAACTGCATGGTTTCATAACATCTAGTGAAACAAAAATCTTGGTAAAAACTTTTTCTTTTGCTGAAACATCAGTTGAACATACTGTAATAAGATGTGCAGGAAGCCTAGTTTTTAGTAAAATAAGTGGTTATGTCATCGCACTGTACTGTAAGTGGCAATTGGTGGCTAGGCTCTGTTTAGAAAAACAGGAAGAGAAGGATGAAGTGAAGGTAACATTTTCACCCAGGTCCATCTCCTTCCATCAAGATATGTCCTGTGTAAAGAGAACTCTGGCCATACATATACCCTCTGTACTCAAGAAATCAAACAAGCTTTTCAAACCTTTTACCAGTTCACTAGGTCAAGAAGAAGCCTAACAATATTACCATTTGTGTGTTAAAAAAAAATATTGAACTAAAGCATTCATGTGAGTTAGATATTTTTTTTTTCTTCTTCAGATTTCTCTTGACCATACGTGTTTCACCTCTCATACATTTGTGATTCCCTTGTAAAACCCCTCCAAAAAGAAAATTGTGAACAGTTACAGACCAGTACAAACTAATTTTCAGATTGTTTTCCCAAATTTTAAAAATGTCAGTTTTTTAGAAAGCTTATCTTAAAATATTGCTTAACCCCTTAGTCACCAGACCGTTTTTTTCAATTTTCTTCCCGTTAAGGACCAGGGCTGTTTTTTATATTTCTGCGGTGTTTGTGTTTAGCTGTAATTTTCCTCTTACTCATTTACTGTACCCACACATATTATATACTGTGTTTCTTGCCACTAAATGGTCTTTCTAAAGATACCATTATTTTCATCATATCATATAATTTACTATAAAAAAATTATAAATTGTGATGAAAAATAAATAAAAACGCCTTTTCTAACTTTGACCCCCAAACTGTTGCGCATCTGCAACCGCCAAAAAACACGCATGCTAAATAGTTTCTAAATTGTTGTCCTGAGTTTAGAAATACTCCAACTCTTAGTTGTTTTTTTTTTTTCAAGTTATATGGCAATAAGTGCAAGTAGCACTTTGCTATTTCCAAACTTTTTTTTTTTTTTTCAAAATTAACAAAAGTTACATTGTAACACTGATATCTATCAGGAATCCCTGAATAACCCTTCACATGTAAATATTTTTTGAAAGAAGACAACCTAAGGTATTAAACTTGGGGTATTTGGACTGCTTTCATGCAACAATCTTACCACCAATCTATGCCAAAAAAATTGTGTTTTTTGGGGGGTTGTTTTTTGACACACATAGCAATTTAAGAATACATGTACTGATAACTTTAAGGGGTACTGCCAAAGAAAACCCCAATATGTGTTCAGCAACATCTCCTGAGTACAGTGATACCACCCATGCATAGGTGTGTCGGGTTCTCTGGAGGCTCAAATACCTTATTTGGAGGGTGTGCATTCCAGTTTTCCAACTTGGAATTTTCACAGCTGGTAATCATGCACCCATGTCCTATTTGGGACATTTTTTTAAGCAGGCCAATGTAATTTACCCCCATCAACCCATATAATTTTGAAAAGAAGACACCCTAGGTTATTTCAAATGGTGATATTTTTTATTTATTTATTTTTTTATAAATCTTTATTTTTGAAAAATAGTTTTACATAAGTACATAATTCAAACATACTTTAAGACCCATATCTGAAAGTACACAATTATCTTAAAGATATTGGTTGGATCATATTAAAACAATACTCGTAATATTACATACGAAAACATGTATCACAAAATAAACCCCAAAAATCATATTGATTCAACATATGGCGCGAGTCGGTCGGTCTGGACGATTTTTTTTTTGGGTCTATTTGACACCAATGCGTCTCTTGGACGAAGACAATTTGTATTTTTTTCTTTCTGTAAATAGTCATTAACAGCCCATCTTTTTTGCGGAATATTAAGACCCTGGATATTTATAGACGCTAATTTAATCATAGCAATATCTCTTCCCAAATAAGTCTGAAAACCTCCCCAGACCGACTTGTTTACTCGCCATAATGCCGAAGAACACACACAGACTAAAAAAAAAAAACCTTTTTACCAAAGAATACATACACATGCAATAACCACTGCTATCATACTGGAAGTTTTGTCTAAAGGCTTCCACTCTACTTCCCTCTTGTGTGTAATATTATACGCAAACTAAGTTCTACTGATAACTTAAAGCGTCACGGTCATGCCGAACTTAGCTTTCTTTAATCAATTCCTCTACTCTTCCTCTCTCAGGATCTGTTCATTTCTTCCTGTCTGCACTAGGGCGTAGGTAGAGGTTTGGTAGAGGCTTATTCATTTTTGTTTTGGGTTGGAGGGTGGGTAACTAGGGGCTTGGGGACCCATAGTCACCTTGTGGGGGGTAACATCATTTTAGCGCTCAGGGGTGGGGGAGGTGGGGACAATTTGACGTTCCCCACATTGTTATTTAGGGCCGCCAGCCGACGCTCAGGGGTGGGGGCTGGGGTGAAGGACAATTGGTCCCCTCCCCCTGCTGCTCAGGGTTGGGGGCCGGGGGGAGGAAAATAGGTCCCCCCCTCACTCTCATTTAGGGCTCACCACTCAGAGGTGGGTGCCAGGGGGGAGGGCAATAGGTCATCGGGCACCCACCCGCTGATCAGTGGTGGGGGCCAAGGGGGAGGATAATAGATCCCTCTCACCTAATTGTTATTTAGGACCCCCACCTGCCGCTCAGGTCCACCTTCAGTTTAATAGCCCCCACTTGCGCGGCACAGGTGGGTGCTCGGGAGGGGGGGATACTAGGGTGTTTTTTTTTTAACAGTAAGAAGCCACTGGCTGCTCATTGTTTAGTATTCATGCCCCTAATCGCGACATAGCGAGTAGGGGCATAATTTACCAATCTTAGGTAATCTTTACTTAGTATTAGTATATTTGGCTGAAATACCAATTTAGGTCTTTCAGGAAGTTTAATTCATTTGAATGAAATTTCGATATGAAAAAGTCCCGAATTGCGTCCTAACACGAATGGAAAAACTGTTCTCATTCTGTTAGGACGCAATTCGGTAGTTTCACCGGCGTTCTGTCTAAATGACAGGACGTTCGGGAAAAGTGAAAGGAGACTTCGCGGGAACATGGAGGAAAGGTGAGAATTGTGGGAAAACTTTTATCACTGGAAATGATGCACACTTTGCTCCTCCGCTGGTCAGAGATGGTCAGGCGTAGGAAACCTCCATAAGACAAATAGTCCCTACTTTGTCTTATGTTCTAAAGAAAACTAGAGCAGACCGGAAGAAATGAAGAACAGATCCCGAGAGAGGAAGAGAAGAGGAATCCATTAAAGAAAGATAAGTTCGGCATGACAGTGTCCCGTTAGCCCCTCTCTAAAAGTATAAAACTGCACTGGTTCCACCACTTTTGTGACATCATCGAAATGGCCGATTTTTAGCCAATCCAAGCCTTTCTCATAGCTAATATCGGCATGGGACGGGGCCAAATGCCTTTTTGGGCAATCAGGGACTCCTCATAGAGACGCATTGAATCAATGCTTCTCTATGAAGAAAATTCACCGTCTCCTCCTTACTGTGCAGCCCTGAGCCAGGAAGCCCCTACAGTGGCCATCTAAGGAGTGGTCACTTGGAGGTGTCCCTAGGGGCAATGTAAACACTGCCTTTTCTCTGAAAAGGCAGTGTCTTCCTGAAAATGCATGAAGGGAGCTAATATACTCACCAGAACAACTACATTAAGCTCTAATTGTTCTGGTGACTATAGTGTCCCTTTAAGTATCATCCCTCCCCCCCATAGTGAAAATTATCTTGATTTATAGGAATATTGACCAAAGGCCCGTTGCATTACACACTTAAATACATATTGTGAATCACTATAAACAATTTAGTGCAAATTGCCTCTTTTTTTTTTTTTCTCATCTTTTTATTGGTGCAAACAATTGTTCAGACATTGTGCAACGCAGTGCATTATTGACGTGCTATACCCATCACAGTCGCAGCTGTGGAGACCATTACCCAGAGATTTAGTCCAGCATATTCCTTATGCAAGTTTGGAATCACTGTAGTTGCTTTCCAAGAGTTTGTGCTCTTTTGGCCTTCTCACATTGAGAACAATTGTGTAGTGTGGTGTGACTCGTGTCCTACTTGTGTTAACTCGGTGTGGGTAGGAACCGCTGCTTTGTGGTGCACATCTGATAAGCTATCCGCGTTGCTTTTAGTTTTGTAACATTTAACTAGGGGTTGGGGGGTACAGAAGGAAAAAAAAGGGAGGGGTTTGGGGGTGCTCTAGACAACACGTTATACATTTGTTGATTTGACCCTATGTATGACACTGGTATATTTGCCACCGCTCCTGCCTAAACCCTTTTCCCTATAGCAGTTTAGGCGTCGCAATGCTATGGCCCCTGTTCTACCTTCTAACTCACAGCTGGCCAACTACTCCATTCCCTTTCATATCTCTCACTACAACCGTTTACTCTGCTTGCCATTTTTTCATATGCACTAATCGTGTCCATTTTATTTTTTATAATATCTGCGGCTGGAATTTTGCTGCTCTTCCAACTACCCGCCAGTATAATTTTTGCTACTGTGAGGATGTTAAAGATCACCTTTCTATGTGGGTGGGTGGCAATACCGGGTGCAGTGTGGAAAATATAATGTTCTGGCTTCATGGGGAGGATGAAACCTGTCCTACGTAGTAGGAGAGAGTGGACTTTTTCCCAATAGTTTATTAGTAGTGGGCATGTCCAGAAAATATGAAGTATAGTTCCCTCAATTGTGTTGCACCTCCAGCATTTCCCGGACGTGCCCGGGTACGTGCATGCCAATCTGTGTGGTACTAGGTACCACCTCATTAGTACCTTGCAAAATGCTTCCCAGAGCGTGAGGGTTTGCGATGCCCGTTTCGTGGTTGCCAGGGCCGTCAGCCACTCTGTCGTGGGGATCTGGAGTCCCAGGTCCACCTCCCACCGAGTCATGTATGTCGGCTTATCAGGAGCTGACGAAGTGACCAGCGCGTTATAGCATGCTGACAGTGGTTTTATATGTCTTTGGGAGAGTGCCTGTTTAAGCGTCAGGTGGGGTTTTGAGGGGTGGTTAGTACAGTTTTGGATATGCGAGTGCACAATGTTTTTTATTCTGAGATATAGGAATATATCCCTCGCTGGCAGCTGTAGGTCCCTTTGCAGGACGGGGAATTGCTTCATTTTGTCCCCCTCTAAGATGTCCTGGACCTGGCATGCACCCCCCTCCCTCATTCGACTCACCAGCAGGTCAGGGGAGAATGTTTCTAGTGTTGCCAAGGGTGCTGCTTGGAAGAGCAATTTGGGGTCCACTATGTGTGGGCTCCAGTTATTTCAGGCCCTCAGTAAAAACCTTGAGCTCTGCAGTTGTTTCCCTACTGCGGCTTAGGAGTGCCCCCCTGCCCATAGGTGCTGTTATATCGTGAGTGTTTAGGCAGGCACTTTCCATTGCTAGCCAGATAGGTCTTTGGAGGGTGCTTGTGGGGCGTAGGAGCCTAATTCCCTGCGCCAGGACGGTTGCCTTATAATAAGCCTTGACATCTGGCATACCCAATCCCCCACCAGTACATGGGAGCCTCAGAGTACCCCTTGCCACTCTCGGGGGTTTCCGCTTCCACACATGTGCGTTTATTGTGCTTTGGAAAAGTTTTAGTAGTTTGGTAGGGAGAGCGATGGCCAGGGTTCTAAACCGGTACAGTATATGCGGCAGTGCCATCATTTTAATAAGGTTAATGCGGCCTAACCAGGACACCTCAAGTCCTTCCCATTTCTCGAGTGTGGCTCTGAGTTTTTGTATGACCGGGTAATGATTTTCCCGTATGATGGATTGGGTGGATTTTGTGAGCTTAATCCCCAAGTATTGTAAGGAGTTTTTGCGCCAGTCAAAGGTATGTTGTGCTTGTAAAATTGTTACTGTAGCGCTCGGCAGGTTTATAGGTAATGCTTGTGTCTTCGTTGTGTTGTTTCTATAGTAAGATACCTGTCTGTATGTGTTGAGTCTGTTCAGAAGTTGTGGTAGTGAGAATTCTGGATGCGTTATAAAAACTAAAACGTCATCCGCAAAGAGTGCCAGTTTCTTAACGCCCCCTGGAGTATGGAGTCCCTGTATCACCGTGTCGTGTTTTATGAGCCGAATCAGAGGTTCCAGGCTCAGTATGAAAATAAGGGGCGAAAGGGGGCATCCCTGCCGTGTACCGTTTATCACTATTTGGTCGGATATGAAGCCTGTGCTAAATACTCTGGCCATTGGCTTCCGGTATAGGGCGAGAATGCTTGACAGTACTTTTGGGGAATATCCCATTCTGGTTAGTGTCTGTGTCATGTAATCCCAGTGTAGGCGATCAAAAGCCTTTTCAGCGTCTAGCGCCAATATCAGGCCGGTCTGGGACGATAAATTCGCCCAGTCTATCAGGTTCAAAAAGTGTCTAGTATTGTCCCCCACCTGTCTCCCTGGTACGAACCCTGCCTGTTCTTCGGAGATGAGATCAGGGAGTATTTTTTTGAGTCTCGTTGCTATCAGTTTGGTGTCTGCGTTAAGTAGGGAAATCGGGCATAGATTGGCGCAGTGGGTGGGAGGTTTGTTTGGTTTGGGTAGTTTCACAATGAAAGCTTCCAGCATTTCTTTGGGCATTACCCCTGATTCGTTTATGTTAAAAAATTTGGTGAGAGGAGTGTTCAAGTGTGGTGTTCTCCTTTTCGAATTGTAGGGAATACATAGACCTCCGTTCACCGCTTTATTCGCCCAGGCAGTATATCAGCCGTGCAAACGCCGTTGCTCCAAACCATGCTGCTGGGTTTGCAGTTTCACCTCGCCGGACTTCCTTTACTTCATCCCTGGAATGCATGCGGGAGCGTACCTACGTCATCCCAGCGCAACCTGCCCAAATGATGGTATTTTAACACTTTCCATGTACTAATTCTACTACCAGTCTTTGTCAAACTTTTGGCTAGTCATTTTTGTGTGATATTTTTCTCTCACATTGTACTTTAGGCATGGATTATGAGTTCATGTTAGGTGTTACTGACAAAGAACACCCCGATATGTGTTCAGCAACATCTCCTGAGTACAGTGATACCACATATGCATAGTTTTGTTGGGTTGTTTGGGGGATGCAATGCCAAACTTCTGACGTGTTTTTCAAATTTGCCTATATTCTTTTTGGGAGCCTTTTTAGATATCTCAATTTATTTTCTTGCCATGAACGTGCATATATTTATTTAAGAAGTTGACACCCCAAGGTATATGGAGTGTTTTGATGCCTTTGCTGCAACCGTTGTAGACAACGGTTCTTTCTGATTGTACCGCATGCTACTGTATCAAAACAAGTAGCATGCAGTAGCTTGAACAAAGGGACACATGTCTAAAAATTGTCCATATACAAGTGGTACTCTTTGTTCATCAGGGGGAATATCAGGTCCCAGACGATCTTGCCGCTGGTTCCCATATGTTCTGGACAACCTCGAGGGTCAAGGTGGCTATCCTTTCCCTTGTACATCCGGAAGGCTTGAGTATACCCAGTCTTGCTCTCACAGAGCTTATACACCTTTACGCCATAACTGGAGCGCTTGGAAGGAATATATGGCTTGAACCCCAGCCTTCCCTTATACTTTATCAGGGATTTATAAGCCTCTGCAAACCTGGCAGTGAAGGCGGACGATTTTATACAGTCTGTCAAACTGGGGATGCTCCATAGGGGAGCACACATTGCTGAAGTGCATGAAATGTAGAATCATTTCATACCTCTTCCTTGACATTCACTGGGAGTTAATGGGGGTAGAGCAGATGGGACTACTGCTCCAGTAGGAGCGGATGGAGAGCTTCTTTATGATGCCCATCAGCATAGTCAATGCCCATAATTTTTTTTATTTTTTTTTATTTTTTATTCTTGCACATTGATGGTGGCCCATTGCTGCTTTGCAAAAAAAAAAGTCAGGCTTTGAAGCACAGAACTGATGGGCATATTAATTAGTTTGGGCAACAATGTTCCCCAATAAATCATCGCCAAGAAACCCCTACATAAACTGTTGTGGGCTAAATCCTGCGACATCCACATTGATGGCAGGAATTGCAGTGAAGGGTGGGATATCTGGCCTCTGGCGATGAGGCGCTACCCACTCCTCAGCAGTACTGCCAACTGGAGCAGCACCTCTCCTTCTGGCAGGGGATATAGAAGCCACAGATACATCACTAGCAGCAGACACTGTATCTAGTTAGGTATCTGAGCACCTGGCAGGGTCAAATCAGGGTCTGAGTTATACATAGACACGTCAGACTAACCTCTGTGACATGATCACAATCACTTTAGTGATCTACCCCTAAAAAAATGCACAGACAGAAAAATGTGTGCTGCTGTGCAAGAGCCGGTGATTTATAGTGATCAATGGCAAGATGGGGGTTAATGGCTTTAAAATTTTTACAAATCCCTACCTACAACTACCTAAATCTCTCTACCTAACCACAGATATCTCTCTCACTAAAACACAAGTGAAGATAGGGAGGGAGATCCACACTGATCAGAGTCAATATTTACTAATATTGACCTGATCAGACAAATCTGGATTGTAGCGAACCACGGGTTACCCGACCAGTTGCCTCTGCTATTTTCCTTCCTTCAGCCCTTCCTGAACCCTTACAACAAGCAGGCATCCATTTTCCCCCCCAGTAACTAGACGAAACACAGTCCTGGAGGTTACAACACTGACTGACTTTGTTTATTTTGTTACACATGGTTTTACAGACACAGACCTCTACATGGGGTCTCCAACACAAAAACAGGGGTTTCAATCACAAGAAGCTGCAGGGTGAGGGAGGAAGGACAATACATCTAGGTTAAACTGGGCTGGCAGTGTCTGTGGTAATGTCCTGCTGTGACAGGAAAAGGGAGGGGGAAAGGGGGAGAGACACTGACAGCAATACATTTCACTTCTGTACTTTACAGAGCTGCTGCATATACAGGCATGATACACGAAAGGCATAGAAATACATGGGGAAATACAGAGGGACCACACGATACAAGGGGAAAACACACAAATATGCAGTGGTACATGGTCCGTCACACATCTCCCCCTTGTCCACCCCCGGCAGCTGCAGCATGACTCACACGGGTCAGCTCGCTGCTGCCAGGAGGGGGGACACAGTCTTTTAGTGCCATGCCCTCAACAGTACTTGTCCCCGACCAGCCTCTACAGTCCTGGGGTCGGGCCGGCGTTGCACCCTGCATCCTTCTGGGTGTTGTTGACTTAGACAAAAGTCTTTAGTCCGGGAGGCCATCCATGCCAGGCTCCGGTCCACAGGGGTCTCTGAGCCCATAACAACCGCCATCCAAACAAGTGTGCCGCCCCCCCTCCACCCCGGCCCTTCCATCACCTGGGACTGCTTGATTTCCCCAGCTGGCCGAGGATGATGGGAGTTGTCTGTCGCGGCTCTGCTTCCTGTATCTCCCTGGAGACTTGGCTGGCTTCTGGGGAGGAGAGCCGACTGTGCTCTCCCATTGATGCTGCTTGGGATATTGGGGAGGGGGCGTGCAATCCTCCATTTCCCCCTGGATCTCACTCTGCTGCTGGGGAGTAAGACCTACAGTCTCCACTCCCACAAACTTACTCTGCCGCTGGGGTACAAGATCGGTTGTCTCCACTCCCTGCACCTCACCCTGCCGCTGGGGAAGAAAGACTGAACACTTCTTTCCCTGGACCTCCTGTGTGAAGTCTTTTAAGTCTCCAGTCTCTGGAACCTGCTTCTGGGAAACAAGACAGAGTGTGTCTATTCCCTGAACCCCACACTGCCGCTGGGGAGGAGGGACGGAACTCTTCTCTCCCTGTGCCTGCCATTCTGCTTGGTGCTGCAGGTACTCGGCCGCTAGTTTCCTCGTGCTGTATGTATTTCTTGGCGGGGTTAAGCCCAAAGTAAGCCAGCCTCATCTTCAGCCTCTGGTCCAACTCCGTTTCAGTGTAGCTGGGCGCCATGCTTATTCAATTAACGGGTCGATGGTTCATTTAAGCTGGGAAGTATGATCCCACTGCTTCTACCAATTGTAGCGGACCACGGGTAACCCGACTGGTTACCTCCGCTATTTCCCTTCCTTCAGCCGTTCAGGAACCCTTACAAAAAGCAGACATCTATCTTCCACCCCTCCCCCCGTAACTGGACGAAACAGTCCTGGAGGTTACAACACTGACGGACTTTGTTTATTTTGTTACACCTGATTTTACAGACACAGACCCCTACATGGGGTCTCCAACACAAAGGGTTTCAACCCAAAGTAACTGAAGGGGGAGGGAGGAAGGACAATGCATCTAGGTTAAATTGGGCTGGCAGTGTCTCTGTGGCAACGTCCTGCTGTGAGAGGAAAAGGGGGAGAGACACAGACAGCAATACGGGATCATTGTAATAATAAATATTATAGGGCAAGCTCTGACTGGATGACCCTAGTCTGCCTCTATGATGAGGCTGGCTAGGGACACCCCCAGAAGCTCCATGATACACTGCCTTTAGAAAGGCAGCGCCATATTGGAAGCCACATGGCTGGGTGAGGGAGACTAATACATTTATTTTATTTGTTTTTTTTTATTGATTTTATTTGTTTTCAATGAGTGCCCTGACCCCTCGAGGCACACAGGCAGAGCATAGAAAGCCTGCCTAATAGCTTCCGATGCTCTGCAGTAAGAACACTATAAAGTTTTATTAAATTTTGAAAATTTAAACTAAAATATTTTTTTTCAATGTGAGTTTAAAAACATTTTTTCCATAACATCTAAGAACGTGAGGTAGAAAATTATTAAGTGTGATGATTTGATACAGAAGGACTTGTGTGTAGCTGTGTGTCTGTATGTGTACCTGTATAGAAAAGGTGTGTAGACTTAAAGGAACACTATAGGGTCAGTAACACAAACATGTATTCCACACCCTACAGTGTTAAAACCACTATTTAGGTCGATTGCCCCCTCCTTTAATCCCCTTAAAAAAGGTTACCTTATTTCGGGCACTGTGCTGATCCGCCGGCGCTAATCCCGCCATCCCCCAATCCGCCTCCTTGCTAACATAATCAAAATGTATGATTTTTAGCCAATCCAATGCTTTCCCATAGCGGCCAATCTGCATCTTTTCTGTCCAGATCTCATTAAATATGGGTTTCTTCGCGTCCAATTTGAACTGACGCATGGGCACACCTCTTCATTGCATCGCACACACTTATGCACAGAACATGCGTCCTACGACACAACTGATGGAGGGGTCCGCTGTGTATGCACACCAAACCTGGAACGCAGAACAACTTTATTGGCATTCAGGATGTGATCACAAAACCACATAATTATCCACTTGGTGAGAAAGTTGTTTGCGGTCACGTCTTGTAGCAAAAGATGGGTTTCAGCGCTAAGTAAATAATCCCCTTAAAAGTAAAAAAGGTGCATACATATGCAAAAATGGAAAAATCATACAGAAAAAGTGTCCAGAATGTAAAATACCGTAACAAAGTCCTGCAACAAAAAAAAAAAAAATCCAAATAACGTTGTGATATGTAGAGATTCAAAAGCATGTAGAAATACCTTAGAAAAAAAGAAACAGAAAAAGATACATAGCGTGATACTGTATCAAAAATTTATTGCCCAACATAAAAATGAGAAAAATCCCCCCCAACTTCAAAACTCTTACATTAGATAAAACGTGATACTCATCATAGTAGATTTTGCCGAAAAAGTGCTTTCAAAGCCACTCGTATTCTTTCCTTAGAGACAGCTGCTCTCTGGTGCACTCAGGAGGGCTGCCCGTGATGTAGTCTATGGAGTAACGCTGGCTGAAAGTCCGGCTTCTGTCGAGTACTTCTAAAGTCTGCCACTGGTAGATCTGGCAGATAGACAATTGTAGCACCCTATCCATAGACTACATCACGGGCAGCCCTCCTGAGTGCACCAGAGAGCAGCTGTCTCTAAGGAAAGAATACGAGTGGCTTTGAAAGCACTTTTTCGGCAAAATCTACTATGATGAGTATCACGTTTTATCTAATGTAAGAGTTTTGAAGTTGGGGGGGATTTTTCTCATTTTTATGTTGGGCAATAAATTTTTGAGACAGTATCACGCTATGTATCTTTTTCTGTTTCTTTTTTTCTAAGGTATTTCTACATGCTTTTGAATCTCTACATATCACAACGTTATTTGGATTTTTTTGTTGCAGGACTTTGTTACGGTATTTTACATTCTGGACACTTTTTTTCTGTATGATTTTTCCATTTTTGCATATGTATGCACCTTTTTTACTTTTAAGGGGATTATTTACTTAGCGCTGAAACCCATATTTGCATTTGTTCTTTGGAATTGGGAAAATTCTTTTTGTTTTAGCAGCTATTACTGTTTGAGTACATTGGGTACTATTTTTATTGTTTTATTTAGACCATATATAGACTATTACGCAAGTCTTTTATTTGTAATACATGCGCTCTCTTTTTGATTGTTTATATTGTAACAAAAGATGCTTTTTTTTTTTTGGTGCGTAAAATAAATGTTTATGTAATCAATCTACAGCTATAAGATTGGTAATATTTTGTGCATGCATTATATTAAGCGCCCTCCAGTGTATATTTGAGATAATGTTTAAGTCTACACACCTTTTCTATATTTGTTTTAAGGTCTGTTAGGAGTGGGCCTCTGAGTGTCTGCTTTTATTTAGGCACTCACACGTGTAATTTCCATTTTCCATTTTTTTGCGTATTTGTACCTGTGTCTGTTTGTAACTGAGTGTGTGTGTGTGTGGCAGTGCGTACATCCAGGCATTCATACTCCCTACTCCCTCCATGACCCAGAGCAAGTGCATATGTGTAGCTTTGTGTGTATATCTGTAACCGTGTGTGTGTATATACCGTATTTACTCGAGTATAAGCCGAGTTTTTCGGCACATTTTTTGTGCTGAAAAACCCCAACTTGGCTTATACTCGAGTCAATGTCTGTATTGTGGCAATTTATATTGCCACAATACAGACCAGGACCGCCGGGCTCATTACAAGCCCGGCGGTCCTGTTGGGGGCTGACAGTGAGCGGTTACTTACCTTCCTGCAGCTCCTGTCAGCTCCCTCCTCCTCCGTGCAGCTCCCCGGTCAGCTCCGTTCTGCTCACAGTGTAAGTCTCGCGAGACTTACACTGTAAACAGAACAGAGCTGACCGAGGAGCTGCAGGAAGGTAAGTAAGAGCTCCCTGTCAGCCCCCCACTGAACTGCCAATGCCACTGGACCACCTGGGATTCAGTATTTTATTTTAATAATAATAATAATAATAAAATATTATTATATTATTATTTTAATATTTGCATTATTGTCCCCTCTCCCTGCTTGTTGCCTGGTCAGGGAGGGGGGACAAAAAAACATTAAAAAAAATTCAAATATTAAAATAATACTAAAATAATATAATATTAAAATATTATTTTATTATTATTAATTTAATATTTGCATTATTTTTTTTAAATGTTTTTTGTCCCCCCTCCCTGGCCAGGCAACAAGCAGGGAGGGGGGGACAAAAAAATATATATTTTTTAAATAAATATTTTTTTGTCCCCCCCTCCCTGCTTGTTGCATGTGAGTCAGTGACTGTGTGCGTCCATGTACTTTTCAAGAGCAGTTCGCAAAAGCAATATATACTTATATTATTATTCAATCAACATTTCAGATGTTTGTCCATTACTGAAAAACAGTTATGTGATTGAAAACATTGACGGCATACTGTTGCAGATCTGCATAGAATAAGCAGTTTTTTAGAGTGATAAACAAAAAACCTCCGATATTTTTTAATGTGCATGGGGATTTGGGATAGTATGCAAGTAACTTAATTGTTTTTTCTTTCATCATATTGGGGCTAATGTGTACTAGAGTCATTGCTGCCACCCAGAAGCAGTTGGAGTTTGAGCGCAGGCCTTAATTATGTATGTTTGTATATGCTTTTTGTATTAAACCACCATGTTAAAGTGCTGAGATCCACCACCATGTGTTCCCTATTAAGGCTTAATAAATGTGTTTGGGTTTAGAAAAATAGCGCTCTCTGTCTTGTTACAGACCTTGACTAAAAAGAAAAAGTAAAGTGAATTGTTGGTGTAGGACGTGGCATGTGAGCTTACATTTTAATGGCTATTGGAGTAATACTATTTATATCCCCATAATCATTTCATTAAGATTACATGTTTTCTGAGTTTAAAGAATCTCTTTAAGACTTTTCTTAGTGTTTCTAATAATAGCTAGACAGAAGTGATTGTATAACGAGTCTGTACGCTTTTAAATAAGTGGATTCATCTATTTGCCTATCTGTGATCTATCAATTTATCTTTCGGCAGCAGGAAGCAGTCCATTGGAGAGCCCAAGAAATTTTTCCACCACTGCATCCGTGAACTTTCCCTTTGCTCGGAGGTATTTTTCTTTTCTTCTTCTTTCCATAGTTTGTTGAAGCATTTATTAAATTTGTTGTAGAAGGTAACATGTTTGGAATAATCTGAAGGCCATACATTTTAACTGACAGATTTTCTTTCATTTATCTGGCTTTAAAGGGAATGGGGCTTTCTTATTGGACCAGCATAATACTTAAGACAAGCTTTTGAGAACATTCATCTCTTCCTTCGATATTGCTTCAGACCTGAGGAATAGAGTAAACTTGAATAAAAGCTTGTCTTTTAGTATTCTGTTGGTTCAATAAAAAAGGTGTCATTGCATACTTCAATACTCTGGTATTTTGGCATCTTGTCTGCTGGACTAATATGGCTATGTATATAATATATACATATACTGATCAGCCACAACATTAAAACGAGTGACAGGTGAAGTAAATAACATTGATTATATGGTTACAATGGCACCTGTCAAGGGGTGGGATTTATTAAAGGGATACTATAGTCACCTGAACAACTTTAGCTTAATGAAGCAGTTTTGGTGTATAGAACATGCCCCTACAGCCTCACTGCTCAATCCTCTGCCATTTAGGAGTTAAATCCCTTTGTTTATGAACCCTAGTCACACCTCCTGCATGTGACTTGCACAGCCTTCCATAAACACTTCCTGTAAAGAGAGCCCTATTTAGGCTTTCTTTATTGCAAGTTCTGTTTAATTAAGATTTTCTTATCCCCTGCTATGTTAATAGCTTGCTAGACCCTGCAAGAGCCTCCTGTATGTGATTAAAGTTCAATTTAGAGATTAAGATACAATTATTTAAGGTAAATTACATCTGTTTGAAAGTGAAACCAGTTTTTTTTTCATGCAGGCTCTGTCAATCATAGCCAGGGGAGGTGTGGCTAGGGCTGCATAAACAGAAACAAAGTGATTTAACTCCTAAATGACAGTGAATTGAGCAGTGAAATTGCAGGGGAATGATCTATACACTAAAACTGCTTTATTTAGCTAAAGTAATTTAGGTGACTATAGTGTTCCTTTAACACTATAGTGTCCTCAAATTTCATGGGCAAGCGTAAAGATCTGAGTGACTTTGACAAGGGTCAAATAGTGATGGCTAGACGACTGGGTCACAGCATCTCCAAACCGGCAAGTCTCATGGGGTGTTCCCAGTATGCAATTATTAGTACCAACCAAAATTAGGAAGGGCAACCAGTGAACAGGCATCAGGGTCATGGTCGCTCAAGGTTGGTTTATGTATGTGGGGAGCAAAGGCTAGCCCTTCTGGTCCAATCACACAAAATAGCTACTGTAGCACAAATCGTTAAAAACCTTAATGCTAGCCAAAAAATGGCCGCGCTTGCATTTGGATTTCCCCATAGGAAAGCATTATTTAATGCTTTCCTGTGGGGTAAAATCGGACGCTGGAGCTCCTCATGCAGAGTGTGAGGATGTCCAGCTTCAGATAACGGACCAAAGGTCCGTTTCAATTCATTATGTACTTCTAGTGGCTGTCTGGCAGACAGCCACTTGAGGAGGGGTTAATACTCAGAGGCAATTAATGCAGTTTCTCAGAAACTACAATAATTATCAATGTAGGGTTAAGGGACAGGGGACATTGCACCCAGACCACTTCAATGAGCTGAAGTGATCTGGGTGCCTGTGCCGAACCGCCAGTATATCGCCGCCATGGATTCCCTTTCCCCAAGTGAAGTAGCTCTATCGACCATGAGAGTAACCATCGCTGGTATAGCCTTTTCATCGACACATTAGTCGAGACTGAATGCTGGGAGTAGATCTGTTTAATGCAGGCAAGCGCTCTCAATTTACACATACAGTAAACTCCTCCCTGTGCCTGAGAGATAATTGAGTCAGGAAACTTAAAACTCTCTCTCCCAGGTACAGAAAAATATAACAATTTTTCAACACCCCAAAAGTACCTCCAAAATACATGAAAACCCCTCAAGAGACACATCCTCGGATAGCCCTGATCTTAGTGCTTAACAACTCAGATTGGTTCGGTGGTTTGGAATTTCCATCAAGGTACAGTTTAGACCTGCCGGCCACGACTTAGAAAATCAATATAGTTACAGAGAAATCGTGGCAACAGCCGGTCTCAGTTTGAGTTTTTTTTATACGAAAGCAATTTACAATGTCTGAACTCTTTTAGTGCCTGCAAGAATGCTCCTCCCGAACGCAGTTGATGTTCACGGGAGTGCCAGGCCGAAATAAGTTCCAGGTACCGCTGCTTGAGTTCGGGAGACAAGATGGCCTTCATTCTGTCGACCATGTGCATTCAGTTACATGGAATGGCGGCCACCCCGGGGAGCCTTTTAGTATAGTTTCCATTGTGGTTTTGTGGATACTTAGTGTTCCAAATTCTAATGAGATCTTGGGTTGGTCCTCATTCGGGAGCCGAATTATGTGGGTTCGAACAAGCAATTGAACAGAAAAGAAACTAATGATACCAAACCAAGTAATATGGAATTCCTTCACAGTGCCTACCCTTTAATGTGGATGTTACTTTGACACGTACCACCTACCTAGAATTGTTTCAGATCACGTACAGCCCTTCATTGCAATAGTGTTGCCTGATGGCAGTGGCCTCTTTCAGCAAAATAATGCACCCGGCCACACTGCGAAATCTGTTCAGGAATGGTTTGAGGATCATGACATAGTGTTAAAGGTGTTGCCTTGGCCTCCAAGTCTAAAATATACTTATCCAAAAGAAGCACCCTCAACTGGTTTAAATGGTGATATATCATTCTATTTAATATACCTCTCAAATATCCATGCTCACAAATCCATTTCTGGACTAAAATATTGTCATCCTGTAATTTTCCAAGGAAGTGAGCAGTGGGAACATAACAACAAAGGAATACGGGTCTCAAAAAATTAGGGATTTCTATGGAGTTCAGAAGTTAGGCCATCCAAGGTGCCAGACCTCTGTCCGCCTCCGCCAAGCTGGACCCACACAATGAGTTCCGTGTCACAGTGGACACTCGAAGACCCTGGCAGTCCTCTCCACCTCCCACAGAGTCTGTAGACCAACTGCCTCCTGCACGTCTGCCGTACCACCAATCCTACGGTGGAGATGACTAAATATGCGGAGCTCAGTCTGCGCCTTGCCCTCATCGGGTGAAGATTAAGAAATTTTTTTAGCATCTGCTTTTTTCGTCGGGTTTTTTTTTTTTTTGTGCTCAGGTTTTTTATTTTTTACAAGTTCGGGTATTATGGTTTTTATTTGGCCTTTTTTGGGGCTGAAAAATGAAGATTTTAGAAAAAAGACCTCAAATGGTAATTTTTTTTTAAATTTATTTTTTTATACAGGTACTTGGTTCTTTTATTCCCCCCTCACTATTTTTTAGGGTGAGGGGGGTAGGTAGGGGATTATTCATTTTTGTTTTGGGTGGGGGGGTGACTAGGGGCTTGGGGACCCCTAGTCACCTTGGGGGGGGGAAATTTTCAAACAATAGGCCACCTCCCCATTGTTTTTATGCCCCCCCTGCCGCTCAGGGGTTGGGGTTGGGGGGGAGGGCAATAGGTCGTCCCCCCTCATTGTTTTTATAGCCCCCACCCTCCGCCCAGGTGTGGGGGCTTGTGGGGGGAGGACAATAGGTCCCTCCCCCCTCATTGCTATTTAGTGCCCCCACCCGCCGCTCAGCAGTGGGGGCCGGGAGGAGGACAATAGGTCCCTTCCCCACATTCTCATTTAGGGCCCCCACACGCCGGTCATAGGTGGGGACGGGGGGGCGGACAATAGGCCCCCCACATTCTCATTTAGGGACCCCACCCACCGCTCAGGGGTGGGGGTCGGGGAGAGGGCCTCTAGGGTGGGGGGCTCGGGAGCGGGGTACTAGGGGTTTTTTTTTGTTGTTTTTTTTTAACATTGAGCAGCCACAGTCTGCTCACTGTTTAGTTGACATGCCTCTACTCGCGGCATAGCATTTTAATCTCCCTTATGCTATTATGGGGGGGTTATATTGACCCCCATAGAGTGAGGGAGGACATGGGGGGGCTTAGGAAGTGGCAGGGAGGACTGCTCCCTGCCGCTTCTATTTTTAAATTTTAGGAGGGAGCTGCGCGCCGGTAGCTCCCTCCTTGTAATAAACTGAACGAACACTGATATTCAGTGTTTGTTCGTGTGACATTTCTATTGATTCATTCATCTTTCTGACGAATGAAGGAATATATTAAATTCCTGTTCGCGTGCCCAAGTGTTTAACTGGGCATGTGCGGAAATTTCACAGCGCTATCTAGTGTGGGCAGATGACATGTCCCACAGGGACTTCATCTACCCACACGAAGATGGCGGTGCCCAGAACCTAGGTCCGGGCACAAAATAAAGTTTAAAAACTAGGTAATATGGGGGGCTTCGGGGCATTTGGAGGTCACTAGGGGGTCAATTAGATGTAGTGGAGTCTGGAGGGGAGTTAAAAAACAAAACAAAAACGGGATTCGTCCATGACAGTGTCGCTTTACTGCATGTGAGGCGCTCGCCACACATGTGCGTTATTTTGTCTTCATTGCCAACATCAGTGGAGACAGAGCCTGGAGAAGGGACCTCAGCACAAAAAAGAGTCAAGTGTTTTAAAGTTGTTGTTTTTTTGCTAGATTTTAACATGCTTTTCCTCTGTGTTGCTCACTCCTGTTTATTTGTTATACATTTGTATGCATAATTGTTTCTTGTCTCTCTGCCCTCTTTCTCTCTCATGTTGCTGCCAATAATGTTTGCAGTTATGGGACTCGTGCAGACAGGTAATCATCCAATTTGGAAGTTGCTTCTCTCTCATTGTACCTGTTGCATGAATTTATCATGTTTTTATTTGTTAAAATGTGATGCATGTGACTTCCAGGATTTTGAAAATTTACAGCTATGGAATTAACCAACAAGAAACTTGCCTTTTAAAGTTCCTAAAATTGTGGCTCTTGTATAGGCATGATTCTCTCACTTTTGGTCTAAGGGGTTTGATCTTCTCCAATAAATGTTTTTCTAGCTGGGCAAGTGCATTGCCAGTTTTAACGTTAGTGGCCTTTGAGAAAGCAAATGGATATGGATATGAAGATCAGGAAAAGTGTGAATGTTGCCTGCTTCAAATTTTGTAGAATATTGATAAATGCTTAAGGGGCTATTAAGCTAGAGATTTGTGAAGCAAGAATGTTGTTGTAAATGTGCTCTTTTCTTGCTTTTTCCTTTCAGAGCTGATGGTCGTAGATGGTCACTTGCATCTCTCCCTTCCTCTGGCTATGGGACCAACACTCCAAGTTCTACTCTCTCGGTAAACCCCTTCTTGCTCTGATTTTAAAAACACATCATGTATGGCATTTATAAATACAATCAAGTCAGTGACTGTATTGTAACTGTATTGTTCACTACACAGTGTTCATAAATAATTCTTTTTTTTTTTTTTTTTTTGTATAAGTGGCTTGGCCTTTAGAGTGAGAAATTGTGTTTTTATGTGTGTGTTAAAGTGACAATATAAGCACACAAATTAGTAGGGATGCACTGGAATGAAAATTCTGGATGTCCTTGGCCGGAAACCAAAACCGAAAATGACTTTTTTCCCGCAAATAATTTGTAAAGTGTTTTTTTTTATTTATTTATTTATTTATTTTTAATAATTTTATTAATATTAGACTTTTTAATGAATTTAATCTAATATGAAAAATGTTCCCTTCTCTTTTAGTGGTCCCACCCCCTCCTTAATGTTCCTCTCTCCCCCCTCTAGTGTTCCTCTCCCATCCCTCTTTTTTTAGTGTTCTTTCCTCCCTCCTCCCTCGTCCCATAGTGTCCCTCCTCCCTCGTCCCATAGTGTCCACCCCCCGTCCCATAGTTTCCTCTTCCCTCCCCGTCCCGCAGTGTCCTCTCCCCTCCCCCGTCCCGCAGTGTCCTCTCCCCTCCCCCGGCCCGCAGTGTCCTCTCCCCTCGGCCCGCACCCGCAGTGTCCTCTCCCCTCCCCGCACCGCCCCAGTGTCCTCTCCCCTCCCCGCCGCCTCCTCTCCCGCCCGCAGTGTCCTCTCCCTCCCCCGCCCGGTGTCCTCCTCCCTCCTCCCTGCCCGCAGTGGCCCGCCCGCAGTGTCCTTCCCCTCCCGCCCGCACCCGCCCGGTGTCCTCTCCCCTCCCCGCCCGCAGTGTCCTCTCCCTCCCCGCCCGCAGTGTCCTTCCCCCCCGCCCGCAGTGGCCCGCAGTGTCCTCTCCCTCCCCGCCCGCGTGTCCTCTCCCTCCCCGCCCAGTGTCCTCTCCCCCCTACATCCCGCAGTGCCGCCCACTCCCTACCGCCCGACCCGACCCCCCGGTGTCCTCTCCCTCCCGCGGTGTCCTCTCCCCCCCCACCCTCCCCGTCCCGCAGTGTCCTCTCCCCCCCCCACCCTCCCCCGTCCCATGATGTTATTTCATTGTGATATATAATCATCTGAATTGTTAATGCAATTTTTATTTTTTTTATTTTTTAAACTTCAGCAAATTTTACCCTTTTCAGTCGAAATTTCAGTGCATCCCTAAAAACAACTTTAGCTTAATGAAGTGTATAGACCATGCCTCTGCAGTTTCACAACTCAATTCTCTGTCACACCTCCTCTGGCTGTGACTTACACAGCCTGCATGAAAACTATTACATTACATTACAAAATACTACATTCAATCCGATGTTAACTTGCTCTAGAAGTTTATCTCTTGCTCTGTAAATGTAACTTTAGTTACACAAAGGAGTCTCCTGCAGGCTGTAGCAGGTTAAGAGAGCACGAGATAAGAAATTCTAAATTAAACAGAATGTGCAATAAAAGAAGTTTAAATATTGACTCTTTACAGGAAATGTTTAGAAAGGCTGTATAAGTCACATGCAGGTAGGTGTGACTAGGACTGCAAAAACCGTAATTTAACTCCTAAATGGTAAAATATTGAGCAGTGAAACTGCACAATCTATACACCAAAGTTGTCTCATTAACCTAAAGTTGCTTGGCCTAAGTGACTGTTCTTTTTTTAAGGTAGATTTTTTTTATTTATTTTTTCATGTCCTTAATTTTTCCCCTAATTTGAGATTTTTGCCAAGTCTTCATACTTTTGTATAGTCTCTGTATGATATCCACGCATTATGTAGCCTTTATCAAGTGTGTGTGTGTTTCTGCAGTCTTCCTCCTCCTCTCAGGAACGGCTACACCAGCTGCCATTCCAGCCCACAGCCGATGAACTACACTTTCTCTCCAAACATTTCCGGAGCACCGAAAGTGTCACAGATGAAGAGGGAAGGCGTTCACCATGTATGCGTGCTAGATCCAGAAGCCTAAGGTTAGAAATTATGTTCAGCTCAAAAACTATTATAGCTGGCTCACAATGTTTTTCAAAACGTGTCCTGTTATTCCCCTGCGATTACGTTTGTTCTGAGTGAAGAAATTGGCAATGTTATTCATTGGGTTCTTAGTATAAAGCACACTTTGCAAGAGTCACTTAAAATTAAATACAATCCCCTATCCGTCTTAATCTGCTCCCATTTAATCCTCCCAGGCACCTAATAGGGTTCTTATGATCACCAGGGTTCTTACACCTAATACCTTGTTTGGCCGATGACCTTCCTCTGGACAATGAAACAATTTGCAGCAATCTGTTCAGACTGCTTGCTGGAGTAGTAATTAATAACATCGAGACAGAGCTTTGGTGCATTCAAAGTAAAGTTTATTATGCAAAACGTCAGGGGTCTTATAGATATTTTATTCAATGTATTCCAATAAGGGGTACAAAACGAACCAGTTTCATTGTCTAGTATATTATCTGTCTTTTCCAGCTCCATGACGCAGAGAAGGGCATAGCTGGACTTGCTTTGTAATACTTAACCATATGTATGCAGTCTTAGATGAAGATCATTCTTTTTAAACATCGTCGCTTTAATCACCTATTGTATATTTATATATGTGTCTGTTATTTATCACTAAGAGGGACAGTTAAGGCACCCTAAGACAGCATAACAGCCTCATTTAACTTGAGTTGTTATGGTGCCTCAATGAGTTAAACTGTTCAGCGCATATCTCAACTCCCCCCAAACGGCATCCAGCTTCTGAAATTTCAATTTCAAGAAGCGCAGAGTGCTTCTGGCCAGGGTCGCCGCTGATTTTCTGAGAGTGGTCATCTGATGCTCTCAGCCAATCAGTGGTTCCCCACTCACAAAACTGGCTTGGAAAGAAATGCTTGGAACGAACCTGCGTTAAGGAGAGCTGGGGACTGATTTATTTATTTAATTTTTTGCATGGACATTATACATTTTTATGGGGCATAATCTGTCATGGATCAAGTGGGGAATTGGGTGGATGCCCATCAAGTTTTACCTTGGAGTCAAGCTCCTGTTGTATTTGAATCTAGTAATGCCCTTATTACAGACAAACAATATGTAAAAATAAAATTTGCAGTGGTTACACTTAGACATTTGCAACCCTATTATTTACATAGCTTTTTGTTGGTGTGTTGATGAAATGCATTTCATTAGGAAAATTAGATAAATGAACACAAGCATCGGGGGGGGGGGGACTTCTCGTAATTTACTTTCCAAGCTATTCACTAAAGTGAGAATTAGAAGTGAACTCAGAGTGGATTTCAAATTTAAGGTCAAATTTGCCAGACTGGAAATATTCTCTAAGACAGCTATGCTTTTTGGCCTTAAATTTGAAATTCACCTTGAGTTCTCACTTTTGTAAATAGCCTTGGCCGATGGCCGCACTGCCAATGTCTGTTAAGGAGTGAGACAGAACAATTTAGCAAGTACCGTATATGAATACAAAACATGAATTAACTTAAAGTAACGTGAATTGTACGACAGGTGCCATCTAATCTCTTCATCCAGCATGCTAAATACATTACACTGGTAACCGTTTTCTAGTTGCATTTGCAATCTTTTTGTTTTGTCTTTTCAGCCCTGGTCGTGCATTGGGAAACTTTGATAACGAGATAATAATGATGAACCATGTTTACAAGGAGAGATTTCCCAAGGTAAAATTAGCAAATATGTTTAAAATCTAAATTAATTTTACCTTGTCTCAGAAAGATATGGTACTCAAGATGAACTGCTCATTGATGTAATTTATAGTTCATTCCAATTTGCTTTACTGGTAAATGGATTGCATTATCCTATTTTGTTAAGAAACTCATTGCATTGTATCTTTCTGATTGTTAATGCTGAGGTTCCATCTTTATGGAAATAAATAAAGCTACCTACTCAAGTGGAGAGCATAAAATTAAAAGACATAGTTATTGTGTGTATCAATTAGATCAGTGGTTATCAAGTCATTGTCCAAGCTTGACAAAACGAGATTAGCTGTCAGTTTCATTGAAGTCTAATCTAAAAATGATTAATTATAGTTATAGTCATTTTAGTTCATATAATGTTATAGCAATAAGCATCATGATAGCCCTTTTTAATGATTGTATTTTAACTAGTTAAATCAGAATAGATCCAGTTACAAAGATAGTGACTACTTCCTTTTGGACAGGGATAAGCAAACCAAATTACCTTAACCACCAACTTCTTGGGATTTTAAGGGTTACTTAGTTATTTTATGGTGGTGATATCTGTATAACCTAAATCAGTGTTATCAAACACTCAACTCCCCTGCCATGGACTACAACTCTCCCACATAGATAATTATGGGAATTGTAACCAAATAACAAGTTTGGGGTGGGAAAGCTGAGTTTGAATACTCTGACCAGGAACTTTGATGGTTCTTTGTGACTGGTCTGACAACCACTGTTTCAGAAACCTGATTTTAACAAGGTCATTTATCTTGACCTGTGCTTTAAAACCCATCCAGGCCACGGCGCAGATGGAAGAACGGCTGCATGATATCATCACAAATTTCTCTCCCAACCGAACATTGCCGCTGTCTGATGGTGTCCTGGGCTTCATTCACCACCAGATTATTGAACTAGCCCGAGACTGTTTAGACAAATCAAAGGAGGCCTTGGTCACCTCTCGCTACTTTGCAGAGCTGCAGGAGAAACTGGAGAAAATGTTGGAAGATGTGAGTTGTCCATAATATTCACCAGATTTTGCATGAACACACGTGGTATAATTTTTACATTTACATTTGTTTCTTGTAGGGTATTGTTTTATGCTCATATATTATTAGAAAATGAAATATAGTGCAATATGATATAGGGGCACACATTTAACCTACTAGCATGATTTTGCAGCGATAATATCTAAGTAAATTAGTCTTGCATTTCCATCATACGTAGTACTTGTGTGTTAAAGGAACACTCCACATACCATAACCACTAACAGCTCGCTGTAGTAGTTGTGATGCCAGGAGTTCTCTGGCACCTACTTATTGTAAGGAATAAAACAATTTTCAAACTGTTTGAACTCTTACCTAGGGTTGGCTAGGCTCGCTACCTGCTTCCTCTACCATCTTTGAGAGCCAGAAGTTTTTGATTATGGCGTTATTCTCAGGACAGCTGTTGGAAGTTTCTGTTTAGGAACTTCCTGCTCTCCAGCAATGTTAGTGTAGACTGGGAGTAGTAAAGTAAAATGGTTTGCATCATTACAGTTGGGACGCACTCTGGCACTTGTGACACCATAACCACCACAGCAAGCTCTAGTGATTACGGTTATGAGTGCTCCTTTAATGCCCATTCTGCACATATAAAAGAGCACTGTAATAGGTGTATTCTCACAGGCTATAAATTTTACATGTAGAATGAACTATATGTGACTGGTTGCGTGTGCAAAACCACATATAAAACCTGTAAAATGTGTTTCTTTCTATCACGGGGAGTCATGGGAAATGCTTTATTTTTTTGTGTGCAAAAACTAAAGATTTGAGGATTCAAAAATACAGCATATGAGTGAGTCCAAAACATCAAATGCATTAAAGATGTATTGGTGCCCGAATTGTGTGCCTTTGATGAACTAGGGGGAAATTATAGTCTTTGCTTCAAACATCTAAAAGCCTGAGGACACACCTTTAACAAACTTTTCCAGTACAATTTGCTCAGCAAATAAGCTTTATTTGTATTTATTTATTTGGATACACATACTAAACATGATGAACCCCATAGTGACAAATAATTTTACCCTTTTTTTTTTTTTTTTGCTCAAATTTCAGCGGGGGTGGGATTCCCCTTTCTGATTTCAGCGGGGGTGGGATTCCCCTTTCTGATTTCAGGAGGGAAATCACACCATGACTTAATTTTTCCATCGTGTGTTAAGATGTTACACCTTAATTTGTTACTGTACCTTTGGAAACAAAACAGAATTATTGAATGTTGCTGCTTAAACAAGTTGCATGTATTTGCTCACTACACACACCTTTCTGTGATTTAGGCATACAACCGGTCAGATAGTGAAGAAGTGACATTCATTATCCAACTAGCACGGAAGTTGCTGATTATTATTGCCCGACCTGCAAGACTTCTGGAGTGTCTGGTAATGAAAGCAAGCCTCTCTGTTTTTTTTTTGTTTTTTTAAATATACATGGTGCTCTTGTAGATATTTGGTAAAATGACTATTATTTATATGTATGGGGGTTTAAAAGAAAACTAGTATATGGAACAGTAAATCATGCAAAACATGAAATGTTTCTGTATTTTATAGCTTTGTGTTTAGGTTTTTGGTCTCTCTGGCTAACGCTTCCTGTATACTTTACAAGCCACAAAAACATATGAGTATAAGAAAGCATTCACATAAAAATAATTTATATGTACATATCCATGTAATAACATACCTACATATGTAGACTCACATATACTGAGCTACTTACATGCACACAGTCAAGTAGACACACAATCACAAATTTAAAGGGACCCTATACACACCAAAACAACTTTAGCTTAATGAAGCAGTTTTCATGTATAGATCATGCCCCTGCAGTCTAGCTATTCGATTCTCTGCCAATTAGGAGTTTAATCACTTTGCTTCTACAGCCCTAGTCCCAATTCCCTGCATATGACTTGTACAGCCTTCCTAAATACTTCCTGAAAAATAACCTAGATATTTTTGGTTTTTGTATTGCACAGTCTGTTTAATCTAGAATTTACAGAGCAGTAGATAAAACGTATAAAGCTTGTTAACATCTGATTAAAAATGAAACTAATTTTTCATGCAGACTGTGTCTATCACAGCCATGGGAGCTGTGGCCTTGGCTGCATGGGCAGAAGCAAAAGTGATTTCATTCCTAAATGAGAATTGAGCAATAAGACTGCAGGAACATGATCTATACACTCAGCTGCTTAATTAAGCTAAAGTTGTTGTCCAGCCACATGTAGGCATTGGATTTGTTCAATATCTTGCACAAGCTCCTTCATGATTTCATCCGTGGTGGCAAGCATAGCAGCAGGTGCTGGGCTATTACTCACATAGCTTCTCCCTGTATTACTCTTCTCCAGGTCTGATTAGGCAAGAATAAGCAGCCACTTGCTGGTTAAAAAAGTAAAACCTGCTGCCTTACACCTAGGCAGCATAGGTCAAATGCTTTACTTTTTACAGCAGTAACCTTTAGCTCTTTACAATTAAGGGTTGCATTTGTGAACTGTAGTGTTTTTTTTCTCTTTGTATTTAGGAATTTGACCCAGAGCAGTTTTATCATCTTCTGGAGGCTGCTGAAGGTCATGCCAAGGAAGGCCAAGTGATAAAAACAGATATTCCCCGCTACATAATCAATCAACTTGGGCTCACGAAGGACCCTTTAGAGGGTAAGATGCAAATGTGTCACTGAGAGTTACCACTGAAAGTTTAAAAAGGTTCCCAGGATATTTATTTAATATCAAGAGAGTCTGCTTTACAGATTTATACTTTTGTGTATACGTTTTAGATTCTGTTACTAAAGTTGTACTCTCAGTATGCAATATTTTGCAAATGTCTAGTTTTGAAATCATAGCTCACTCCTAACTGCCAAAAATTAAGGAAACGCTCAAAAACACTTGCCACTGCAGCTCGCTCTTGTGGTTATGGTGTCCCCAATTCTAACTAGAATGTTTTGACATCGTATTTGTGTCCCACTGTTCAACACCTGCACTGTTAACCCCTTAACGCAGTTACGGCGTTCTATGCCGTCCCCATTTAAATGGGCTTTAAAGCCATTGTGGCGGCATAGAACGCCGTAACAGCTGCAGCCCCCAGAGCGCCTGGGATACTTACCTCCACCGCGATCCTTTTCGGGAGGACTGCCTGACAGCCCAGGCATATCAGGATGATGAAAGTCTGTGATACAGACTGAAACGTTGATTTTTATTTTGAGCTAATAAAAGCTAAGTTTTATTCATTCTACTTGGAAGTCCCTGGAGTGCTATCTTGTACTTTTGGCTGTATCTGTTTGCTGATAAGCACCGGGCAAGTACATCAAGGAAGGTGGAGTGCATTACTATTTTTGTTTTTTATATATGTATATGTGTATGTGTGTGTATGTGTGTGTGTGTGTGTGTGTGTATATATATATATATATATATATATATATATATATATATATGTCATACAAAGTGTATTTTAATATTAATATAAGTACATATATTCGTATTAAACTACACTTAGAATGACGTTATATATATAATTACAATAATAAATAAAATATTGAAACAAAATCTAATATAAATTGTATATTCATACGTAATTTCATTCTAACTGTATTTTGTTAATATATATGTAACAAAATACACTTAGAATGACTCTCTCTCTCTCTCTCTCTCTCTCTCTCTCTCTCTCTCTATCTATCTATCTATCTATCTATCTATCTATCTATCTATCTATCTATCTATCTATCTATCTATCTATCTATATATATATATATATATATATATATATATATATATATATATATAAATATTTGTGTTTAGTGAAGTCTCCCGAGAATAACAGTACCCCCATGTACAGGTTTTATGGTGTTTTGGAAAGTTGGAGAGTCACATATAAGGCTTGCATTTCATTTTTTTGACATTGAAATTTGCCAGATTGGTTATGTAGTCTTTGAGACTGTATGGTAGCCTAGAAATGAGAATTACCCCCATGATGGCATACCATTTGCAAAAGTAGAAAACCCAAGGTATTGCAAGTGGGGTATGTCCAGTCCTTCTTAGTAGCCACTTAGTCACAAACACTGGCCAAATATTAGTTTTTTGCTTTTTTTCCACACAAAAACAAATATGAACACTAACTTTGGCCAGTGTTTGTGACTAAGTGGCTACTAAAAAAGACTAAACATACCCCACTTTCAATACCTTGGGTTGTCTACTTTTTCAAATGGTATGCCATTATGGGGGGTAATTCTCATTCCTGGGCTACCACACCGTCTCAAAGGTAACATTACTAATCTGGCAAATTTCAATTTGAAAATGGAACGTTCTATATTTGACCCTGTAACTTTTCAAAACACCATAAAACCTGTTAATGGGGGGTTCTGTTGTACTCGTGAGATGTCGCTGATTACAAATATGTGCATTTTTTTTTTTTTTTGCAGCAAAACAGTATTATAGTATTATGACATTCACAGCTAAAATGTCAGACGGAAATACAAATAAAAAAAAAAATCTTATTTTCTCACTTTTTTTTTAAATTTTATTCATAATAAATTATGTTCCATATATGAATAGTTAATGATACATTAAAGTCCTTTTTCTCCTGAACAAAATGATATATAATAAGCGTGGGTGCACTTAATGTGACAGCGGTGAATTATGGTTGAACAGACATATAGCGCAAATTCCAGTTTTTGTTTACGTTTTGTTTTGATCAGAACGTGCACTATTGACTCCATCCTGAAGGGGTTAATGCCGGAGTGCTGGAAGTTCCAAAGTTTAACTCATTGGCTGAGAGCGGTCAATTGATGCGTTCAGCCAATGAAGTGTTTAACTCTGGAGAGCTAAAGTTCATTCTGGATCAACTGTTACAAGTAGAGGCAGGGAACACGGTTTGGTAAAAATAATCCAACCATTCAAAAACAGTTGCAATACTTACAATGAGGGAGTGTCAGGGTGCTCCAGGGAACCATAACCAATACAGTGAGCTATGTTGCTTGGAATGTTCCTTAAATTTAAATCTTAATAAAAAAGTAGGTCCATGCACTCAATGCTCAAAAGGGCATATTTATTTGGAATACAGTGTAACCAGCAATGTTTCGACACCAAGTGGATGTTTGTCATGGTTTTTTTTCTTTCTTTCTTCTTTTTTTTTTTTTTTTTGTTTTGTTTTTGTTTTTGGAAGCAGGAAAAATTGGCAAGCAAAAAGATCTGCGTGACTTTGACAAAATGGAAAGTCTTGTGGGGTGTGTGATCCTGTATAGCAATTATCACTGTCCTCTAGGGTACAAACATGCACAGTCTTTTGTCTTAATAAAGTGACTGAATTTGGAAAATCCACAGAGGAGGCAGCAGCATCAGGAACACAACCAAAGAAATAATACTGTAACAAAGCCCTGCAAACACAATCCTAGCTCATCTGAGCGCTTACTAACATTCAATTTCCCTCTCTATCAAGGGTTAAACCTAAACCTATCATAGGTTTCACCAACCTTGTTTAATAGCAACTTTCTGCACTCCAGTGCTCAGTCACCTTGTTGCTATCCTTCTGTGCTCCAAGTCAGCCTGCTGCTTCCAACCTCTCTTTACCTGCCTAGCAGGGAGGGGTTTATTCCTACCGCTGCAGCTGAGCAATGGGTTGGAGACCATCCAAAACCCTGGCCTGGACCTTATTTCTCTCAGTTGTGTAAAACCTGAGTGTAACTTCGACCCACCCTACTCTCCAAATGCTCCACCCCAGGGACCCATAACTAAACATTAATTTGTGTTGCATACTCCCCCTGGGGTTAAATGTCATATGCCTTTCTGAGGAAATTGGCAGATATATAAACACCCTCACAAACAACCCTATTCACTTTATCACAGGTGTTTCTGGTATGCAGTGGTTAGTACGAATAAAAACGAGCAAAGGCTAACCCAACTGGACCCATCACAGAAGAGCTGCTGTAGTCAAATTGTTGATAAACTGGTCATGATAGAAATGCATCAGAACACACAGTGTATCGCAGTTTGTTGCATAGCCACAGACCGGTCTGTGCTCTGGGCAATGTTCTTCTGGGAGACATTGGGTGCTGGCCTTCATGTGGATGTTACTGGGACTCGTACCACCTACCCACAGATGGTTGTAGACCACATACAACCCTTCATGGCAATGGTGTTTCCAGTGACAATGGACTTTCAGCAGGATAATGCGCCCTGCCACACTACAAAAATTGTTCAGGGAAGATTTAAGGAACACGATAAACAGTTCAAGGTGTTGCCTTGGCCTCCATATTCCCCAGTTCTCATCCAATTGCTCATCTGTAAGTTGTGCTGGAACAACAAATCTGATAAATGGTGGCCCCATCTCACCAATCTGACCAATCAGAGTGTTGCTGCGGGTTACCACTTCAACACTCTGACCAGGTCTCGCGAGATACATGGTCTGCAGCTCTGCACAGTGCGGAGCTTAAGACCGTAAATCTCCACCGGACCACCAGGGCATGAAGGACACTTGACCAACAGGGAATTAAGGTATTCAATCTCACACCCCTCCCATTACCCTCTCCCTCACACTATCACCCCCTCCCCTTCACACTATTACTCCCTCCCAGTATCCCCCCTCCCTTACACCATCAGTCCCTCACACTTTCACCCCCCTCCCTTTCAGTATACCTCCTCCTTCCCAGTATCCCCCCTCCCTCCCAGTATACCCCCCTAACACTATCACCCCCCATCCCTTCCAGTACACCCCCCTCCCTCCCAGTAAATCCACCTCACACTATCACACGTGTCCCTACCAGTATGTCCCCTCGCAGTATTCCCACCCTCACAGTATTAACCCCCTCCCAGTATACCCCCTCCACCACACTATCACCCCACTTACAGTATTACCCTCCTCCCTCACAGTATTTCCCACTCAAGCACAGTATTACCACCTTCCCCTTCCTCACAGTATCACACTCTGCCACACTCACCATCACATTAACCACTCCAATCCTGTCACACTCATCCCTGCTACCATGCCACTATTGCCTAGACACACTCCACTAGCCCTGTCACACTCGCCCATCAAACCATGTCATACTCACCCTCCCTCATTTTCTCACAAACCCTCCCCCCATCTCCTGTCCCATTTGCCTCCTTCGTCCTGTCAAACTTTCCCTGCTGCTTGTACCCCTTTACTCACTCTGTCACAGTCACCAGCAGAAGACATACATCATACACACTTTATTATTTGGTAAATGATTTTTCAAAAGCTTTTTTTGCTCAAACAAAATTTTCATTTTTGTTTTCATTAACCCTTTCACACCAGTACTTATGTATACACGACTGCCAGGCTATGCAACCATACCCCACAACTGTGTATAAACGATTGGAATAACTGCAAATTAAATTTTAATTATTGCAAATTAATTTTGTTTGCAAATTATGCTTCAACTACAGCCAGAAAGCTCACAATGCAGGGGCACGTGAAGCTGTGACACTGCAAGCTTCTGAACAATGAATGCAGAGACTAACTCTTAGTATCCAGCGCTGCAAGCCCGCCTTTCAATATAGCGACTGCTCCTTACACACATAAAATACAACCCTTTTATTTTATACTTTGGGGCTTAGTGGAGCCTCATGCTTGAATTTCGCCTAAAGCCTCATAAAGCCTAGAGCTGCCTCTGCGTACAAGATACCACAGGACACATTCAGAGGTCTTGTGGAGTCCATACATCGACGGATCAAAGCTGTTGTGGCAGCACGAGGGGACCTACGTAATATAAGGCAGGTGTTTTTAATGTTGTGGCTGATCAGTGTATATTCTTCTATAATGCAGGATGGAGACTCAGCCACTTTTTACGGAGTTTTACGGAGTAGTAGCAAAGAAAGAGTTCCTGCTTAAGGCCATGTGACTGTTTATTCTATTTATTCCCTCTATTTGTACTCTAACTATGCATATGTTTTCATGGATATACACATACATAATTTATAATAATGAATCGTTAATCATAATTTGTCTTCATGCGTGTAGTAAAACTAGCTACAGCATCAAGCTTATAAGAGGGTCATGTACTGAAAAAACAAAACAATAACAAAAAAAACCCAGAAGTTAAATAGTCTGCGTATCGCCATATCTATTTACTTTTAAATGAGTGTGCTGAAAGGTTCAGACTCACTAGAGCTTCACTAAATCCCTCTGTGAATGTTGACCTTTAATTCATTTTTTCAGTTAAACACACAATTCGGCATTGAGATCCTCATCCAACAGTAAAGATATACTATAATGGATACATTTCACCCCTCTTTCACTTATTTATATTTTGCACATATAATCAATTTTTAAAGAATATATTTTATAACTTATTGAATTTACAATGCTTTAGCTGCCCCAGTCTGTTTAACAGGAAAAAAAAAACTGTTCACGGAGAGATGATTTTAGGTACCTTAGAAAATGTAAACAATTATTTGTATTTGTGTGCTGTTCATTAATCTGTATTGTGTATACATTTTAGTCACTATGGCAGCACCATTCCTGCAAAACACATGTTCCAGGTGTGCATCCAATTCCTCTTTGTCTTTGCTAGAAAGTTCTAAAATTAGTCATAACCAGATTTTCAGTGTGTTCTGTTTTAAAAGTTTTTTTTTTTCTGTATTTTAATAAAATCTCTTTATATGTTTATCTGCAGAGATAGTTCAGCTAGATCACTTTGACAGTGAATCCACACTACAGTTGGAGTATGAAGACCACCAAGATGTGAGTAAAACAATGCATTCCCTACTTAGAAAACAAAAAAATAAGAAGCTCACTGCAGAGCACACTAGACTGTCTTGACATACTAGCAAAGTAAGAAATATTAGTAGGGAGCTGGATATTTTCATCCAAGCTGGTAAGTGTTGTTTGTGTAATGATGTATTGGCGTTATTGATTCCAATCCAGTGTTCAGAAATGTATGGCTTTCCAGCCTTATAAACAGCTAGCCTTTCTTTCTGTATTTTTAGGAAAATGTCTCAAGTACTGCTTACAAAAAGAAACCTGGCGAGTGTGACTTTGAAACGATCAAGCTTATCAGCAATGGAGCTTATGGGTAATTTATGTTTTTGGGTTTAGTGTTTTTTTTTTTTTTTTTTCTTCTTCTTCTTAAATTAAATCTGTGAATGTCAATTTTACTGTCCCTGAATGTTTTTTAATAGTAATCCCCGCTGTAAATTAAAGGGTTACCTTGCCTATAATATAGAAGCGAGAATGTCTTCATTTTGTTTTGTGTTTTGACACATTGTATTTTGCAGTGCTACTGCACAGAATTGGTGCAAACCTGAAGCAAGGATCTAAACCCTTTATAAACTTCTTTGGTCCAGTGTCCTTTCGTGATTTGTCCTTAAGTATATCGTAATGTTTATGATTATCCTGTTGCCTTTGAGCTTGTTTATCCCAGCTTTGTGTAACAGTCTCGGCTATATTACTAAATATAAAATATCTAACAGCTGAGTCACCGTGTGTATCCATCTTGCAGATAAGGGTGACGGAATTCTGGCCCTAAGCTATGGTTATTATAGGTCTGAAATCTATGTTTTAATTAGAAGTGGATCTGATATTTTTATCAGTTGTGACAGACTTTACTCTATTCTATAAGAAATCGGTAGGAACTTGCTACTACGTGCTTAGAGCTTCTACCCCAAAACTCTCAGAGGTTCTTTATATATCTTACTTTATGGTAATAAAGAAAGGCTTCTGTCCCACATGTTTGAAATATATATATAAAAAAAAAAAGTATTTTTCGACACCAGGGTTAAAAAAACAAAAAACAAAAAAAACATTATATACATATATTGTTAGTGAATAAATCTGGCAATCCAAGAAGGAAATACTGTAAATTTTACATTAATCCTTGGACGTATTCAAATCAATCCTTGGATGTCAAGTGAGCAGAACATAAAAATTAGCCACTGCAAGATCATACAGGCTGGCACTACAATACACTAAATCTGAATAAGATGCCTTTGCTGTGTATCCTGCCATATGAGATAATGAAAATGGTACTGACAGCCCTTAACTATACAGCAAAGCAATTGCTTACACACTGTATTTGTTGTGTATTACCTCGTATTTCTATATGGGTTATTCTATATCTGCAATATTATACAAATATTCCTTCTGGGATCAGCATCAGAAACAGATGTGCGTAAGGCTAAACGTAATAGACTAGACTAGTCATTGTTCATCCTATATTCATATGTAAACAAACTCAAGTAGCGTATACGAGTACACTGTTCCACTTTTATGACGGCACTCTGAAGTCTTATCATAATAGCTAAACATTTCCTACAGGCTGGTTATCAATAGCTAACAGTATATGTTTATGGGGATCAAACCAAGATATGCGATTGCATATGTTATGAATAAAGAGTCTATATTGTCAACTCCCAATAATACATATTGGTTTCTGTATGTTTTAGAGGATACTATTGTGGTGGTCTAATATCTTTGCACGTTTACATGTTTTGATACTACTTCACTCCCTTTTTTTTTTTTTTCAATAACATTCGGTCTGTGTCATTTTACTTTTAATGTGGAGTAGATGCCTAAAGTCCTGAAATGTTTACTATACATTCACAATTATGATAATGTGTCTATACACACTAGTCCCTTAGTTGTGGATCACTACACAGTGTCACCCTCCACATTTCTACCCCTTCAGTGGTAAAATAAAATAGTCCCTACATTTTAAATAAAATATTACTAAACTATTGGAGATAAAAGCTATGCACAGCCCTCCTAAATATATATTTAGTAGCAACCTCTCAAAAGGTTTACCATTTTAATGTAATTTGTGAACATTATATTTAAAGACTTGTTTGTTCATATCATTAAAGAGAACAGTTGCAGATTGCTGGTTTGTCTAGTGTGAATGCTTTTATAGTCTTCCGTCAAACCTGGGCTCTCTTATAAGGAGATTCTGTATAGCTAACGTTTGTCATTTTCTGCATAGTGAGCCTTATGTTCTCTCCATATAGTGCCGTGTACCTTGTCAGACACAAGGAGACCCGGCAGCGTTTTGCCATGAAGAAGATCAACAAGCAGAACCTTATCCTGCGTAACCAGATCCAGCAAGTTTTTGTGGAGAGAGATATCCTAACATTTGCAGAAAATCCCTTTGTTGTCAGCATGTTCTGTTCCTTCGAGACACGGCGACACCTCTGTATGGTGATGGAATATGTGGAAGGTAAATGTGAAATTCTGATTGCAACATTGTTCAGTTTTTTGACATGGAACAACTCTGCATTGCTCTGATGGCTTCTTGCAAAAATCAGACTACAGTTCTTCCTTAGCTGTGTTTTTTTGTTTTTCATTATTTGCTTGTGTTTTTCAATAAGGAAAGCTATTTATGTCACAGTTTTTTGTGATCATTCCACTTCTTTTGTTTAAGCTTATCTCAATCTCCTTAAAATAGGGTTATAAGAAAGTTGAGCTAAGGACATGCAAGTAATTGGTTATGCATGATGTGATCTTAACCCAGAGCAGTTCTTCTTAAAGTTGATGTATCTTGATTGGAAAAATACAAAGCATAACTTATAGTCAGACTGTAAGCTTGTTTGAACAGGGCCCACATGCATTCTGTTCTTGTGTGCCTAACTTGTCATTTTACAAATACTTGTGTTAGTCCACCTATTATGCAGCGCTGCAGAATTTGTTGGGGATTTATAATTAATAATACATGTAATAGTACTTTAAGTTAAAAGTTCAGTTTAAAGGAATACACTAGGGACTATTACTGCTTTATTTCATCAACGTGGTTATAGTGCATAGAATCCCCTGGTGAGGTCCTAGATGCCTGCAGCCCTGATCCCAAATGGCTAAGGCTAAGATTGCATTCCACAATAACCATAATACCTCGTACCAGAGATGGGTATCAGGAATTGACTGTGAAGTTCTGTGAGGTGAAGTACCAAGAATGCCGATTAAAGCAACTTGTAGGAAACCCTTTATTTGTTGTTTGTTTCATTTGACATAAACTGTTCACAGCGGAGTAAAATGCTATATATTGTTTGCTTATATCAGTGCTTGTCTTTTTTATTTTTTTGTAGGAGGAGATTGTGCCACTCTTCTTAAGAACATGGGGCCACTGCCTGTTGACATGACCCGAATGTACTTTGCTGAAACCGTCCTTGCACTGGAATACCTTCACAACTATGGGATTGTTCACAGAGACCTCAAACCAGACAAGTATGCCCTTTTCTCCTGCTTTGGTTGGAACAAAAAAAGTATGCACTGTGTGGTAGTGATCTATTAGTATCTCAAGTTATGCAATAGTTTTTTTTTGTTTTCTCTCTCCTATTTCCTGACACTATCAGGGGTTCCAACTTCACACACACTGACTCACACTCACACACACACACTCACTCACACAGCTTTTCTAGCAGATTTTGTAAGGTAGCACATTAAACTAGAGCAGAAAATATGGGAATTCTTAGAACGGGAAAAGGCTTAGAAAAATCTCAATAGCTGCCCTTCAGTTAGTGCACGCTCATATTTCAGACAGATTTTGCTGACTTGTGTTATTATAGAAAGAACTGAACACATTTGCATATTACACTGATCCTGCCAATAAAGGCAGTTCAGATCCAAAATGCAGTCAGGCAAGGACGCTGATAGGATCAAAAAACTGGTCTTGAGCTCAAAGTTAATTTGGTTACCCCTTCCTAAGTAGAGGTCCCAGACCTCTACTTCAATAAAACTCACAGTAATGTTGGGGGGGGGGGTCATTTTTAGCACAGTTTAACAGCAATAAAATTCACAGTAATGTGCAGCCCTTAGACGCCACTCTAAACCAGTGGCATGATGTTCAAACTTGGTATAATACATTAATATGAATGTCTTCTTTAGTATTTAGCATATCAAATCGGACCGGAAATTTTCTGGGGATGCCCATATCCCCTAAATAAGCACCTCCCCTAGATCTCATAAACCACAATCACATTACTGCATTTCTACAGTGTGTCATTGTGTGTATTTTGGGATGTATTTCCTGGGCACTGGGTGTGTGAATATAGAGTGTATTTCTATAGAGTGTACTGTGTGAATATAGGGATTTATTTATGAGTAGTGTCAGTGTGTGATTGTGGGGGTTTATTGATAAGTAGTGTCAGTGTATGATACTCCTAAATAAACACTCACATTCAATGTATGAATGTGGAGCAATAGTGTGTATATTTTTTGTAGAGTGCATGCCACCTAAAATATTAGAAGTATACATTTTAATTAAATCCGTTTTACCCTTTTCTTGTGCCAGTGTGTTTTCAGCATCTACAGCATTTTACAATGAAGTTAAATATATAATGTATGTATCAAATACGCACAAACAAGCCATGTCTAATATAGATTTATTTTTTTGTAATGTGGACCCCATATTTACAGAATGACCATTCTTCCAACATAAGATTCAAATGAGATAGCGTTCAACATATGCATGTCGTGTAATCCTTCTCGCTCTGTATTAAATCATTAATCTACTGGTTTTCTTGTAAAGAATAATGTGAACTCGCACTTACACAATATAAGAATGTGTTTGAGAATAGGACTGCTGCCCCTCAATTGCAACAGCCCTTAATTCACCTGAATGCTCTTACAAATTCACTCACTAAAACAGAGTTCAGCAATTGTGCAATGCATGGCACTCGAGGTGCCTTTTCAAGGCACTCAAGGCTGCCTTAAACAAACAGATTCTGGCTCTTCAGGAGTCCCAGTGGGACTTCAAATATCTGCTAGTGCAAACCGAGCGGTGATTGCAGGTGGTGAGGGACAATACTCAATTTACGCAATGCAACATTTAGAGGAAGTGATCTCTGACCACTTCCTCTCAGCATTTGTGAATGGGAGTAGACACTGGAGTAGAGCAGCCTGCAGCCGCTATCGCAGCTCCTGCCCTTGACCTGTGCCTGGCCAGCCTGATTACCACTGGACCCCAGAGAAGCCAACCACACTTCTAGATATATACAGAGCTGCAGAAGCCTTCCCCTCATACAAATAATACAAACATCCCACAAACAAACACAACACACAGTCCCCACTTAACTGACCATCCACATACACGCACACAACTCCACAAGCACCTCTCACATACATACAATGTGACAGACATATACACAAACCATTCTACAAGCAGCCCCCATACACAGCCCACATTCATAGGTATCATACACCACACCACAAACTACACATGAACATATACAATATAGCAGCCCACAAACGCACAAATACAAAGTTACAAAGCAATTGTAGTTCCCATAAATAACACAAGCACAATACGGCAACATACACACCTCATTAAAAAAAAAAAAAGAGATCAGCACGCCAAGAGACTTCAAGATCTTGTTTTGGCACAGTACACCTGCACTAAAGCACTGCTACATGTTTGGGCTCTTTTTAATATCTGGATGCTTGGGCTCTTTTCAATATCTGCACATGCAGAGAAATGCCTGCTTTTATTTAAACGGACACTCAGTTGCCAATGCTTTTTGGACTCACCTGATAGATTTTGACCTATAAAGATTTGAGCATGCATAAAATAGGGCATATTTATGAAGCCAAAATCAAATTCCTTTAATTTACATTGGTGCCCGGAGTGCCCCTTTAATTAATGACCCTAATATACTTCATACATTTGAGTTTATGAATTCTTAGACTGCATTTCTTATAATAAATGTTTTACAACATTGTTCCATAGTTGACCTCAAATATAAAAGTATTATTTAAGATCTCATCATATATTTTGCAGACTCTCATGGCATTGTATGATGTCTTAAATTTCTTTGCAGTTTGCTTATCACTTCCTTAGGACATATAAAACTTACAGATTTCGGCTTGTCAAAAATCGGACTAATGAACATGACTACAAACCTGTATGAAGGCCACATTGAGAAGGACACAAGGGAATTTCGAGACAAGCAGGTAAAAGCTGTTGAGTGAAATATTTGCCATTATATAGTATTAGTACTAGTAGCATCTCCATAACATTCCTTAAAGGACCACTATAGGCACCCAGATTACTTCAGCTCAATGAAGTGGTCTGGGTGCCAGATCCATCTAGGGTTAACCCTGCAGCTGTAAACATAGCAGCTTTAGAGAAACTGCTATGTTTACATATGGGTTAATCCAGCCTCTAGTGGCTGTCTCATTGACAGCTGCTAGAGGCACTTCTCACTGTGATTTTTACAGTGAGAAGACACTGCCATCCATAGGAAAGTATTGAGAAATGCTTTCCTATGGACTGATTGACGTCGGGAGAGGGAGGAGAGTTCCCCAATGCCAAGGGAGCCCAGCGCTGGTGAAAGGTAAGTGTTTAACCTCTTCCTCCCCCTTCAGCTCGGCAGGAATGGGAACCTGAGGGAGGGGGGGACCTAAATACCCTATAGTGCCAGGAAAACAAGTTTGTTTTCCTGGCACTATAGTGGTCCTTTAATAAAACTGATAACATATAATTCAAGAAGCCAGTGTGAATGTATTAACTGTGTGGTGTTTTTTTTTTTTTAAAGAACTCATCCATCTATTATTATTACCTAGCTTAAAGGTAGCCATGCACCTTTACTGCTGACGCTCATCTTTTCTTTTTTTTTTTTTTTTTTGCAATCTCCACACATTGTCTGTGGCAATACTGCAAGGGTTAGCCCTTGTGTTTTGACGCAAAAAAAATGCTCCATATGAAGTAGCGGGGTAATCCTATGGAAAATGAGTAACTTCTAATAAGAATAGGGAAATCTAAAATGACATATTTATCCCTTCCATATTAGGCATAGTACCCTTAACAATTTAGACAAGTATTTATATTCTAATTTGTAACAATTGTTAGTTAAATGTTTCACAAAAGTTTGCACTTTCTCAAAACGATAAGGCGTTTTGCCACTTATGCATCTTACCACAGCTTTATTAATTCTAATTTGTATGTCAAAGTATTGTGCAAGCACAAAAAAGTTAAAATAAAATGTTCTTGCCTTCAGGTTTGTGGAACGCCAGAATACATTGCACCAGAGGTTATTCTACGCCAAGGTTATGGAAAGCCTGTGGACTGGTGGGCAATGGGCATCATTCTCTATGAATTCCTTGTGGGTTGTGTGCCATTTTTTGGAGATACCACTGAGGAGTTGTTTGGGCAGGTGATCAGTGGTATGTGTATAAAGAAGTATGAACATGTTCAACATCTAATCATCTAACTTTCTTACTTGTCTTTCTCTCCTGTATTCTACCTTTATTCTTGTTATCTCAGTGTTGGGCATGTTTGTTGTGTTATAGATATGATTATCTGGCCTGGTGGAGAGGAAGCTCTTCCTGCTGATACTCAGGATCTCATTACCCGATTGCTTTGGCAGAACCCAATGGAACGTCTTGGGACAGGTATAACCTACACCTTTAAGAGCTATAATCCTATGTTTTACATATTTATTTTTAAATCCATTGCAGATTTAAATAATCTCCTGATATACTTTCATTCATTTTAGAGTCTTGTGACTCATTTATGGGCTTGTGGAATCATAATTTAAAAAATATATATATTATTTAATTGCTTCTACATTTAATCTGCTTATTCACTGTCTTTACGACCCAATTTCTCACTTTGAATAATTCATATTGGATACAGTGCTTATATTGGAATTTACAAAAGTGCTACAGTACAAACTGCATGCAGCATCTAAGCTCATTTGCGCAGGACCCTCAACACACACTGTTCCTGTGAGTCCAACTCGTCTTGTTGCAAATACTTTTCTGTTATTTTACCGATTGTACAGTGTTTTTCAATTTGTTGGTGCTTCGTAAATAATAATATACAGTGGAAAGTGCATTTAACAAAATTGTTATAAAATAAAGTATGTACACAAGAAGTAGAATACAGGCGCTAGTAATAGATGTCTAAAACAATAAAGATAAATACCAAGAAATGTTACAGTTAAAAGAAGCTGCACCAAAATAGGTGTAAAGCTCCAACAAACACTCATAAAATACAAAAACTCAAAATTAAGGTGTGCTGTGTCTTTAAGACCAAATTTATAAAATACCACAAGTGCAAGATATAGTAAAGTGCAAAGTGATATAAAGTGCACTCTGTGTATAGTGAAAATACCATATAAGATTTACTTATACATATATATATATATATATGCGTCCTCTCCAAGTATCATAACCATGTGGAAGGGAGAGACACAAAAAAACAATAGTGTAAACCCGTTAAAAGAAACCAATATTGGTAAAATGAAATGAAGTATACACTCACAAAGATAGAGCAGAGAAAGCCTGCTCTAACTATGTCAGCTTCTTCAAATGTTCCCTCTTGGGAAAATGACTGCACGGACTAGACGATCCACTTCACATATTTATTGCACAACACAGCACAGGTACAGATAGTCCTCCTTCCTCTATATCTAGTATACGTCCAAGTATTAAAAGCCGTTCACACATAGGGGTGTTGACCAGTCCCTCTGTGTTCAGCCGATACTGCCGCAAGCACAAACTTCCAAAGGTGCATGGTCAACGTGATGACGCGTTTCGCTGTATTCACGGCTTCATCAGATCTTAAAATAAAGTGCAAATACAAAACCACCAAGAGAAATGTGATACACAGTCTGGAACTTTTTCAATATCCTACGATCCTTTTGTAGCTTTATATTTCATAGTGTTGTTTAATGTGTTAAGACACATTGTGACACATAAGGATAAGGGTATACATTTGTAAATAATTTATATATCCTTGATTTAACTTGCATTATTTTGTATGCAACACTACCATTAAAGTCTACTATTACCATTTATTCACAATAGAAGTGAGACTTCTAACTGTGGGAATATCTCCTTTACTTTGCTTTGTTAATGTCTGTGATATATTGTAAGTCAAGCCCTTTCTCCAGTACTACTGTTGACACACTACTGTTCGCCTGGCCCCTGTTGACACACAGATCTGTATAACTGAGAGTCAGTTATTTATATATTTATTTGTAAATCACAATACCTCAATGAATTAGACAGATCAAACAAATTGTCTATATTCTCTGTAGGACATACTACGAAAGAGGAATTTCAATGTATCCTCTCCAGTAACACGTTTATAAAAAAAAATATGAATAAATATATCATCCTGGTTACTACGGCGATCACCTGCTAAATAATTCTTAGTACTACCTATACTTGAAAAATAGATTTGCCAGCTTTCAAACAAGTTCACTTACAGATCTCTAATTATAGGAGTTATATAGTTATAAACTTCTTTATAAACCTAGCAGTATTAGAGAAACTGCTATGTTTATAATAGGGTTAATCCAGCCTCTAGTGGCTGTCTCTTGACAGCCGCTAAAGGCGCTTGCGTGCTTCTCACTGTGAAAATCACAGTGAGAAGACGCCAGTGTCCATAGGAAAGCATTGCAAATGCTTTCCTATGAACTGGCTGAATGTGCATTCAGCCGATGATGTCGCTATGGAGGAGGAGGAGAGCTCCCTGCCCGGCGCTGGAGAAAGGTAAGATTTTAACCCCTTCCTCTCCCCAGCTCTCCCTTTGAACTTTACATTGACTTGCAGGTATGTTTATACTAGTAGTATTCATTAGTTTACTAGGGACAGTGTTCCAAATGTGTAAACCCTCACACACTTAAAGGGTTACCACAAGCACCATGACCACTTCACTTATTTGAACTGGTCATGGTGCCTGGAGTCTGTATGTGCAGAGTTTTTGCTATGAAATGCTGCAAATACAAACTCCAGGAACTCTCGGTTTACCCCTTTGCTACACCTCAAACCATGTCATTTCAGCGTCAGTAGCCAGCTCCCTTGTGCCACCCTGGGCTGACCTTTGCCTTCATTCAAACCAGGGGTTGGGGTAGGGGCAGCATAACTGCTCACTCACTGCCATGGTTAAGTCTTTATCCACTTCTTTGAATAAAAACCATTGGGAGATCTTTACAATGTCCCCCCTTTTCAAAATATATTCCCCAAATCCTAAACAAGGAATTGTCCGTATGAGTTGAACAGGCCGATAAACCAAAATTTCCTTTTGTGCTGCAGTTTAAATCTTAAATCTTCCTTTTTCTTTCCCGTGGATTAACATGTCAGTCACAGAAAAGAAGCAGTCAACCATGTAAGTCTGAGGTTTAAGTTTGATTTGATTTCCATAGTGCTATACATAAGGCATAATTATACAATAACAGTGATACACACTCAGTGCATTTTATTAACAGATGATGGTGTTAACATTGCCTTTTCTGAAAAGCCTTGTTTGTCTCTTTGTAGGAGGGGCACACGAGGTAAAGCAGCACACATTCTTTCACTCTCTGGACTGGAATAGCCTCCTCAGGCAGAAAGCAGAATTTGTTCCACAACTGGATGCAGAAGATGACACCAGCTACTTTGACAGTAAGGGAGCAATCCGAGAGATTGATATTTTGCATGTCCCATTTATGCAGTCATTTATATGGGCAAGGTTTATTACATTAACTGCAGTGCTAAACTAACATGAGTCTCAAGCTGTCCTCAGAACAGCATTTTGATAAACCTCTGCCACGCTCTTGATGTGTTTCATTGGTAGAGTAATATAGAAGTTGAGTCATCCATCTGTTTTTTTCAATAATACTTCTCACACCATTGTGACATTTAGCGTTGCTCTTTTCTTCTTTTTCTAGCCCGTTCAGAGCGTTATCATCACTTGGCATCTGAAGATGATGAGTCAAAAGATGAGGAGTCTTCAGTGGAAATCCGTCAGTTCTCCTCTTGTTCTCACAGATTCAGTAAGGTATGGAGCCTGCACTGACGAGAATATGAACTAATGGGTCCCTTTTCTTGTTTTTGTTTTAACATTTATTTTATTTATATTATTTGTGAATACATTATCGGTTTTAAAGGCAAGTACTGGAAAAGTAATACATGGTATTAACTACCTAACCTGCGGTAGAGGGAGATGGTAGAGGAACCAATAATGTGAGAAGTGATGGGCTATTTGACCCAGTATAACAAAAGCTTGACAAGGAAAGGTCCCTGCACAGGAAACGCATGAATTGATCTGTTTGGATGTTAATGTATATCAAAGTCCCATAGAGGGGTAAATCAGTTGTTTCCAGATGAGATGCTTAGCTATGTTTAATGTTTCAATTTTGAGCGATTTCTCATATATAGAGGATCAGGCGCTTGTGTGATATAGTTACATCGGAAGATTGGTGGGGAGTCTGAATTATTTGATAATTTTGTGTAACCAATATGATTGTATTAGTGGTACTCCCAACATAGAATTTAGATCTATCGAGTGCAAGAAAGGCATTAAAAAAAAAAAAAAAAAAAATCCTTTGTAGGTTTTTTTGTATTTTACTTACTAGGATAAGTTAGGATGCAAATCATTCACCCACAAATGATTATGGTATTGACAGAGCCATTAAAATCTCTGTCAAATAATTCCATTCAAAATAGTTAAGCTTTGTCTGGTAAATTTGCAGTGTGGCAGAGGTATTATTGGTTAATTGTCAGTAATTAAAGCATTGTAGAAAGTGTAACATCCCCTGTTTGTAAAAGTAACAATGTACAGAGTCGCAAATGTCAATAAAAACTTTGAGGTCTTAGACAGGAAGGAAATAAGTGGTAATGCTTGAATGGAAGGGAAAGTTTAGAAGTTGTATTTCTGAGCCAATGGAGGTCAATTATTAGCTTTTCCTTGTATACGATTTTGTACTAGATTCCTACTACTGTGAAATGTGAGCCAAGTGATTGGATCTTAACATTTGATTTCTTTATCGCTTTTCATCTTTTATGGATCCCCTCTTTTGTTAATTACACAACTTGCAAGATATGGCAAGTGTAGTAGTAGGTCTTAAAAAACTGGGACTGCAAGTCCTTCAGGGTTTTAGGTAAGGCGAACTGTTTGAATTTTTTTCTGGGTCTCCCATCCCAAAACTTGGATACTATTCTCCTCCCTACTAATTTCCTAAAATAACTTATTTTTATTTCGTTTGCCTGATTATGCAGTGTTTAATTTTTTGTTAATTTCTTGCTGTGTCTATTTCGTGCTAGTGCCTACAGCTTTTTTGCGCGCGCGCGTGCGTGTGTGTGCGTGATTAAAGTTTAACAGTTCTTATATATTGCATCCTTATGCAGAGTGTTTTACAATTTATGAAAACAGAGCATTTGTAATTATACAGAATATAGAGGCAATATAAACAAATTCATACAAAGCGAAAAGAGTACCTGCCCATGAGCTTACAATCTAGCAAAAATGAGCCAGGGTAGATGTGGTTAGGGCTACATAAACCAAGTTACTTAACTGCTAAAAGTTGTTTTGGTACTTGTGGTATTCCTTTTTATAGTCCTGAAATGTATCCTGGAGCCTGGAATAGATCTTTAATATGTTATTATAGGTGTACTGTAGCTCTGAGCATCTTGCTACACCTATCAACCTCAGCTTCTCCTCCACTGAAAGAAGCCACAGCGATGATAAAGAGGAAAAAGTGGAGACATGGGAAAGGACTGCATATGGAGAAGAGGAGAAAATCCGGGCCGCCCAGGAGACCAGGTATGGTTGAACCTACTGTAATGCTACAATAGCCAGTCCTGCCTAATTAATTTGTAAACAGACCAGTTTAAGCTATGATTACCAAACGGGGCTGACTTTTAGGATGTATGACTGCATAGGTCTCTCTGTTAGGACAGAGCTTGTATGAATGTATCAATGCTTATAGTGGCATAGGTGCAAGAATGAAAAGTAAGTCTCAACTGCAAGTTGGAGTACATTGTCTTTTTCAATACTAGGAAGTCACAAGTTGCACTTACCCCATTTAGAAGGATACAGTAAGCAATAAATCTAATACATCTTCATATAATTTTGGTGCTTAGATGCAGTCTATTTTGGACACTGTAAAACTGTCAGACTGACGTTGACTCATGCCTCTTCCTTCTACATGTTCGGTGCAATCGCACACAGTGTGATGATAAATGCAGCTTATCCTATAGAGGCACTGGATTATGTTTCTCCATAAAAAAAAAAAAATTGATTCGCTGATTGTAGCATATTTTGTCTATGTCCTCAATGCTAATGCTATAAGCAGCATTGGATGGGATAGATGATCGATACTGATAATCTCCCTGATTTGGTTGGGTAGATGCTGTGAAGAGACTCTTGCAGAGATCCCAGAGTACAGTTAACCCCTTAAGGACACATGACGGAAATATTCCGTCATGATTCCCTTTTATTAAAGAAGTTGTGTCCTTAAGGGGTTAAGTTTTATGGCTAGGGCTGTATAAACAAAGCATTTTAACTGCTAAATCTCAGAAAATTTAACTCTGAGACTGCAGTGACATGGACTGTACACCACAACAACGTATGTAAGCTGAAGTTACGCTCCTGCTTAGAGTTTCCCATTAAAACGAAACTCTGACTTCCTAGGATTTTTAATATTGCATTTAATTATCCCTATATTAAATATATATATTTACACCTCCTTATCCCGTAACTCGGTGCCACAATCTTTTGCTCCCTGTCCATTTTTGCTTTGTTTTTGTTGAATTATAATTCCTCTTCAAGGTGCACGCAAATGTGCTCCTTTTTTATTTGAAAGGTGTAAAGGGACACAGACAAATCCTTCGTTTGATATTAATGATCAACGTATTCTGTGAATGTTACGAATAGAGGTCGATGTGATCTTGATGACGACCTTGTTTTAAATTTTCATTGCACGTGTTTTCATTTATGTGATGATTCAATAGATTGCCCTATTTATTTGTGTGAGGGTAGATTTATAACCCACCAATGTTTATTGTTAATAGATTCCTCGTAAATCTCAAATATTGCCTATGGTTTTGTTTTTCCTTTCAAAATGGAGATTTAAAAAAGTTCAGTAATTGTCTTTGTGTTTGCCATGCAGATTGAGGTCCTGGACATCTTCTAGCTCCTCCTACCACTCATGGTTGAGTGAATTTAGAGCGAGTCCCGGTCTTTTGACAAGCACTTGTAGTCTGGATACCATGCCCAAGTTCGCCTTTTCATCTGAAGATGAAACCTCGGACCACAAAACAGAGAGAACAAGCTTTGGGGAAGTAGAAAAGTCACCTTTCAAGGCCACATCATTGTGTGGTAAGCATCACAGAAAATGTTGTGTAGCATGCTTGGTTTCACAAAAGATGTATTTTTATTTACTCATTTCATGTTGTTTCCTTACCCCTTCTAGGGTCAATATCGGGTTTTCAAATTTCATTACATACCTGGGACAGGGAGGCTTGGAGTTGTAGATAGTCAATGCCCTCCGCCTCCCCTTTAAATAAAATTCACACACAATGTCCTTGTCCTTTTACAAAATTAATGCTTTCATAACTGTATTAGACAGTGGTGAATGGGTTCCAGTTTTCTGTCCCTTACTGTGATTAAACAATATAGCCTGCTGTAGTCAGACTAGATTTACGATAAGGCCACTGAGAGCATTGTCTCTGGGTGTTACGGCTGGTAGGGGAGATCCCTCACCAGCCAGCCTATTCTCATGCCGGCCAGCCTGCATGAGATGGAGATACTGACCTGCTTCTTACAAAACGAAGAGAGTACCCTGTCCGTGAGCTTACAATCTAGCAAAAATGAGCAGGAGAAAGAGCAGGAGTTAAGCCAGGGGAGATATGGTTAGGGCTAAATAAACCAAGTTACTTAATTATTTCTTCCCCTTCCCATCAGGCTGCTGATTCGCTGTACGAATCTAGGGAAAGCAGGCAGAAATATCACTGTCTTAACACTTGCACATCCTACTCCATACATGTAAGGAAGGGAAAGGGGCCCATAAAGAAGGCAATGCAAGCAAGCGCAATTGCCTTCCCCTACACTACACTACACTACCCTTCTTGCTTTCCATTCCAGCTAGGGGCAGTGCCAGCCCCAAGCCAGCCCAGCAGCAACCTTTGCCCAGCCCATTGGCAAGCCACCAGTACCTGCCAAGGTCAGAGTGAGCATTACGCGGGTCAGTGTGTGTGTGTGTGTGTGTGGGTGCGTCTGCGCCGGTCAGTGTGTGTGTGCGTGCGCGCGCATCTGGGCGGGTCAGAGTGCGTCTGCACGGGTCAGTGCGTGCCTTCACAAAAGCCAAACTATATTTAAAAAATAAATACAAATACATTATAATTGTGTTGCAGTATCATGATTGTGTATATTATTTATTTGTTATATATATATATTATACGCAAACTATAAATTGACTGTTAATATACATATATAAATGAAGGGACTGCAAGTCGCATACTGAAGAAACTGTCCTTTGGGTAGCAAGGAGGGTAAATCCGGCCCTGGCTGTAGTTATGGTGCTAGGAGTGCCTTTGCACCATCCCACAGTAAGATATCAAACTGTTTTAGTACAGATTGAAAACTTAAGTGGGTCCCGCCAAGCACCATTCAGTCTTCTCCAGCAAAAGAACATGGATTGCTCTATAGTGCTAAAGAGCGCCATGCAGGACCACATTTAAGTCTAAAGAGACATCTGACTATCCCTGCAAGAGAAGACTGGATGCAGAGGATGGAACTGCAGATGCCAAGCAGGATCCCAGTAAGTTGTCAAACCATATGAAAACGGTTTGATATCTTACTTGGGATAGTGCCAGAGCACTATTTGTAAAATTGGATTATACTTGGTGTTCTGTTGCCCCAAAGGAAAAAAAATCAAGGGTATACACAAGGGTCATTACTGTACTCTATGAAAATGGCAAAAAGCAAATATGGGGAAAGTATTTTTTATTATACATTTGTAAACCTTTTGCAATGTTATGTTTGCATGTGTTCAAAATAAAAAAAATACCTGATATATTTCCAGAGAGAGTTGATAAAACAGGTGCATTACAAGATATAAAAAAAGACCGTTTTACATATGTATCCTTTTGACTATAAGTATTTTGTGTTTGATGAGCACTATTAAACTTAGATATCCAATATATCACAATTTAAAAACCTTTAGCTTTAAAAGTTTGCTATATAACTTGAAACTGTAAAAAGTGAAAATGCTGGTTATAAGAGTTATTCCCAAAATCAGAACAAATAGATTTGCAAAGATCCCCGATGGTGACAAAAATGCTGGGGCTGTGTGGTGGTCGGTGGGCAGGCAAAGGTGAGTTCTATTTATCTCTACCTCAACCTCGAGTAAACACCGCCGGTCTACTTAAACATGTGCGAGAGTATAGCATTGAGGTCTATGAAGGATCCCATGAGACCACTGGATTCTCCATAGAAAAAGCCAATTTCTTGTGGGAGGATGACGCTTCAGGGATGTTTTAGTTGCGAGGCAAACAAGGCATTTGCCTTGGGTGGCATTTTCCAGGGGGCAGCAAAAAAAGCCGCCCCCAAATGCCCAGGGCAAATGCTTGTTAGCCTTGCGGCTGACATGCTGGGTGGGCGGGCGGCTGGCTGGCTGGCGAGGGAGCACTTCCTCTGAGCTGTCTGCTCAGCTCCCTCGCGCGCCACAGAGTGAGGCTGGGAGCCGGAATATGATGTCATTCCGGTTCCCGGCATCACTCTGCGGCGTGCGAGGGAGCTGAGCAGACAGCTCAGAGGAAGTGCTCCCTCGCCAGCGCCGCCCGCCCATCAGCCACTGCACCCCCAGGAAGAGAGGGTAAGGAGGCTGGAGGGGGGGGTGGGGTTAAATAAAAAAATGTGTTAATGTGAGTGTGTGTGTCTCTGTTGGTGTGTGTCTCTGTTGGTGGGTGTGTGTGTGTGCCTGTCGGTGGGTGGGTGTGTGTGTTGTGTCTGTGTGTGTATTTAGAAGGCGGGGCGGGGGGAAGGGTTGGGTGGGAGTGGCGGGGGAGAAGGGGGGCGCCTGAGTTTTGTCCTGCCTAGGGCAGCACAAAATTAGGATACACCACTGCTTCAAGGTATGGTATAGGTAGAGGTTTAATAAGACACTGGAATGTATTAACTAAGTGCCAATATTTAGCTTTCATTCATATTAATTTATCTTTAGTAATTCTAGTAATATTCTCCTGAGATTCACTTTTTCCCCCCACTATCAACCAAACTGAGTCCACAGTGAGCTAAATGGGTCTTTGTTAATTTCAAATTGATCTTATTGCTGCACTGATATTTGTTTGAAAACATCTCAGAAGAATTGTAACCAAATGGGTTAAATATAATTGAAACAGACAAATTGTAATGCTCACAAAGGAGAGAGTTACAAAGAAATGAATTCATTACACTGTAGCTTATGTTTAGCACTAGTACTATTTAATTTATCTCCCACATTTTTGTTATTAGCGTAGGACCCACTGATATTGGGGTACTTTGAAGTAGTAGTGGGCTTAACATCATATGGCCATATGGTGGAACTAAATCCCCATATTTATTCTTAGATAGGCGTTAGCCTTCTTAGTTATTTATTTACAAGTCTGAGTGCGCCGTAACTAGTTTTTTAAATTGTAATGCTCAAACATAATTCAGTTGCTCTTTTCATTAACTTTTTGCCAGAACCACGTTATGACTCCTATAGTTCTAAACCAAACCCAAAACGAATTTTTTTTTTTTTTTTATAAAGTAAAGATTAAAAAAGAGAAACTTTTCCTTTCAAGGAACACTGTCATTAGGAGTACAAACCTATGTCTGCTGTTTCTCCTGTTTCTCCTGCCCTATGAGTTTTGCTTACCTTTCAGCCCTTGCTGCGCCGATCTCTGTGCGGAAGCTCTGCATTATGTAAAACCAGCATTTTGTTTAACCCCTTAAGGACACATGACATGTCATGATTCCATTTTATTTCAGAAGTTTGGTACTTAAGGGGTTAAAAATAGGAGGCAACCCTAACTGAGTTAATACATTTGCCTCCCAAGGAATACATTGTAATCACCATAGAATGTCACTTTCAAGCACTGCATTATTTCTTTACTATTGTCTCTGTACTGTCTTCTTGTCTACCACTACATACATTAATGTACACTCTGTGCATCTGCCGTACAGCTGGAATTGCATCAGGTTTTTAAAGACCTATGTATACATTGCCTATACTACCTACCTATACGTTTTATCCGTCTACCTGCCAGTGGAACAGCGGCACTTAACCTTTTGTTCTTTTTATTGTTTATTTATGAACATGTTGAAGTTTCAAGCTTTATTTAAACTAATTTGGAGCTTTTGCAAACCAGTGTTAATATACAAGGACAGCGTGTTTTTACAAAGCATTGTAAAAGGCTTTACGGTCAAGCCTGTTTTTGTATCCGTATAAAAGGATCATCTTTATAGCGTCTTGGTCAGCATTTTTGAAAAAGGAAAAAATGCATCCACATCTCTTTTTCCATTTAGGTACAAAAAGGCATTGTATATATGCCACTTACTGTTTGTATTCCAATCTTATATTGTTCTTTCTCTTAATCCCGTAGCAGATATTATGAGTCTGAGTAGGACGCGCCTGCGAAGTAACAGTACTGGTGCAAAGAATTCCACTCCCCATTCCCTGGAACCAGGTATTGGGCTCCGTTTGCGTAAAAAAGAGACACCTGAAAAACAGAGTTCTCCCCCAAGAAACAGAGTCCCTAAATCTGCCTCTGTTTCTGCCTTGTCATTAATCATTACTTCTGGTGAGCTTTTATTTTACTCTTATAATCAAACAGATCATTTGATTATATCTGTGTTTAATGTTTTGTTGATTTTTGGAAACGCTTGCTTCAGAATAATTAATATATTAAACAAATCTAATCTAAAAGTCTAATTAATTGCACAATAGAAAACTGATTTCATATGATTTGATTTCTGTAATTTCTCCATTTAGTAAATATTGACATCTTTGTTTTGAAAATTTTATTTTCATATATTGTGATTTTTTTATTTATTTTTTTTATTTTTTTTAGTGTGTGTGTATGTATGTATTTGTGTGTGTGTGTGTGTGTAAAACAAGGGTTTGGCTGCACTCACCTAAATAAATATATATATATATATATATATATATATATATATATATATATATATATATATATATATATATATATGTGTGTATGTATAAATATATATATATACTAGAGTATAAGTCAAGACCCCTAATTTTACCCTAAAAGAACTGGGAAAACTTATTGACTTGAGTATAACACTAGGGTGGGAAATGCAGCAGCTACTGGTAAATTTCTAAATAAAATTAAATCCCAAACAAATTATATTTATTGAATATTTATTTACAGTGTTTGTGTGTATATAATGCAGTGTGTGTGTGTGACGCAGAGCCTTGGTGGGGGGTGGGCATTTTTATTATTTTTTTTTTTTTAGTTATTACTAATATTTTTATTTTATTTTAATAGTATTTAAATTTTTATTTATTTTCGTCCCCACTCCCTGCTTGTTAGCTGGCCAGGGAGGGGGGGCTCTCATTCCCTGGTGGTTCAGTGGCATGAGTTGTTCAGTTGGGGGGCTGGCAGCGAGCTGTAACTTACCTTTCCTGCTGCTCCTGTCAGCTCCCTTCTCCTTCGTGCCGGTCAGCTCCCTTCTCCTCCACTGTAAGTCTCGCGGTGTGACTGCCGCGGTAACCCGTGGCAACGCTCTGACCCCACGGCTATCGCAAGACTTACAGTGGAGGAGAAGGGAGCTGACAGGGGCTGCAGGAAAGGTAAGTTACAGCTCGCTGCCAGCCCCCAACAGGACCACCGGGCTTGTAATGAGTCCGGCGGTCCTGGTCTGTATTATGGCAATGTAAGTTGCCATAATACAGACATTGACTCGAGTATAAGTCGAGTGGGGCTTTTTCAGCACACAAAAATGTGCTGAAAAACTCGACTTACTCGAGTATATACGGTATATTAAAATTTCTATTTTTGAAAGTATTCTTACTTTACAGCAGTTTTTTAACACTTGCTTAAAGTGTGTGTGTGTATGTATGTATCTTTCGATACTCTGCACTTGAGGGTTAAAAATTAAGCAGTTACAGTCCCTTATGTATCCCTTTAATGTTTCTGAATGAGTAGAGTTTTTCAGCTGTGTAGAGTAGTCCTTTAGTTATTATTTAGTGATTAGTTAAAGTTTAGCAGGGATAGGTATAAGTGGAAAACTTAATGACCTGCCATCTTTTCACAGATGACTTTGGCAGTGGATCAATGGTGAGTCCTGTTTCACCACGCTCCCTCTCATCCAACCCATCCTCACGGGACTCTTCCCCAAGTCGAGATACAACAGTAGCTGTGACCAGCCTGCGTCCACCTATAATTATCCATAGCTCTGGGAAGAAGTATGGATTCACTTTGCGTGCCATCCGTGTTTACATGGGGGAGAGTGATGTGTATACTGTTCATCACATGGTGTGGGTAAGTAAGAAAAGATTTGGTTTTCTTTTGGGGAAGATTTAAAAGAACATTCAATTCACCATAACCACAGCAGCACACTGTAGCGATTACTCTGCAAAAAGTGCCTGCGGTCCGCCGAGTGCCGCTCTCTACCTCCATACTGTTGACGGAGAGCCAGAAGGTCCTAAGTTGCAGGGCTAACTCATTAATTCATTGTTTGCTCTCAGCCAATGAGCTAAACACTATTGTTTTCTCTGTCAGAAGTAGTGAAGGCAGGGAGCTGCACTTAGTGCTCCTCAGATAAGAAGTTAAGCCACTCTAAAACAGTTTGGCTTCTTACTATTGAAGGGCACTGAAGTGGTTATGGTGCTTGGACTGTTCATTTAAGGGTTATTCACAGCTTCTTTGTTCTTTCAGAGTGTGGAGGATGGAGGTCCTGCCCACAAGGCTGGGCTGAAAACTGGAGACCTGATTACGCACATAAATGGAGAGTCTGTGCTTGGGCTTGTGCACATGGATGTAGTTGAGCTGTTGTTAAAGGTACATATGTGTATGTAATGTGTATGTAATATTTACACTATGTATTTAATGAGATACTGTCACTCCCTCTGTTTTAGCACAACCTAATAGCTATAGACTTTTTTGGTAGTATTTTGCTTTTACATTTTTTGCTGGCAAAATTGGGTATAATATGCAAATTTGTTAACTCTCGCAGTGCTGTTCACGTAGTACATGAGCTTCTACAACACTGCTGGTAAAAAAATGTAAGTGTGCATGTGCACATATCGCAATTTTCCTTTATAAGTCCATGCACAAACCTGAGGAATTTGTTTTTTTAAACTTAAAGGGACACTATTGTCACTAGGACACTATTCTCTGAATGGACAGTTACTTTTAAATGCAACAATTACATGTCATAAATTCTGATTATTTACTAATCTAATAGTAAAGTTTATAACTGCCAAATATATGCACACATTTAAACTAGTTTAGAATGTTGGTTATCTCCTCAAACATACCCAGTAATATGTTTATATGCTATAGTCATATTTTCACAGTAGTACAGTCATATTCACTAAATTGGTAAAAGTATAATACATCTTTATTGCAGCTTTCTTTCACAAAAAATGTAAATTTTCCATCATTATTTTTCACTTTTAACGATTATATGGCCTCACTTAGTGTATTCAACTAAGCTTCCCCCATCTACCGTTTACTTTGAAGTAAAACATTCAACTCTTAGCTGTAAAAATGTTTTATTAGATTTAAAAATGCTAATAAAAATAATGTTGATTTGCCCCCAGTCCTAACTAAAACAAAAAATCATAATATTTTATTGTACTCAATATATTCTAATGCAAAGATATATTACATTCCCAACCTAGGAGGATTTATGGTGAAAGCTAATCATGGATTATTAAGCCCCCATTTAAATACAGTCTAAAGGCATCAACCAATAATCTAATACCCTTTAGAATCCTTGGATGAACAGTAACATCACAAAAAAACCATGAATACAAAATAGTGCAATTGGATGCAAATATTTTGAGAGGTCGTCAAAGTATCTCCAAGGTTATGTAATAGTATATATAAAACAAAATACTATGTGTAAAACCAAAACAATATGCAAAATAGGAGACATTTCAAACTTTATTACATAGTATGGGCAATAGAATCCCTATCTGGGGATATTATTAGCTTTTTGGAATCCCCAATATGAAATATTGTGGCCCTATCATCAAATTATCAAAAGTAGATGGGCTACAAAAGCAGAAACTGAATATCCAGCTTGAAGAAAGCATCTATAGTCTGTTTTATCCCATGATTGATTTGTTTAACTGATATTGTATGTGACACCTTTCTTTTCATTCTTTTGCATCTTGTGAAAATTTCTTAAGATTGTCCAAAAAAAAAAAAAAATGATGGCATAAAGGGATATGTCTCCCTAAATATATGTAAAATGTAAGACTTTCTTTGCATAAAGACGTATGGAAAACGAAAAATCTCAGTAGTTTTAGATGGAACATATAGCAGGAATTTATTAACCCCTGTGATTGAATATTGAGTGCCCTAGGTGGTATAATCTCGACTACAGCATTTCAGACACCAGTACAATTTCCAGAAGCCATTGCAGAGATATAGAATATAACAAGCCAAACTTTTATTGCAAAGAGAAATGTATAAATGAAATCCTTAAAATTTTATACAAAAAAAATTAAAGCAATGATATAGAGCATTCCATGCTGTGTGTTTTATCAGAGTGTAGAAAGTAAGATTTTGCTAATTTTTCACGCATATCTAGTCTCACAATGTTTCATGATGTCATTGTGTTCATCTTGTTGTATTCATTTCCTGTACTAGTCTTGCAAGTCTAATCCTACACCACCTTTGAAATAGGTCTTTTTTTTTTCGAGGGGAACATTATATAGAGTAGAATGTGATTTTTGCACTAAGAGGCAAATTATACAGAACTCTCACTGAATGGACACATGATGATTGTGATGAACTACATGACAATAGTGTCTCAAAACCAGGTGACCTATGAACAATTTTGGCTCCAAATTAGTTTCCGAAATTTCTTTTAATTAAACCACCATTTGTGTGTTTGTTTTTTTTACTTCCCTACAGAGTGGCAATAAAGTTTCACTGAGAGCAACTCCCCTAGAAAATACATCAATAAAGAGCGGGCCAGCCAGGAAAAACAGCTGCAAGGGTCGCATGGCAAAGAGGTCAAAAAAGAACCGGAAACGGGATAATCAGGACAGGTATTGATCAAAGATAAGTGGAAGCATTACAGCTGCACTGGGAAAAATGCTCACACAATCACTTATGTCAAATATGAATGCAGAGGCCAGTTAAGTTGTAGTAAGCACAAAAGGTCTGTGTGGAACTTCCTGAGAAACATTTAGCCTGTGGTTTTGCACGTTTCGTTAAAGGATAGGGCTCAATTAGTGTACAACAAGAGTTCTGCTGTGTAGCAGACGTTTTTAAATACATTTATTAATTTGTTAAGGCTTTATTAAAGGGCGAAAAAACATAGAGCTTGAGTTGTTAGATTGTCAACATCTTAAAGAGCCTGGCCTATCTTAACTTACACATTTTGCCAGAGTCTAGGAACCAGGACCAAAATCTAGAACCTTGAAATCAGACAATCTAAAATAGTGTGTGTGTCTGTGTGTCTCCAACATGTGTCAAAGATAACCCCATGGTTATCCAACAAATAGGAAGATTTGCTATTTGTATCTACAGATAGTAAAAGTCTGTGCCCTATGATCCTCCTTTATGGATGGGCTCAAGCTGTGCGTATACTGTGTGTGCAGTGTTCCACCACTACAAATTGTTACACATGTTGGAATAATGTATGACACACAATTATTTTCATATTTTTTTCTGTAAATCTTTTTTTCATTAAATGAAACTGTAAAATAGAACAAGGCATATATATATATATATATACTTAAAAGTTTAACATTTAATAAAAAATCCCAAAATAAGCAAAAAGGTATCCTAAATATAATAATATAATAATGGTTTAAAACGAACCCTTCTACGTGAGATAATTTTGTGTGTTCATGCCTCTCTGTACCACAGATAACTTGTCTGGATCTCTAGAAAATATATATCCAGTTTCTAGTTGGAAACCAATGTGGCAAAACTAAAGTTTGGCTTTTAAAGCTTTGATTATTCCTGTTTTGCAACAATATTATTCAAATACTAGACAGCATAACCATACCACCTTACAGTCTTTGTGGGAAAACAAAAACTTTGTAAAGTATAAGGGTAATTTGTGTATATAGAGACTCCCTGAAAAGGGCTGTAACCAACCTAATCCACCCAAATCTACTGCCTATTTAATTGTTATTGTTAGAGTATAAAATGAAGAAGGCTGCCAAAACATTCTTGGTAAATTCATTATGAACATCCATAAACAGCGAAAACTCTGTGGACGATTACAAATAACCGCTAAAAATTACCGTTTCCTAGAATATGGACAATAGCCCCCTGGGTCCTTGGAGAGATCCAAAAGTAAGAACACTAAATCTTAAACTGTAATCTGTATCTACGGACAACTGAGAAATTAACGTACGGTCTGCAGACCAAGATACCCTACACCCATTTCCCTAATTATCTGTTGGCTCACCAAGGGAAACGAGATGCACAAGTTCCAATGTTTAAATACTCATAAGTGCATATTCATTTGCCAGAGGTACTATTACTCCTACATCAGGAACAAATCCTGTTAACCTACTACATAAGAGTGACTAACTTAATGAATGTCCTTCTTATGGGTCATATGACCACCTGTCCGACTGAAAATAGAAGATCTAATTGGTCCTGCAGACTATAGCAATTGCCTCTCGGTTTGACCAAAATACATTATGATGAAGAAATACAAATTCAAAGCCCTTTGTAATATCTTGAGAAACGAGGATGAAAACTGTGAATATAAGAATATTCACTAAACCAATTACCATAGTCAATTAAGAAACCCATGTTAAGGAATCTTCCTTAAAACAATCATGGCTATTATGTACAAAGTCCACTTACCAGTCGAATTTAAAGTGAATTAAGTAAAGAAAAACAAGCTATTAATTAAATAATAAAGCCCACAACTGGAAAACTCCTAACCATGATCCACTATGATCAGACCCGTTCCATAATGTTGCCACGTTTTTGTGAAGAATCTGGATCGAATTAGTAACCAGCCCATTGCACTTTATGATGGGTCTATGTCACCAAATATAACCCGAATGCTGATCATAACACTAGACTTAAAACTAAGCACAGTTCTAACTAATCCTAAACTTCGTGTTAGAGGGATTCTTGACATATGCCGAGGTATTTCCCTCTCACTGAGTGTTCTTCACTGAGCACTCGCCTCATTTAGGGCCGCTAAATCAGGTTGTGACAACCTACCAGCACTTGCAGAGTGTCTGCCTTTTAAAGACTTCTCAATAAGCTGAAAAAAGAATACTGAGAAGTCTGGTCCAGCTATAATGCAAGTCTTCTCTATTAGTGCTATTGAGGTTTCTCTGTTGGGTTATTCTGTGCCATGGAAGAATCAGTCCATGTTGGGCTACTAATTCTGGCCTCCGCTTTTAAGGGATACCTGTTGAAAATAGGCAATAGTGGTAAAGTAATCAAGATGACATAATTATTGGGTCCACATGAATCCACAATTACTGGAGATTAAGGAGTTCTCCAAGCGCACTGTAGTAGTTATCGTGCCAGGAGTGCCCTCACATTTGCTGCCTCCCCTAACCACTGTTGTAAGGAGTCAAACTGCTAGAATGGTCTGACCTTTTACCTGGGGTCAATCAAGCACTGCTTCCTGCCTCCACTAGAGACTTCAGAGAGCGGGAAGCTCCTGCTTAGGATCTTCTGTTTGCTCTCCTAAGCTAAGCTTTGTGCAGGGCAAGCTGGCACAAGTTGCCTCTGTACTGATTTTTTTTTTTTTTTTTTTTTAAACCTTCATCTTTGTTTCTGTAATAGGAAGCGATCACTGTTCAAGAAGATCTCCTCCAAGCAGTCAGCTGCACTTCACACCAGCAGAAGTTTTTCTTCTGGTCTTCACCAATCCTTGTCTTCCAGCGAGAGCCTTCCAGCATCTCCCACTCATTGTCTGTCTCCTGGTCCAGCTACTTCAAGTTGGAGCCCAGAGCAAGATCTTCAAGTTGGTATGTATTTGGCATGTCACCACAAAAGAGGGTAGAACCTAATAAAACATTTGTATAAAATACATTACTCTTCTGTTTCTGTGCCACAGCAGTTTGTCCCCGATAATCAAGCCGGTTTTTCAAACATGGAAAATAAGAGTGTTGATATGTCCACTAATTGTCATGAATTTGTTTTACAGATGCAGCTTCCCCACTGAGTACATCACCTTGTTCCAGCACACCAAGCTCCCCTTCTGGGCACATCCGACCTAGCTCTCTTCAGTGTCTGACACCCAAACTCAGTGGTCAGCGTTACAAAGTGGGACGCAGAAAATCCACAAGCAGCATCCCTCCATCCCCGCTAGCATGCACACCCTCTCCTGTCCCGCAGCAACCAAATTCCCCTCAGCGTTCACCTTCTCCATTACTGCCTGGGCATCCAAGAAGTGGAGTCTTTCAGGGAAAGACTTTGTCACCTCCTGCAATTGTTCGGCAAGGAGTTCGACCTCGTAGTTCAGAGGCCCCACGTTCACCTCTGTTGCAGCGAGTACAGTCTGTTGAAAAGATTGCTACCTTTATGGCTGGTGCTCGCAAGGCAGTCCTTTCAGAAACACAGCATTGTGACGAGTCTGAGGCCTCTGATGGTGGACTAGATATGACAAGCCACTATAAGGATTGTGGCACAGAAAAATATGAGCGTGACACAGAAGTTGTAGTAATGCGTAGACTAAACCTCTCAGAGAGGCGGGACTCCTTCAAAAAGCAGGAAGCTGTGCAAGAAGTGAGTTTTGATGAACCAGAATCAGGTGTTGGTGATCATGCTACGGAGGATAAGAAAGCAATTCAAGGCTCAGGACTATGGGGAAGATTACCGTTCCAGACATCCTGGATTCAAGCGCGATCAGGATATCTGAAAATGGATTCTCAAAAACAACTGTGCCACACAGTGCCACAAATAGCTGTTCAAACATCAGAAAGTGAAGAGCAGGAAAAGACTGGGCAGTGGGAGTGCCAAGGATTTTATCCATTAGAACAGACCAGGAGAGAGAAAACTCCTCTAGCCAGCAACTTGGAAAATCAAACTGAGAGCCACCCCATTACCAGACAGAATGACACGTAAAACCCAATCAGTGTATTGCTCAGATGGTCATTTGTAGTCAAATAAAAGGGGCAGAGTAAGATGAAAGAAATGGAAACGAGATCAGTTTCCACAGATGAGGAGTTGATCTGCAACAAAAGCATTGTCTTACACTCTGCAGCAGGAAAACATAGGGGAGAAAGAAAGTTTGTACAGTGGTACTTTGCATTATAGAGAATTCTCCTGTGTACTACTGTCTGAAACTGTACTGTGCATGAGCAGAGGTTGGAAGGAGCACCCATATTTAAATTCCATGTTTTTACAGTTTTTTGTTTGTCTATATTTCATTTAAACTAATTTTTATTTCAACCATTTATGGTAGGGCTAAAGTTCCACTCAGCTATTTGTGAGTGCAAGCCAAGCCTTGGGGCAGGGTACATTTTAGGGTTTTCACATTCCTCTAGGCCAAATCTGTTGGACATTGCATTTCAACACAAAAGGGGCATTTCCTTTGTGGAACCAGGTATGTCTGTATGTCTCCTCTATACACACCTCTCTCCCAGCACCTGCAGAGAATTGTGCAGAGGTAACTGCTGCAGATTCTATACCACAGCTTAGGGTGGCAGTCCAGCTTGGTTGTTTGTTCCATAGGGTGGTCTAATTTACTCCTTTTATTTGGTCTTTTTTTAATTCCTGTAAATTACCTGGGAGTAGTCACTAGAGGAGTGCACTGCCACTTCTTATTCTTGATGATGGTTTACAAGAGGCCTCACAATCAATATTCTAATTCTGATGTCCAACAGACTAATCATATGAACATTTGTGATTTTACATTTATTTTTTATTTTTTTAATGATTCTGCCACGTAAATGAAAGGGACTGTTGGCATTGAAGTAGGACAAAGCTGAAGAGATCCGTAGACTAGTTGGTTAGAAGAGAAACATGATAGTGAAGTGGGGGATGTAAACTGACTTTTGGAAGATGCATTAGATCTTTAAATAGTAGAAGTGAGACAGTGATACAGGTCCTATATTGAAGCATGGGACAGAGGAATAGGTTAAAAAGCAGAAATTGAACAAAAATAAACTAAAAATGATAAAGGGGACATTTCAAAGAAATGTGAGTTTTCTAAGAGACATGATGAGTGAGTTTGCTTAGAAAAACTAAAATTGAGCACCGGAAATGAGACATGAGTGAAGGAAGATGTAGCCGTAAACCGATATGAAGTATCTTGGGATGCCATTAAGTAGGGATTAGAAGGGGAGGGCCCATTCTTTTATATTATCTTATTGCCTGACACAGTTGTACTCTTTGCCAGGACTGTTAATGAGAAGAAACAGATATAGGAACCAACTGTAATACAAAATACACTTAGCAATTCTCCATCACGTAATGCACACTTGAAGCAATTATACATACGTGTCACTTAATTGAGCTCAAATTTGGCCTAAAGTTTTAAGTCAGAATGTAATGAATTCATTTTGTGGTGGTGAGTAGACCTGGCTAGACGCTTAGGACTTGCTTTGTGCCCATTATTAAAGGGGATCTGTTACTTTCTAGGATTTTTAATATGATGTCGTTGCATGCAAAGAATTTAATTTTATTTTCTCTTATTTATTTGCAATGTCTTTTATATAAATTTTAAAGAAAATTGAGCATCTTATGGAAAAAAAAAAAGGTTGAGAAGTTATAGGGGATTTTCATTGTTTTATTTAGTGGTGTAAATTCCAATGAAGTCACAGTTCCCCTTCTAGTTTAACGACGGGTAGCTGATTTAAGATTTGTCTTAAAAGATTTCCCCCCCAAAACTATTGTTAATATACAAATCCTTTTATCATACACCTTCGATTGGTCATTTCTTGAAAACCAACCATTTGTGACTGTCGGCTTTTAAACACTGTCCGACATGAATGTGGCTGGAGGATCCTGTTATATAATAAAAGCAGGGACAAATTTCTCTAATTTTTTACATAAAACTTGACTAACGGCTTATTAAAATAGATGTGAGATGACCGTTGTCCTTTAAATTGATTAAACTCAAAATTTTCACTGAAGTGAAGGAGTTGTCAACTTTGCGTAGATGTTGAAAAATCCATTGTATTGCATAGTTGATATTTACTCATCCCAGTTTCCAACTTTTCGATGTTGACCAGTAACATCCACACCCCTCACCTATAATTTATAACTTTAATGGCACTGAACTTACTTACATTTTGATAGAATTCTGCGGGTTGTATTGATCTTAACACAAACATGTAAAATCTTTAATCTGTTTACTTGTAACAGACCGCATGTATAGGATATCTACACTTGGTGTTATAGTGCATAGCTGAAAAAAATCTGTGTTTATTGTGCACTGTTTGCATGCCTCTACATTAGACGATGCCAAAATGTACCATTCCCGCTGTTGCCAAATTCCGATTCCCTTGACTCCTTTCTTTTGTATAGGGTGTTTTTATGTAATTTTGTTACATATGTTACCAAAGAAGATTAACTTGGTCTCGCTTAAGATGTTCTGTTGATAGAAATTTTGGCTAGCATCCTACCCTACCAAATATTACAATAAGGAACCTACATTAACATAGTATTGCCCCTTTTAATCACTATAGAACATCATACTTCCGTAATGGCTTCTAATTGTCTCCATCCCCAGCTGGATTTACACAGAGAGAATACGTTTTATTATATGGTGGGTGTCTAAAATGCCCAAGGCTACTAAAAATATTTGTCTCATTTAATGAAAGTAAACACTTTATGATGATCTGCCTTTTTTATTTTAAAATGTATTATATTAACATTTTATTTATATCTGTTCCAGAACAAACTCTTACAAAATGCTTTTTATAGATAATTGGATACTGAACAATGCATTTACTAATTTGCTAATTAAGTCTGCAAGCATTTACTTTTTGCTTTATTAAAGCATATAGAACCATTATATCAAAAATGTATATCACAAAAACAGTTTTTGATTGAAGGAACACTCCCAACCACCACTCGTTTAGGTTGCTTACATTCAGGGGTTAAAATGTTATGAACTCCTGACTTCATAACAACTTAGATGAGCTGATTTGTTATGGGGGTTAATGTTGTGATAATTGAGAGGAGATAGAAAAGGGAAAAAAAAACCTAAAGGTACAGGAGACTTATGGACTAGGAATCCTCATGTTAATATGTAATACATTGTCCATATCATCCTTAAGAGTGCTGCAATATTAATTCTGAATTCCACTGAACAAATTGATAGAGAGGAAGGAAATTAGACACAGTGTAGTACTTACAATAATTTAAAATTTTATTAAATGTCTAACGCACAAATGCGGATGCACAAACACTGATAAACATACAGATCCACAAACACTGACCCATGTGCATACAACACAGGCAGAGATACTCCCCTTCTCTCACAGTGTAGCACTCACTCCTGCTGTGTGTACTTCACAAGTCTTGCCCCTATGAGCCTCCCTGCAGCCCTGCCTTCTTCCAGTAAGGCCAGCAATCCTGGGAAGGTCCCAGTGGCGCCTGTGAGCATAACACGCATTGGTGGAACTGCTGACCCGCTAGGGCCCAAAGTGCTGTCACCAGGGGTCAAGTCCTGGGGGAAAAAAGTGTGGGATTCTCCCCCCCCCCCCCAAAAAAAAACCAAACACTCGTATGCATATATAAATGCGTTCACAGACACACTCATACACTCACTCACTCACCGACGCACACACATACTCATACACTCACACAGTGGTGTATTTTAATTTTGTGCTGCCCTAGGTATGACTATACCTGAGCACCCCCTAATCTAAATTTACCACCCCTTCCTATCAAGGGCGCACCGCGTCCTGATTAAGAACCCACCCCTTCCTCTTTAGATTCCACCTTTTCCTGCTCCTTTTAAAGAAATACTATAGTGGTTTCCTGGCACTATAATTCCCTATAGTGCCCCCCTCCCTCATGTCCTCTCCTCCCCCACTCGACACTGAAGGGGTTAAAATCCTATGGGTATTTAGCAGATGCTGGATGTCGTCATGCACAGAGTGAGGACGTCCAGCATCAGTTAGGTGACTTTTGGTGAACGGCGTTCCTGCTGTGTAAAAAAGTGCAGGAACGCCGTTCCCACAGGACTCAAGCCCTGGCTGTCACACTGGCTGCACAATTTTGTATTCCTAAAACTCTAGTGTTCCTTTAAAGACATTTAATTATATAAATGATGTTGAAGTGATTATTTGTGGGGGGCGACATAAATCTACATAATTGTCCATTTGCAATTGTTTAATTTCTACAAGTCTTATCTTAGTGGTCATATCCACTTTTTCTTTTCCTATGTTTCTATTGGAAGTTAAAGAAACCCTCCAAACACCATAACCACCACAGCCTGCTATAAAGAAACAAATAGAACCGCACTAAATTACAGGGCAATATGCCTGTGTATTACATATACATGTCAGTGCAACCATTAATTAGGTAGGATTCTAATTCTGAATAAAGTTTTCCCTGAATCATTTTTTATTTCCACATGCTCTTGTTGCATACAATGTACTGTCTACAATAGTGTTTAAATATTATACAATAAGTAATTTTTCTTTTTTTTTCATTTTATATTTTTTATTCTTTTTATCACTCAGTGAAAGTAGTGCAATTCATTTAAATGTAGTATTTAAAGTAATGTATATTTCTTAACTATGTGAAATTATTTCTCTAAGTAAACATCTGCTTGGATAGAGGTTTGAAGATGAAAAAAAAAATTTTTTTAGCAGTTGTTGCATGAACTATCAATGGCAGTGACTACTAGATTAACACTCCTATCAAAAATTACTTTTTTTTTTTTTTTCCCGCGCCTCAACTTTTTTTTTGGGTGCTTGTAGGACAAAATAAATGTATGTGCTTATTTGTGATATCTTACTTTCATAATGCTTGCATTTCCCAGTAATTTATTATGATAGCATATTTTTGTAAATATTATATACATATTTTGGTTTGCTCCCTCCCTAAAACCTGTGCAATTCCCCAATGCTGCCTTCAGGAAAAAATGGACATTACTGATATTTGTATACAAATGAAATGTGTAACTTATTTATTTTTTATTGTTAAAACGTTTAGCAAATGCAGTTTTTTGTAAAACAAAGGTGATTATGGAATTTATTCAATCTTTGTTGAATGTTTTTGTGCCTCTTGTACATTATTGTTTCTGTGAATGCTAACATTGTGGTTGGTGGTGGGAATAGCTTAACTCACAGGCTGAGCACAGAAATAATTAGAAATGAATTGTTTCACATTTTATTTTTGTTGCATAAATATAAGAAAAGGGCATTATCATCTGTTGTGCCACACATGAACTTTGCCTTTTACACATAGTAAATGTTTCTACATGGTCAATGCTCAGTCGATTTGCCACCTGAGTTTGTCCATAACACTTAACACCTAAGTGTTGGTACATACATGAGTTTAACCCAGCATTATCGGAAGACAATCACTTCCACCTAAGCTAGAGTAATTATACCTGCAATAATAGTTCTGAAAATGATTTTCATCTTATACATCTGAAAGTTTCTTACGTTTGCTTAAAAAAAAAAAATAAATCAGAACACCCAATGTTCCATTGTGCAGATAATGGTAATTGTGACGCACCGCATGTCAACACGACCGGGTGCCTCCGCCAATCGATGCTCCTAGTGCTCACCCTACTCCAAACACTCCACCAGACACCATCAGCACTGTAGTCCCCACTTTACAGCTTGGTTGGGGTCTCATTGTCCTCCACCCACCCTGGTCCCAAGACCAGGAACCAGCTTCCAGTGGGTAGACCTCTCTTCCAAGAGTGTAGCAATATGCTCTTAAAAGAGTAAGTGATTATAACCCAGGGGAGTATAAACAAATACACGATTACATTGGCTCTGAGATCCAGGACACTCCCATACATAATAGGTTAATCCCTCCTCTGTACCTGGGAGATAATTGAGTCAATAACTGAACTAAACTCTATTATCTCCAGACACAAAAAACACACATTTTTATAAAACCCAAAAAAATACATTTAAACACACAAAAAGTTACATCCCCTGATACCCCCGATCTGGTTGACCAACATATCTAAAATTCACCCAGATCGGTTCAGGAATTTCCTGGAAGTCATTTATTTGACCGACCGCATGCATGGTCCAAAACGGTTCCAGAGAACCAGGGCTTGCGGTTGGACTAGTTCGGTAGTTTAAAAATGAACAAACTACCGAACAGAGTCAATAGTCTTACCCTGGAGCTTGTTCCCCTCATCAAGACAGACGATGATGGAAGTCCAGAGGTGTTCAGGAGCTTGTGTCCGGTTTTATTTCCAGGAACTCGACAACCAAACACCACTGCCTGCATTCATGCGAAAAAGATGGACGCCACCTCATGGTCATTCATGCGAACAGCTGCCACCCAAACAGATAATTAGAACACTGTGGTTAGAATCGTTACCAAGTGTTAATAGGGTATAACAAGTTCCCGGGTGGTCTCCGGTTCGTGCGGCTGTTCGGGAACCAAACCATATAATCCCAATTGCACAAAGTCTTTTTAAAGTATTTTAGACAGGTCTGTTGCAGGGGCCCATAGTCCTGGGGCAGGAGGCTGGCAAGCAGGCTCCTCCAAAAGCCCATGGCGAGGTTCTATTCGCCACAGTAATGAAGCATTTACATTTTCAATTTAATCATAGCAAGTTTCAAAATTTTTATTCATTAATTTAAAGATTTAAAAACACATGCTAAACTAATTAAAAGGCCATGAGCACAATATAAATGCAGTTTTTAAGGGAACCTTTACTGCCAGATATAAATGTGGTGTTTTATAACCATCTAGTTTGGCTCATGTTATGCAGCTGTGAGTTTTTCCCCCATTACTATTAATGGCTCATATCTGTATTTATTTACATTACCCCTGTATCTTGCTGAGAGCATCAATCTTTTTATCAGTTGCTGTTACACTTGCCATACCTATTTTTTTGAATATCTCTTTTTGGAAAGCACAGATTTATTTCTGATAACCGGGTAAAAGTCCACTGCACATAATGCTGGCTTCACGTTTTGTAAATAAAATATGTTGTGTCTCTCTCTCCTTTTCACAGAGTCTGTGCAAAGCTCTTGCAATTAACCTTTTGCTTTCTTTCCCTGCTGCCTCTGCCCTCACACAGATCATGCCACTCCTCTCCCTTTACACAGGTATTGCTTTCCCTTAAGTTAACACTCTGGGCACTTTAACAACTTAATCTCAAGGATGTTATGGTGCCTGGAGGTCCTGTGCAACATCTTGCCTTAGGGGGTTAAAAGCATTTATGGAGTGCTTAACCACAGAGTTGAAAAGATGGTGCCAGTCTGCTCTCCAGACCATCTTCTGTTAAGTGGTTGCACTGTTTACCATTTAACCCCCAGAGTTGTGAACTTCTTCATCTCGCCAAGCCCTCGGCTTCAAGGAGGCCTCAGACTGGGTGCTGGTAATAGGCTGATTACATCCAGAAAGTCCACTTCCTCAAAACTTGCATTCATGGTCAGCCTGACCGGAGTATTGATTGTATTTATGCTGTTGATCATGGTGGTTGCTGAATTCATGTCACCCCTCCAAATCATTAGGCTATCGTTGATGAAGTGGCAGTAGAAGATTATATCCTTTTCATATGGCTGTAGGATATATGCCGTCTCAAAGACGTGCATGTACCCATTCGCATACATAGGTGCCATTGTGTTTAAATCGAAAGTAGTTCTGAATGAGAACCAATTCCTAAAGCTCTAGCATATATTGGATTGGAAGACCAATAAAGACAGCATATTCTCTATATATCAATTGTATTGGATCAATTCCCATGTGGAATTATGGTGTAAAGACTCTTTACATCACAAGTTAATAGAAGTACTGGTGTTCTGGTAAAGAGATTTGGTCTAGGAGTTACAACAGATGTGGCGTATCCTTGATGCAAGTTGGGCATTTTTCCAAATCGTCTTTTTAAAGAGAAAGTCAAGCCACTTTGCCAAGGGTTCTATAACTCCCCCAATTGCTGAGACTATTAACCTGCCTAGGAGGTGGGTGTCCTAGGTGATTGTTGTAACAAGAATTTTTGTAAGTCTATCAAGAGGTAATTAGCTTCAACCTTTTGCATGATCTGCGGAGTGTGGTCTTATGCAAGTTTTTCTATACGCATTGATGTCTTCATGTTGTGATTTATAATCCATATAGTATATCCATATGCTACTGTCCTTACCGGCTGGCCTAATCACTATATTTTTGTCATTGGCAAGGGAATGATTGCGCTTTCTTTCTTGGTAATGTTGGTGTTGCTTTGTTTTCATAATTGAAGCAGATTTATATTGTGCAGAAAAGGTGGACTGCTAAATGGTTTGAGGGCCAAATACTCTTAATCTTGAATTAGTAAGTGCCTGTGTTGTTCTACCAAATTTGTAAAGTTCTGTTTTATTTTAAAACATATTAGGTTGAGTAGTAGCCACAAATTTCATCAGTAAGCATTCTTCATCAGCTGCCAAAGATCATGAAAATAGGAATCATTTTAGAGGGTGTGGGTGTCCCTTCTGGGCCCTGCGTGTGATTTACCTTCTTATTCTGCTTCCTTTCTGGTTTTGAACCTTGTATGCATCCTTGTTGAAGATTCGGGGTCTGTATCTTAAAAAAATAAATAAAAAAAAATATCTCTTTGGAGATTTTGGTCTCACTGTTGTGAGTTGACTCAGTTAGATGTTGATGCACCCGAAGTGTGATATATGGTGTTCTGTCTAGGTCTCCTATGTCAGGGGTAGCATGGTTAATCTGAATATCTGCTTAAGCTCTTATAGACCCACTGTTTTTTTGTTTTGTTTTTAAAAGTCACTGTTGTTTTACACATTCACCCCTTAGTGACCAGACTGTCTTTCAATTTTCTTACTGTTAAGGACCAGGGCTGTTTTTACATTTCTGCAGTGTTTGTATTTAGCTATAATTTTCCTCTTTGTCATTTACTGTACCCACACATATTATATACCGTTTTTCTCGCCATTAAATGCTCTTACTAAAGATGCCATTATTTTCATCATATCATATCATATAATTTACTATAACAGAAAGTATAATAAACAATGAAAACATTTATTTTATTTTATTTTAAAAACACACCTTTTCTAACTTTGACCCCCAAAATCTGTTGAGCATCTACAACCGCCAAAAAAAACCCATGCTAAATAGTTTCTAAATTTTGTCCTGAGTTTAGAAATACCCAATGTTAACATGTTCTTAGCTTTTTTTTTTTGTGTGCAAGTTATAGGGCAATAAGTAGAAATAGCATGTTGCTATTTCCAAACAATTTCCCCCCCATAATTAAAGAGAGCTACATTGTAACACTGATATATGTCAGGAATCCCTAAATAACCCTTCACATGTAAAAAAAATTTAAAAGAAGACAACCTAAGGTATTAAACTTGGAGTATTTGTTTTATTTTTTTCATGCATCCAGTTTACCACCAATCTATGCCAAAAAAAAAAAAATGGTCATAATGCACCAACGTCCTATTTGGGACATTTTTGAAGCCGGCCAATGTAATTTAGTGGTATTTTAACACTTTCCATGCACTAATTCTACCACCAGTCTCTGTCAAGCTTTTGGTTAGTAATTTTTTTATTTTTCACACACATTGTACTTTAGGCATGGATTCTCAGTTCCTATTATGTGTTACTGACAAAGAACACCCCAATATTTGTTCTGCAACTTTTCCTGAGTATAACAGTACCCCCATTGTACAGGTTTTTTTGGTTTTTTTGCAAACTTTCAGGGGTCAAATGTAGGGCTTTTCCATGTTTGCACACTGAAATTTGCCAGATTGGTTTGCTGGGCCTATGTTGCCTTTGAGACCATATGGTAGCCCAGGTATGTGAATCATCAGGGCCTACCATTTTCAAATGTAGACAACCCAGGGTATTCAAAATTGGGTATTTCCAGTCATTTGTAGTAGCCACTTAATCACAAACGCTGGCCATCATTAGCGTTTTTATTAGTTTTTTGCATTTGTTTAAACAAAAACTGCACTTTTACTGGTGATATCATCGTCTTGCTAAGTTTTACGGTTTTAAACACTCACATTTGTATTCAGCGAAGTCTCCAGAGTATAAATATACCCCCCATGTAAAGGTTTTATGGTGTTTTGGAAAGTTACAGGGTTAAATATAGGGCTTGCCAATTAAATTCTCTGGACTGTCTGCCTGGATTGTCAGGCAGCTCCCTCAAATTTTAATAAATAAAATCAAATAATTGTGTGTGTGTGTATATATATATATATATATATATATATATATATATATATATATATATATATATATATATATAATAAAAATGAAAATCCAGCGCACTCCCTTATCTACTAAACAGCTACTTTGGTGCTGACAGATTTTAGTTTTTTTTTTTTTTTTTAAACTCCTAATCTAAGCAAAAAAAAATGGTGGTTTAGTTACATTATATGATCATACATTGCATAAGCCTGCCACTGTACCCCATCTTTGGCAGTTCCTACTCTAACAGCCTAATGTATTACCAATTAAATATAATTGTGTGTGTGTATATATATGTATACACACACACACACGTATTATATATATATATTATGTGTGTATATAGGTTTGTATGTGTGTGTATATATATATATATATACATATACACACACACACACACACACTTTTATTTCCTATATTTGTATGATATATTATAAAATAAAGCCTTTTATAATATAATTATATAATGAACATATATGATTTCATTATATGTGTATTTTGAGATGTGCGTGTATATATCTCAAAGTACACTTATAATGCAATTATATATATAATTAATTATAAAATGCTTTATTTTATAATATTTTACATATATATTTGTGTTCAGGGCTACCTTGATTATGATATGATTTTTGTCAACAAACCTGTGATAGGAAAAGTCAGTGGAGGTGTGCCAAAACAGACGTATGCTGTAGGCCAGTAAATAAAGTAGACAAAAAGGAATACATATCATGCTCAAAGTACATTTAGTGAGGAAAGAAACAATACAACGTAAGTACATTCAAGATTACATTTTTACAAATGCCTTTCAGATTTCCTGTACCGGTTGTGGTATGCACTTCCAGCGACCTAGAGTTTTAATGACATGGACTGGAATCTCCTGGCTTGATGCCGTAGATGCGGCCCCTATCCTAAACGAGTGTCCCAAATACTTGCTAGGGTTCATACCGAGCCTTGTCAACAATAAGCGTACATATGCTGTGAACTTTGAAGTAGTGAGGATAGCCCTGTGAAGTGACAGGAGCGGAAGAGATGTGAGATTCGGTACAGTGAGGAGGTAGGAATTGAAAACCTTCAATGGGCACCATGAATTGTTAGTGGGACAGTATGGGATGTGAACGGGTTGACCCAGTTGACTTGTTTTGTTCACGGGTAGACTTGGTATATAATGGTCTTACTGCTTAATTAGGTACAAGTTTCGAAGGCAACCTTGTGCATTGTGTTGCCCACTGATGGTGAACACCCGTGGCCTCAGGAAGCCGTAGAAGGCCAGGTATACGGCTGTTTTAATGACAGAGTTAGTGAGGGGTTCGAAAGGAGCTGTATCTAGTAAATCAGACATATTTTTGAACTGTTTGTTTATCGGTAACCTTTGTTGTGGGGTAGGACCGTTGGTCTTGGCTATGCCCTTAAGTATGGTCCTGATAGGGTATGATGTGAGAAAACTCAAGTTGTTTGAAAATGTGGAGTACATATGGTGTTGGATGCCTGTGGGATAACTTTAACTTGAAGTGGCAAAAAGTGTCGAAAGCCACTAGGGATGTTATGTCATACAAGCTATCCAGGTGATGTTCTGACATAAACCTCTTATATAAGTAAATCATATGCGCTGTGAGTGTTAGTGGATAGGGCAAGTTTTATTAGGGCCTGGCTATGGAGCAGTAATTTGTCTAATTCATGATTAGTTCTTGGAACAAGGGGGCGGTCGTGGCCAGGCGTGAAGCGGTAGATAGGGACATTCTGAAGATAACAGAACAGGGGGTAGAGTCAGCGCTAATCAAGAAGGCAGCAGTCCCAAACAGGGACTCCCTCTAATGTCCCTGCAAATCAAATAGTAGAAACAAGAAAATAGGGGGGATGGGTCTGCGCCAATGTGTACAGTAAATAATAGTATAGAGTCCAATAGGATCTGTATTGTCGTGTCCAAGGTTCTACTTTTAACGATATCCAGAAGGTGTCGGTGGCGTGAAGAGTAATCCAAATGTATGACAATAGAAGAGATCTTAATTACAATTTGCAGAGCTTAATCCAGCTCTGGTGTGAAATGGCTTACAGCGGTGTTATCCCCGCTTGCAGGATATGCGGCAAGTGTCTTCTTCTTTGTGATAACGGGTAACCAGGTTGGAAGATATAAAATGGAGACAGTAATAGTGCAGTATGTTCCACACGTATGGTGAAAGTTATAAAATATAATAGATACACTCACATTTGGTAGAGCTTTGACTAGCTCTAGTTGGTTAGGCGTACAGCGGTATCATCCCCGCTTGTAGGATATAGGGTGAGTGATGTTGACGAGAGTATCAGGAGCTCGGAGAGAAGATAAAACAGCGATAGTGCTCTCAATAACATTTAGATAATAGAACAAAATAATAAAATATACTCACACTATATAGGGCAGGCTAACTGCTCTATGTGACAGCGTAGATGGTATAATCCCCACCTGGGATTCTTTGGAGTATAGTATACAGGAGTTAAAAATAATAAAAGAATATAATAGTATAAAATATATATAAAAGGCCAGGTAATAAAAAAAAAAAAAAGGAGAAAAGATGATGGTTGAAACGTAAAAATGACCAAAATCTTTTTATTAACAATATATAAAACAGTAAAAAGTATCCAAACGCGTTTCGCCAGTATAAGGCTTTATCAATGGATAGTAAAGCACTCCTACTGACTCTGTGTCGGCCATGGCTGATTGCAGGTTGTTGCACTCCAATATCCCCGCTGGTATGTGAAGAAGTCCTGGGTAAAACCTGTTATCAAAAACTCAATGAGATGTTTAGAAGGATCAGTAGATAGCAGATTAGCTATAACACCAACATTAACCAAGGTCAAATAAGATTTATGATGCATTTTATTCGGCACATGGCTTTTGCATGTGCATTGAAACAGTGAGCGCAAATGTGTAACAGACAACTGGCACTATAACCACATGCACCTTCATTAAAATTATTGCATATCTGTGACTTGCCAAGGTATACTATCGGACGGCCCAATTTATCCTTGCCCTGCTTCTCGACCCTTGTAGTGTCTGGGATGGCCATGGTAGGGGTGGTGTCAGTTGAAACAGGACAGAAATTGGCCGAATGCGTGGTACAAGCCGGGGTCTGAGGAAAATCTCTGTGTCTAGTTGGCTCCAATCCATCTTGACATTGTACTGGGCCAGTGCTGCCGACGCCTTCGCTGAAAATAACTGATGGTAGTCATAAAAAGACGTACCCCGGTATTTGTTGCTAAGCTCCAACAGCTTGTGCATATAGAGGTCCAGCTCCTCCCTTCTATGTGGGTGCGCTGAACATAACACATCCCTATAAATACCGAAAGAAATAACAAAAATCTGGCATTGACAATTTCTTGCTGAGTCTCGGGTCTCTAGACTTTAGTACCACCAAGATATCACCGTATGCGTATGTGCATTCTCCATGACATCCTGGGAGGCAATCAGAAGAGAGACGAGATTAACGTCTTTGCCTTCCAGGATGTCCTTCTTTAGATTTGCAGGTACCATGGGCTGGATTAATGACATGCGTGCGTGAAAGTTCGGCCATGAGGGGCCCTGATGCCCTAATGGCAAGACTACGAGCTTCCAGTCGTTCCAGCCTATCATTGATTTTCCCCATGGAGGACACTAGTGAGGCGATCATTGTGTGGAGGTTGGAGTCATTTGAGCTACTCGTGCCCTCCCCTGCATCTGTATTGTCGATGAGCCTGAACAGCTCTGCTTTCCTGGCATTAGCTGGGAAAGGGATGCTGCACCTGCATAGCTTAGCTGTGATGTGAGGCATAGTCCATTACCTGATAGACGCTAGCCGGAGTGCTGGGGACTGAGCTATCGTCTCCGTCATCGGGAACCTGGGACCTACTGAAATATAGTAATAATATTGCTTAGAACTAAGGGATGTATACTGGCGGGCTAGCTAGTGCCAAGTGGAAAAAAAAATCATTAGGGTAGTGACCATTGAGACTGTACAAGTTGCCAAGCGGCTTGAGAGGCTCTACCTAAGAGTTGGCGTGATGGGTATTATGCCACCTAACTTTGTGGCAGGGTGTTGACCTCTCGGTGATCATTAGAGCCAAAAGATAGTGAGGCCCTTTCTTTGCAACAAGCGAGGCTGATAGCTATGTTTTGACACATGGGGCGTATTACCTCTTGCTTGGAGGATGGGTGTTGGCCTCACAGGACCACTCCATCTATGGCGGAGAGTGCCCAAAAATACCTAGATGGCCCCTACTACCTTTATAAGCCAGCAACCTTATTGTTAACCATGGGCAATGGAGTGGACGTACCTGTTGGTCAAGTGTATGCTTGAATATTTGCCCACTGGTAGTCTGAGATCCCCACTAATGAGGCAGGCCTAAACCAAATGGTGAACAATAGGAAGGAGGTAAATATATATGTATTAAAATAAAATGTCATACTGAAAGAAAGCAAGCGTATATTGACCTAAAAAGTACGACCTACCCACCTATGTCTTAGGACTGCGTTTTGAAGAGCCAAGCTTGTCTTAGTTTGGGTACCTTGTAACTTGTAAAACATGACACATAGCGTGAGTCTGTGGTTCAGTAAGAGCATAAAACAGTACAGTCTGACCCTTGCGTCAATATTGAGATTACGTGCATAGTGAAAGGGTTAACGTAACTTGCCCAACTGATTGCGAAACAGACCTTTAACTGAGCAGCCGAAGTTATATACAATATATGATAAACAATTGTAGACCTTAACTGTAACATAAGCATCTGGCTTATAACCCTGCCCCTGTACCTAGCACCTGCAATACCAGGTACTGGACTTGAGGGCCACCAGCAGTTTGTGGGAACTCTCGTATGTGCCCTGGTGACATGGGACCGTGGGAACCACAATGAGTGCCTATTATTGTTATTATTATTGCCATTTATATAGCGCCAACAGATTCCGTAGCGCTTTACAATATTATGAGAGGGGGATTTACCTATAAATAGGACAATTACAAAAAACTTACGGGAACAATAGGTTGAAGAGGACCCTGCTCAATCAAACTTACATTCTGTAGGAGGTGGGGTGTAAAACACATTAGGACAGGAATTCGGCCATGAGGGGCCCTGATGCCCTAATGGCAAGACTACGAGCTTCCAGTCGTTCCAGCCTATCATTGATTTTCCCCATGGAGGACACTAGTGAGGCGATCATTGTGTGGAGGTTGGAGTCATTTGAGCTACTCGTGCCCTCCCCTGCATCTGTATTGTCGATGAGCCTGAACAGCTCTGCTTTCCTGGCATTAGCTGGGAAAGGGATGCTGCACCTGCATAGCTTAGCTGTGATGTGAGGCATAGTCCATTACCTGATAGACGCTAGCCGGAGTGCTGGGGACTGAGCTATCGTCTCCGTCATCGGGAACCTGGGACCTACTGAAATATAGTAATAATATTGCTTAGAACTAAGGGATGTATACTGGCGGGCTAGCTAGTGCCAAGTGGAAAAAAAAATCATTAGGGTAGTGACCATTGAGACTGTACAAGTTGCCAAGCGGCTTGAGAGGCTCTACCTAAGAGTTGGCGTGATGGGTATTATGCCACCTAACTTTGTGGCAGGGTGTTGACCTCTCGGTGATCATTAGAGCCAAAAGAGTAGTGAGGCCCTTTCTTTGCAACAAGCGAGGCTGATAGCTATGTTTTGACACATGGGGCGTATTACCTCTTGCTTGGAGGATGGGTGTTGGCCTCACAGGACCACTCCATCTATGGCGGAGAGTGCCCAAAAATACCTAGATGGCCCCTACTACCTTTATAAGCCAGCAACCTTATTGTTAACCATGGGCAATGGAGTGGACGTACCTGTTGGTCAAGTGTATGCTTGAATATTTGCCCACTGGTAGTCTGAGATCCCCACTAATGAGGCAGGCCTAAACCAAATGGTGAACAATAGGAAGGAGGTAAATATATATGTATTAAAATAAAATGTCATACTGAAAGAAAGCAAGCGTATATTGACCTAAAAAGTACGACCTACCCACCTATGTCTTAGGACTGCGTTTTGAAGAGCCAAGCTTGTCTTAGTTTGGGTACCTTGTAACTTGTAAAACATGACACATAGCGTGAGTCTGTGGTTCAGTAAGAGCATAAAACAGTACAGTCTGACCCTTGCGTCAATATTGAGATTACGTGCATAGTGAAAGGGTTAACGTAACTTGCCCAACTGATTGCGAAACAGACCTTTAACTGAGCAGCCGAAGTTATATACAATATATGATAAACAATTGTAGACCTTAACTGTAACATAAGCATCTGGCTTATAACCCTGCCCCTGTACCTAGCACCTGCAATACCAGGTACTGGACTTGAGGGCCACCAGCAGTTTGTGGGAACTCTCGTATGTGCCCTGGTGACATGGGACCGTGGGAACCACAATGAGTGCCTATTATTGTTATTATTATTGCCATTTATATAGCGCCAACAGATTCCGTAGCGCTTTACAATATTATGAGAGGGGGATTTACCTATAAATAGGACAATTACAAAAAACTTACGGGAACAATAGGTTGAAGAGGACCCTGCTCAATCAAACTTACATTCTGTAGGAGGTGGGGTGTAAAACACATTAGGACAGGAATTTGCAGTCAAATAAGGTGGGCTGCCTCTTAGGAAAGAGCAAGAGACAGGTTTGTGAGGTAGAGGTTAGTCTTGGAGGCCATAAGCTTTCCTAAAGAGATAGGTTTTAAGGCACTTCTTAAAAGATGCAAGACTAGCGGAGAGTCTGATGGCGGTAGGCAGGCTATTCCATAGGAAGGGAGCCGCCCGCGAGTAGTCCTGCAAGCGTGAGTTGGCCGTACGGGTGCGGACAACGGACAGGAGGTGGTCACGGGCAGAGCGGAGAGAAGGGACATATCTGTGAGGAGATATAAGAGGGGCTAGAGTTGTTCAGTGTTCTATAGGTGTGAATTAGTACCTTGAATTGACTCCTATAGCATACAGGAAGCCAATGTAAGGACTGGCGGAGGGGTGACGTGTGAGAGAAAAGACTAGAGAGGAAAATCAGTCTGGCAGCAGCGTTCATTACAGACTGTAGCGCTGCAGTACGGCTTTTGGGAAGATAATCAGGAGAGGGTTACAATAATCCATGCGGGAAATTACTAGAGCATGGACAAGCTCCTCAGTAGCATCTTGCAAATGAAAGGGGCGTATGCGAGCTATGTTTTTAAAATGGAATCTACAGGATTTGACAACATGCTGGATGTGAGGCCAGAATCAAGTATGACGCCAAGACAGCGTGCTTACAAAGATGGACTGATGTGGGTACCACAAACTTGAAGGGAGAGCGAAAGAGGAGGATCAGTATTAGGAGGAGGAAAGACAAGGAGCTCAGTTTTAGAGAGATTGAGTTTCAGAAAGCGGGAGGACATCCAGTCAGAGATGGAGGAAAGGCAAGCAACTGGCTCAGTTTCCTAGTAAAAGAACATTGGTAGAAAGGTGAAAATAAAAAGTATAATATAAATAAATAATAAAAGCAATGAAGAACCAATAGATTATACTTTTTATTTTACCACAGAGGGACTCCTTCTCCTTGGTACCACTTGTTAGTGGAGATATGCTGATTTAATCTTCATTTGATGATTGGGTGTTCCGAATATATTCCTCTGGTCTACATTGCAAGCTCACCTTGAAGGAAACGCTGTCCTAAAAACAGATACCCTACAGAAGGGAGATAAGCGCAAATCTACAGTATGGTTTTGTAAGTTCTCTACCTTCGGGATTGAACTATATATTTCTGTTCATACTTCACTATTATGTGATTTCTTTATATTTTAGATCTTCTGAAGAATTGTGTTTTATTACATACAGGTTGTATGTTTCATGATATTTGTTTGCTACCCCTTTAATCTATATATTCAGGGACACCTATATTTTTATCACATTTATGAAACCGCATGAAGAGAGTTGCCATGCAGTATGTATAATGCATATATTCTGTAGGAATCTTCATAGAATATAATCTTTCTGAATTACTAATTTTGACTGTGTTTGGAATTTTCCTGAAATAGGGACTACTTTGTCTCTGTGTATATTTCTTCCGCGTGACTTTCCTAGACTCAGGGCGGAATTACAGGGTCAAAATCCCTAGCCGTCACCAGTGACAACTGCAGGGAATTGGCACTTTTTACGTTGCGGGGTCCTCCATAGACCTCAAATGCTGTACTCTCGCGCCAGCGCAAGTTTACAGAAGTGACGTTGGCTCGCTCCTGGAGCAGCTAAAGAGGATCTGCCGGAACAAGATGGTCACGCTTGCAAAGGATTGGTTCAGGTAAGTACATCTCACCGTTACCTGCTTCCCCCACCCCACCCCGCAGAGGCGATGTTACTGTCTTTGCAGGGGCTTTGCGTGCAAATTCAGTGCTGATTTAATCTTATATAAACTGTGTGCATATGTATTTACACCCCCACTGTTCCTGTGCATCAAGCTCATCTGGTTAACCCATCCATGTGTACGGCACTGCGGGAATGTGTTGGCGCTTTATGAATAATAATAATATGAATGAGAGGGGGGTGTGCATTGAGGAAACTGGCCTTGAAGCAGCAGGTGGGTAATTCCAGCTCTAGCAAGGGCCAGGTTAGCCATGAGCACATTGTGCTGTCCTACAGTTATAATAGAATTGGAATGCCAAGCACTGACCAGCGTCTATCAATGTCAGAAATAGAGAACTTCCACAGCGACGTATTCTATTTCTTCCACTAGGGGGCACTGAACCAAACTTTCTGCTTTCTGCGCCGCCGTTGCTCGTTTGTTCACGTCACCCTTCGGTTGTTTCCGTCTTCGCTCGGCTCTTGGACTCCCTTCGTTTCATCATGGCAGCTCCAGCGCTCAGCATGTGAAAAGTGGCCAGGAGGAAACAGGACGCGGCCTGCACGAGTGCCGTGCAACGGACAGCGAGCGGCTCTGACTGGTGAGAACCTCTCTGAGCGTATTAACACGCAGGGCATGCTGGGCCGCAGGACGGTGTGCGATAATCCCATCGGGTCACACGGCAACTAGTGGCTCTGTCTGTCTGTCTGTCTGCCTGCTGGCAGGTCTGTCTGTCTGTCCGTCCGTCCGCCCGTCCGCCCGGGCCTGCTCACGTGCACACTGTGCGCTCCCTGGAGCCCGGGGGACCGTGTACTCAGCGCTGTGTACATTATACACAGTTGTTATTACTGGGTGCTGTGCAGAACTGTTAGTATTTATTGTGGGCGTGCTGGGTGGCAATCCGCCCCCCCCTCAGTAGTGGGCTTGCAGGGTGGTAGCCCCCCCACTTGTAGGGTTAGTGTGCTTGCAGGGTTGCAGCCCCCCCTTGTAGGGTTAGTGGGCTTGCAGGGTTGCAGCCATCCCCTTTAGGCTAGTGGGCTTGCATGATAGTAGCCCTTCCCAGGGCTAGTGAATGTACAGGGTGGCATCCCTCCCACCCTTGGACTAGTGGGTGTGCAGGGTGGCAGCCCCCTCTTAAGGCTATTGGGCGTACATGATGGCAGCCCTCCACAGGGCTAGTGGATGTGCAGGGTGGCACCCCCGCTTTAGAGCCAGTGGGCATGCAGGATGACAGCCCCGTTTTTAGGAAAGTTGGTGTGCTTGGTGTCATCCCTCCCCAGGGCTAGTGAGCATGCACGGTGGCATCCCTCCCACCCATAGTTTGTGAAATTGCACTGGCATCCTCCCCTCACTCTTCAGGATTAGTGAACGTGCAGGATAGTATTTCAACCCAAGGGCTAGTGGACTGCATAATGACAGTTTCCTTTAGAGCTAGTGGACGTGCAGGGTGTCAAACCCCCCCAGGGTAAGTGGACGTGCTGGGTGACAGCCCCCCCGGTAGGGCTTGTGAGTATGTACGGTTACAGACCCTCAGGGCTGTTAGGTCGTTCAGGGCTTGCAGTCTCCCACCCAGGGCAGATGGGCATACAGAGTGTTAGCCCACCACCTAGGGCTGGTGACGTAGAAGTTGAAACCCCCCAGGACTGTTGGACATTCTGGGCAGCAACCCCATGGGTCTGGTGGGCCTTTAGAGTTGAAGTCCTTTAACTTGGCATGCTTTTAACTTAACCATTAAAGGACAGTGGTTAGTCGAAGCCACTTTTATGCAGAAATTGATGCTTAAGAATTTTATGTGGCTCTAGTTTGCTGATGAACATGTGAACACACTGATGCTATAATCCGTTTTAGACAGACCTATATTCCCAGCTCAACTTACTATTAATTAAAAACATTTTTGAATATGAATTATGTTGTATTCATAGTAAATTTAAAATTAGGCCAAAATATAAATAGTGGCAAAATTCTTCAAGTCAATCATGTTTCCAGTTAAGGTATTCTGGCCTAAGAGTTGATATGCGTTTTGAGTTTACTATTACGTGAATAACTCTGTGCATGTTTGGATTCTGCATAGTCTCTGGAGTGTGCATGCATCCAGAACACATTTGTGTCTATTGAAACCTTTGGGACCTGTGTTCTTGTGAAATGGATTTCTATCTCAACTCTGCTGGTTCTCTAACCACATGTGGAATCCTTAGCTGGACTCTGTACACATGAAATTGTGCATGTGAAATGAAGTGTTCCCAGCATGCATTCCTTATAGTATCCAGAATTGTTAAACTGCTTCACACTCTCACTATTAAAGAGCCCCTAAAATAGGTTTAGAGCAAAAGTGAAAAAATAAGGTAAAAGTACATGCAACACTTAATACATTACCCTCCTAATGAGAACATTGAAATGACTAAAGGGTTACTCCAATCACCATAACCACTTCAGGGACTTGAATTGATCATAGTTCCCGCAGTTTGTATGTGCAGTGTTTAGCTATGAAACGCTGAACATGCAGAGTTTTTTAACCTCTTTGCTGCAGCTTCGTTACAGTGTAATCATGCACCCTGGATGAAGCAGTCTGGGTTGGCTAATGTCAATATTGTGCATATTTCTATGCACCGAGTTGCATTATTTGGTGGAGAGCAGTCAGCTGACACTCTCAGCCAAGGGTACCAAAGTACTACTAGCATCATAATCAGTACAGCAGGTTGTAGTTGTATTGCTTGGAGTAACCTTTTAATCTACAGTGGAAACAAAAGGAAATACATTTCATACCCTCACCAAGCATAATCTGTAGCAAACTAAATGAAATACAAAATTACACAATGTGAAAATAAACTCTTCCTGAAAAGCTGTATTCCGTAGGACCCCTCTGAATTCTCAGGAAATATACCAAAAAACCAGGGGGAGATCCTGCAAAAGAATAAAAATATCTCATGGGATAATAAGCATTTAAACTCGCTGTGCATGCGTATAAGTTCCCTGACGGTGGAGGCAGAGCCTGCCTAGCTGCTGATTGACATCGGCGCTGCAATAATTGTTAAAGGACCAGTATAGGCACCCAGACCACTTCAGCTTAATAAAGTGGTCTGGGTGCCAGGTCCAGCTAGGTTTAACCCTTTTTTCTATAAACATAGCAGTTTCAGAGAAACTGCTATGTTTATAATAGGGTTAATCCAGCCTCTAGTGGCTGTCTCATTGGCGTCCATAGGAAAGCATTGTGAATGCTTTCCTATGAGACTGGCTGGCTGCGCGCGGCTCATGCCGCGCATGCACATTCAGCCAAGGAGAAGGAGAGTCCCCTGCCCGGCGATGGAGAAAGGGGTAAGTTTAACCCCTTTCTCACCCTATAGCGCGGCGGGAGGGGGGCCCTGAGGGTGGGGGCACCCTCAGGGCACTATAGTACCAGGAAAATGAGTGTGTTTTCCTGGCACTATAGTGATCCTTTAACCCTTTCAGCACTGCAGTATAGTTTACATTGAAAAAGATTTATTCAGGAATGCACTTAGAAACATATAATAAAGTGTGGAATCCGAGTGAATGAGGAAGTAAAAGACCAGGTAGTGGAAGATGAACTATATACGGCAAGAAACAAGAATAACTGGTCCTTAGAAAGTCTATGCAAGTAGAACTGATAATGTAGATCTGATACTTGTATTCTGTTTTTACTTATTTTGTGTCCGCTAAGCAACCAGGAAGTAACAGGACCGGTTGTCTGATAAGGTGTAACAAGGTTAATTTACTTTTTGTAACCTGAAATAGAGGACGCACTTCACCCATAAAGCACTTCTGCCACCTGAAGGGCTTTAGGGGTCTGGAGTGTGGATTTAAGCTTGCCGATCAGCTAATACTCTCAGGCAGTGAGCACTGCAGGGCTTCGTTCAGGAGAGCTAAAGGAAACTCCTAAGCATGAGCTTCCGGCTTTCCATCTGATGTAGTGGAGGTGAAGGCAGGCTGGACATAGGTAAGAGATCAAACACTTCTAAGATGGTCTAAAGAAGGGGTAGGCAAACTTGTGAGATGTAAACCAAAACATCTGGAGTGTTAAAGGTTGCATATCTGTGGTCTAAAGCAATAGACAGAAACACGTGCAATATCATGTACAGATTTTAATTATACAGGGGATCAGGGTTTGGCAAATCCCACCTAGCCGTGGCGACTAGGAATTTTGTCATGGTACCTGGGTTTTCTCAGCCTGTTCAGCCCCCGAAGCGGTCGGCCAGTTGACTCGGTGCAGGTGACTGTCCTGCTCAGAGAGAGCGTAGGCGGGCGGGCAAGGAGCTGGCATAGAGAGAGTGAGTGCCTGCAGACGGCTCAGGGGAGCGGTGGCAGCGAGGGAGCTATAATCTTCCTGTTCTGCGCCCTCTAGTGATGCTGGTAGCTGAAATATGTCATCACTCTGGCCCTGGTTTCACTAAACAGTGTGTCAGGGAGCAGAGCAGGAAGAGGACAATACCCCGACTGGACCCAAGGGATAGGACCCACAGGTTAGGGAGGCTGGACACATTAAAAAAATAATAATAATTTGAGTGTGTGAAAATGTGTGTGTGTGTGTGAGTGCTGCAGTGGTGTGCTTATGTCTGTGTGAGACACACACTCACAGTAACTGATTTGACAGTGAGTGGCTGTTTAGGTGACTGGCCCCCCTCCAATCACATGCGAAAAGTGTTTTTGCTCATCTTTTTTGAGCTGGCCCTTTTTTTATGGCTGAGTTCATTAGTCTTGGAGATTTCCGCCAATCCAGTGCTTTCCCATAGGAAAGCATTGGGGGCTTTTGCGCATGTATGGCAAAACGCCACTCTGTGCCAATCAGCATCTCCTCATAGAGATGCATTGAATCAATGCACCTCTACGGGGAGCATTAAGCGTCTCCATTCAGAGCGTGGAAATGTGAACGTGGGTGCTGCACACTGTGCAGCACTGACCCAGGGTGCACCTCTAGAGGCCGTCTGAGTGACTATCACTAGGCTGCAATGTAAACATGGCCTTTTCTCTGAAAAGGCAGTTTCTTTACATTGAAAAAAGTGCAGGGAAAGGCTATAGACACCAGAACAACTACATCAAACTAACTGCATTTTTAGCTGGCTTCTAGATTCCAAGCAAAAATATCAAGCAGGTTATTACATTTTACACTAGGCTTTTCTGGTACTTTTAGGTTTCTTCCATTGTTGTTTATAATTGCAGTATAAAGAGGTTGTTTTTACCCCCATCCCAACTTAATAGGGACATTACTTACTAATCGGTAGTTATATCCATCCCTACTGCGACTTACTTGCAAGCACAAAAACATAAAAGCTAATCTCCCACGTCCCTTATATTATGAAAATCAACTAGGCCAAGACCATTTTGATTTATTCAATGTATATATGCTATCTGGATGTTTTAGTATGGTTTTTAGACTTCATTCATGTGAGTCCAGGATGCAGCATGTTGGCGTTTTGCCTGGCCGGGAGAGAAAATATAATGAGGATTTCAATGCATGAGTTGTGCTGTGCTCAACCACTCTTTTACTGCACTGCTGAGCATTGGCATTTCTGTAAATATTTAAAGCCAGAGTTATCTTGATGGCTGCAGGGTGCAGATCATCTTCAGCAGCATTGTGTTCCACCATTCACCTCAATGCCCATTCAAGTTATAGATGGCCTCTTTCATTGGTTTATAGGCTGGTAGGTATGAATTGGATCATGAACCTATATATTTTACCTTGCAGATTGTCCAGCCAATCATAAGGAGAGAATACATAGTTTTCTTCAGAGAATGCCAGCATTGGAGAAAAGTGTTTAAAACTAGATATCTGATATGCCATGGCTGTAAGCAACCTCTGAGGGATACTAGAACACACTGTTCTATCTGGTCAAAAAAAAAAAAAATCAGTTTACAAAAAAACTTTACTTCCATAAACTGTTGCGACAAGTACCAGTAGTACCAGTTATAATCCTCTCTTAAACAGTCACCCTTACACTTACTCATTAATTCTAGTTTACTGCAGATTGTTCAATGGAAATAGTTTGATATTTGCCTTTTTTATGTTTTCAATTGAAGAGTAAATCGGAAAAGAGCTCAACTGGAATATAAAGCCACTTTGCCAATTTGGGAATCAGGGAGCCTCTGGACAAGATAATGAAATGGCTTTTTGTAGGTCTAATCAGGCCTCTGATTTGCACTTGTGTGATAAATATGATATGACAGAATTTGAAACAATCACCGTGATAGTACACCTACAGAGGGCAAAAAAAAAAACCAGACAATTGTTGATGCAACAATAGTTTTTTTGTGTGTATATATTCTGAAATGTCACACCAGTTTTGCACTGGGATATATCTTGTGTACCATGAGGAGTTCCTTCTGCCTGATTAGTATGAACTGGGAGTTGATACTTGGAGACTGAGGAGTTTGCTTTGATATGGAAAGTGTGTCCTGAAAATTGTAATATGTTTAAACCATATTTACCAGTACTATACAAACGTGTTTCAAGAATTGTGACGTGGTAAGGGGTATTTTAGGGAATGGCAACAGTGGATTATCCATTTTAGGGACCGTGCACTATCCATGGACATAATAGAGTGTTAGCTGCAACATTCAAACTACTAAATAAAAATGGGGGGCCAACTTGTATACTCTTATACAGGGCTTTCTTTTAGTAGTTTTGTTTAGGGTGATCTAGAATTTTTCCTTAAGATGTGCTTTTTCCTTTTCATTACATTATATTAACATAGTCACTTTGGGTTTTTGTACCTGGTATCATTTTATTTAATTATGTTGTGTTATATCATAGGCAACTCTTGATACTGGCTAACACAATCATGCTCTGATTTGGATTGTCACAATGTGCATTATTTTGTAGTGTGGGCCTCTTTCTTTTTCAGATATGTTTTTTGTTTGTTTTTTGTTAATAATGCTTTAAGTTTACACATTACACAAGTAATGATAAACTGTTACGATGTGAATTGCTCACGTAGCATGAAGGAACAGAGGATTACAACTTGGACAGATAACACAATAGTTGCTGAAAACCTTTCTTAGAATGACGATCTTCAATTAGCAGAAAATCATCTAGTTAGTGTATTATATTAAGGCAACTGCGTTGTTGTAGGATCCAATTTAATTGTGAAAATTTGTCAAAAAGCCATGCACTGCTTTTGGAGCAGGAAGTCAATTTGTAGGCAAAATAATATTTCTCTTCCAGAGATGTGAGACATATCGAAATTCCATCCTGTGAAATCTTGGCGTGTGCTTCTTGTTGGTAACTAGACACTTCTGCAAAGTTCGTCGTTGCTACTCGTATTCGAGAAAAATGCAGAAAGTACATTTGAATTGTACTTCAAAAGAAAACAGGCAATACTAGAGCACTAGTCAGCAACTAAATGTGTGCGCTCAGGATCATATGTGTTATTATTATTGATATATATTTTTATATAGCGCTTTACAATATCATAAAAGGGGGGGAGATTTAACAATAAATAAGACAATTACAAAAAAACTTACAGGAATGATAGGTTGAAGAGGATTACACCGTGCATAGATACTACTCTCCGTCTGAAAGTGCAACTGATTCTGCTTTTTCCAGAGTATTGACATTATTACTGATGCATATTGTATGTTAAAACTACTATATAAACCAACAACAATGTGCTGATGTAATCTCAATACCTGATGGCATAAATACCAAATACAATATATAACCGATACTACAGGCATGAGTTAGATCATGAAGACATTAAAGATTTAAAAAGCAAGATACATATTAGTAATATAAGCACTACGTAAGACCGATGTGACCTGTTGAAACAGATGCCCTATATTTTATAAACTATGTACATGAAGTATCAACTAAAGACAAGACAGGTTTAAAACACCTGATATATATTACAAAACAATGGACATGAAATAGCACCTAAACACCTGATATATTATTATGGAAGCTAAGGGTGTGAACCGCAGAACAGGTGACAGGCTTAACATATCAAATATATAACAAAAAGGACGAGCATGAAATCGCACCTGATGACATGACAGGGTTTAAACACCAAATACGATGTATTAAACTACGAGCATGGGGTAGCACCTGAAGACATGACCGGTTTAAACAAAGATACAGTTAATTCAAGAACTTCAAGCATGGAGTAGCACATAAAGATGTGACCATTTTCCTTTTTTTCTTTTTTTTCTTTACACACGCATGTATCAGCACCACTGGGTTTTCCTGGACTTTGCTGAGATACACTCAGTGTAAATCTCTGTGCTCTAATTAGATAATAGTGGCATAAAAAAATGTACATGTTAAAATCAGAATGGTAACAACCAATATATTAATTTGCAAAGCATATTGGTTGAAAACAATCTTTCCATGATAAAATATATCTTTCAGTCTATTCCGATTAGCAGTGTACATATAGCTAAGTACTACTATATGCTTTACACAAAATTCATACTTAACCCATATATACTTACATCATGCCAAGCCTCACTTTAAATGCTACATTGCAGTATTAGATGATAAATGGCCGCATGCGGGGAGAGGAATGTGATGAGCGGTATCCTAACAAGTATGTGAATGCAAACATATACCAGTGCTTCTGAGGTGATGTGTGCAATTACTGTCATGTAGGTTCATGTCGTTTATTACCCTACCTTTGCAAAGGGCTGTATTGAGGGCTTTACGAATCTGCTGATCGTACTGGAAGCTGAACGTTTGAAGCGAGACAAAATAGCACCTGTCCTGTATCACATGGAGAAACTGCTATGTTTACATATGGGAGTAATCCAGCCTCTAGTGGCTGTCTCATTGACAGCCGCTAGAGGCGCTTCTCACTGTGATTTTCACAGAAGATGCCAGCGTCCATAGGAAAGCATTGAGAATGCTTTCCTATGGACTAGCTGAATGCGCGCGCGGCTCGAGTATGTTTTCCTGGCACTATAGTGGTCCTTTAATTCTGCCTCATTATGTGCAGAGTTTTATCATTAAATGCTGCACATACAGACTCAAGGCTCCATAACCACTTCATATCACTAAAGTGGTATTTGTGGAGTCACACTTTAAAGCTTTGGAAAATCCCCTGAAATGGACTAGTACAGCAACTACATTGCATTACATGATTGCCCCCCCCCCCCAGGACCCTGGGTACTCAGGAGGGCCGGCCTAGAATCTGAGATAAGCCAAAAAAGTGTAGAATGATCTCTGAGGAAACCTAAAAAATCTTTCTAATCCATTTTGAGAGCTAAACTGAATAAACTGTATATTGCCGTATCCTTGCTAGACTTCTCTTGGGACAGAAATACCGGTACTACATTAGGACAGTGAGTGTTGGGTTTTTTCTTTAAAATTTTTTTTCAGGGGAGGAGGAGGAGGCACAATTGTAATGACACCCATGCTTGGCCCCTTTTTGACAGTGTCATGAAGGGGAGGGGCCTAGTCATTATCACAAAGTCAGGATGACCAGTTTTGGAAATAAAAAAACCTGGACACCCATTAGGAAAGCATGTGAAGCAGGACGAGCCACCAAGAGATCGGCCTGATGATGGAAATAAGATGAGTAAAAAAAACACCTTGTTATTAACAGAGGAGGGGCAAGATATGTAAATAGCGTTTTCACAAATATGGTGTCAGAAATACATGTTTGTATTCCTGATACTATAGTGTTCCTTTAAGCAAATTAAACATTTTACAAGAACATTTTGGTCACCATAACAACTTCATCTAAATGAAAATGCTATGATGCCAGGAGGCCCCTGGGCGCTCTTTCGTTTAAGGGCATAAACCACTCTCAAATGGTTTAACCCCAGAGGCTTCCTCCAGCTCCAGGTCGCTCAGTGGTATTCGGCTTCAGAAACGTAGAGTCAGAAAGTGCAGATTAACGTCAGGCATGGGTGCCGCTGATTGGCTAGAGTTGTCAGCTGGCGCTCTAAGCCAGGGGTGTCCAAACTTTTTTCAAAGAGGGCCAGATTTGATGAAGTGAACATGTATGAGGGCCAACCATTCTGCCTGACATTCTTTGAACCATTAAAATTGAATGCAAATTAACTATTTTATGTGACGTTTATTGCAAATGGCATATATTTCATTTCATCTCTTTATTCCGTCTCTTCTCTCTTTATTCTGTACCTTTAAATTCTGTCCATTCTCTCTTTCTGTCCCAGCAGGGAGAAGGGATCAAATCATGTGACATCCAAGAGATCGTGAGAACGCAGACTGAGATCACTGCACGTCCGTCTGCATTCTCGCGATCTCTTGGCCCTGAGTGCTACTCAGGACCGCAGTGTTCAGAGATCCCAGGGGTGCTGAGCGGCGCTTGGGCATTTACTGGGGGCCACAACAGATAGATTTACCAAATTAACTATGTGGCCGTATTAAACCGGAACGCGGGCCGGGCTTTGGACATGACTACACGAAGCCAATCTCTAGTTCCCGGTTCATAAAAATGTTTTACATTTTTATAAATGAGGAGCTACTGGTTGGCTTAGAGTGCCAGATGACCATTTTAGCCAATCAGCAGCACCCCTATCCAGCGGCACTATGTGCTTCCTGACACTCACTAAATAAAAGTGAACACATTAACACTGATATTTTTTTTGTGTTTTTTTTTACATGAGAAGGCCCAAAGTTTCCCTGCCGGGCCCAGTTACCAAAGACTTATGATGTGGTATCCAAAATGAAGTGGAGGGATCATTTCACTTGCCCTTCCTGCTCCAATCTCATTTTCTTCTCCTTCATTTGACACAGTCTTCTTTTTCTTTTGACACTGTCTTCTCTCCTCCATGGCTTCTTTCTGCTTCTTTTGCGCCCTTCTGCTACTTTCTCTTTCTGATCCCTTTCTGTTACATTCGCTCCCTTCTGCTCCCTTTCTGCTCTTTGCAGACCCAGACCCTTTCTGTTGTTTGCGGACCCAGACCCTTTCTGTTGTTTGCGGACCCAGACCCTTTCTGTTGTTTGCGGACCCAGACCCTTTCTGTTGTTTGCGGAACCAGACCCTTTCTGTTGTTTGCGGAACCAGACCCTTTCCGCTGTTTGCGGAACCAGACCCTTTCCGCTCTTTGCAGACCAGACCCTTTCCGTTGTTTGCGGAACCAGACCCTTTCCGCTCTTTGCAGACCCAGACCCTTTCCGTTCTTTGCAGACCCAGACCCTTTCCAGACCCTTTCCGTTCTTTGCAGACCCAGACCCTTTCCGCTCTTTGCAGACGCAGACCCTTTCCGCTCTTTGCAGACGCAGACCCTTTCCGCTCTTTGCAGACCCAGACGACCTGTTTTGCTCTTTCTGATTCTTTCTGCTCCTTTACCTTTGTGCTCCTTCTGCCCCTTCCTGCTCCTTGATGTTCTTTCTCTTTTGTGCTCTTTCTGCTTTACCTTCCTGCTCCTTGCTGACCCTTCCTGTAGGCTGCCCCCATCCCTCACTTACCTGATCTGTAGGCTGTCCCCCCTCCACCCCTCATTTACCTGATCTGTAGGCTGTCCCCCCTCCACCCCTCACTTACCTGATCTGTAGGATGTCTCTGCAGTCTGGGAGTTGCTGGCTGCACTGCCTATAGCTGCTCCCCCGCGGATTCAGTCAAGAGAGAGAAGCAGGGATAAGATGTAGCTTCCTATCCCTGCCTCTTTCCACACACAGCGCCTACTGGCCGGTGACAGTATGGCAGTGTATTCTCAATCTCAAAAGAAAAATACAGGCACAAGCTGAAGAATCCAGAAAGAGAGAGGGAGGGTGGGCAAGTGCCCCCTCCTGCGGACGCCCATGGTTTTGTGTCATTTATTTATAATATATTTTTACTTGTATGCACTATTTTTGGTTCATAATAAATGTTCTTATATTACGTTCTGCCTTTAACTGGTACAAGAATCACATTCCTGAAGAGACTTATAATTTATATAGTTATATTAGGCAAAAAAAGTCTTAAATCAACTAAAAGATATGCAGACGGAGGGGGTATCAGACAGGATCCTAGATAAGGGATAAATCAATGCATAGACCCAAGAACAAATACTAAAAAGGTAAAATGTCAAGTATGAATGTAACCTGGATACATGTAATACTTATTTCCAAAGTACAAAGCAAGATGTTAATGTAGAGTTTAACAGAAAATTGGTGAATGTATACTGTACAAAGACAATGTTCACGCAAGAAATATAACGCTCCACCCCGGAACTCATAAATAAAGAATTATAAAAAAAAGTCTTAAATCAATTTAGTTTTTTTAGACACACTAGTAGAAATTATAATCCTCAAATACAATGGAGAATAAAAGGATCTGCAAAATATCAATCCTTGTTGTAGCAGGTAATGTATAAACCACTCTCTCCTGTGAATGACTTGTGTGAATGGTGATATCTGACATCACTAAATAATTGCTGCAGAATAAAGCAAAATCCTAGCACTCAAAGAAAACAGTAAAAAAAAATGTGATGGTCTTCACTGGTCTGATGAAGACTGTCAGGTTGCTTTATGGCTTGTTATGATTTTGCCTTAATGATATATTCATTAAAGTTGATTGGCACGGCAGTGTTTTACCCTCTAAGTGCTGTGCTAATTTCTTGGAGTCTTATTTCGAAAGTATAAGCAAAAACTGTGAAGTAAAAAATAAAAATATGCATTTTTTTGATTTCTTTCTTTGTTCATCTGTTGACTGCAATAAAAAAAAACTGCTGTATTCAAGAAGGTGTGCATCAATTTTAGTTTGTGTTATGCTGGAGGATGGGTCCTGGGTAAAATTACATCTCTCTCTCTCTCTCTCTCTCTCTCTCTCTCTCTCTCTCTCTCTCTCTCCTTCTCCTTTAAAAGGAACACAATTTTTATTATTATATATACATTTTATAGATAATTTGTGGAAGCAAGTAGCACAAGCATGTCAAACGGGCGGCCCTCAATGAATATCTTAATGGCCGGCGAGCCACAAGTTTGACATGCTTACTAAGACAGAGTAGGCTTCTGATCTCCACTCTACTTTTTCCACCTGCACTGTGAATGTCTACATGGTGTGTTCAATAAAAACATGGCAACATTTCATTCTTTGTGTGTTATTAGTTTAAGCAGACTGTGATTGTCTATTGTTGTGACTTAGATGATGATGATCAGATCACATTTTATGACCAATTTGTGCAGAAATCCATATCATTCCAAAGGGTTCACATACTTATTCTTGCAACTGTACTACAGTCTCTATCAGCAGACACACTACTGGTTCTTTTTTTTTTCTCTCTCTCTCTCTCTCTCTCTCTCACACAATTCCTTCCAAACATGCATGTGCTACAAGCAGCATCCTTGCACACACAACACCAACCCCCCACATATGCACACTCTCAACCCTCTTTTGTCCTCTGGTGGGGACATCAGTGACAAGTCACCAGAAAATGTAAGAACAAGTGTATCATTATGTTTGCTTGCACTGCATAAAGGAAAACTATAGCATTAGGAACACAAAAAACAAGCTTTCCAATGTAGGACTTGGCCAAGAGCAATCAGCTGATGGTAATGGTTAAAATATAATATAGTGAGTCTGGATATCTCTTTTACTTTTCATCAAAATATGGTATTTAAACTGCATCTCCCTACTGATCCTACAGAAAGAACTATGTTCTTTACACACATACTTTTGTTTTGCTATTCCTGTACTTTACTTGGTGAATTGAATCCATCCTGAGGTTAGTGGCAATTTTAAACAAAAATGATTTCATATATTTAGGTTAAGGGTTATTCAAACCACCATGACCACTTATGCTGGTAGGAGCCAAAATGTACAGTGTTTCAGCTTGAAACCCCCTGTTCACGTGACTTAGGCAGCCCAGAATTTTGCTCCCTACTGCCTAATGTGAATTCTAATTGATGTCTGTAGTCAGAGCATGCTGCCAACAGACTGCAATGGGAAACTTGCGTCTGCCTTCCCATACTCAATCCTCCCTGCCTCCCATCCGCTGAAATATATTTTTTTAATTCCTCCCTCCATTTCCCCCTCACTTTGCGTGCTCTGAGCATGCACAAGCGTTCTGAGCCACTTAAATCCTCCAGTCAAAGGCTTTATTATGAGAAGCCTTTGATTGGACCATGGTGTGCAGCTCCAGTCACATCAGGCGGGGGAGCGACGAAGAGCACCGTGAGCTTCCCCCCCTGCGCTAGATAAAGAAAGGTGAGTAAATCTGGTTTAAAAATGCCCTTTGAGTGTTTTTGTAGGGGGGCACAAAAAATCTGAGAAATCTCATAATGTTTACCTGTGAATCTAGGGCTTTTTCAATCTTTAGCAATCCTTGCTAAGCAAACTTAATGGACACTATAATATAATTTTTTTTATTGTGTTGCCAACTATGCTTATCAAAATGGGATGTCTGTGTCTGTTATGTAGATTAGATCTAACATTTTAAATTTTCTTTTCAGAAAGAAAACCTACGTCATTCAGTGTGCAATAGGAATTGCCATTTTCAGTGAATATCTTATCACCGTTCCACCCTTTGCTCTTTTCATTTTTGCCGCATGACCCCCGTGAAGTCCTGGATTATGTTTATCTCACTTTTCCTGTGCTCTATAATCTGGCTGAACCGTGGTTTCAAACTTAGAATAAGGGGCACATAGAGCCAAAGTTCCCTCATTTCACCCTGTTTTGTCAGTTCTGGATGTATCATACCTAAATTCAGCGGGGGATCCATGCACTAGCCCTCTGTAGGACAATGCCAACAGCCATTTCCAAACTATCTCTTTGTATTTTCTTATTGTGATGAACCAAAAACTGTAAATTTTCTAAATTCTTTTGCTACTGCAATGTACTAAGACCATTATTGGGCAGCAGAGACTTAAGACCCCAAGGAAGACACTGGGGCTGAGTAGGCTGCACCAATGTCTGCTGAAGGAATACAGTACCGGGCACTATACAAATATAGCAAGGAGAGGGATGAAGACCTTGATCTATTGCCAGGTGATATTCTGTTGGTAAGCCGAGCGACATTGCTGTCTCTTGGCTACAAAGATGGAGATGAACAGGACCCTGGTCGTATTGGATGGATTCTGGGGGTCAATGAAAGAACAAAACAGAAAGGGGACTTTCCAGGGACGTATGTGGAATTTATTGGGTTAGTCAAAACGACACTGCCATCCCATCCTCCCCGGGGACATCGACCTTTACCTGCTACTCCTACATCTAGAACTGAACATCCTAACCTACCAGGTAAGAAACAACCATGCATTATGTGTGTCAACCGCTGCTATAGGAAAATAGTTTGCCTGTCTACTTTTGTGTAGTTATATTAACACAAGTAGTGCAAAGCTATTAAACTGCACATCTTCCTACAAATTGTAGTAAAATTGTGTTTTAGTTTAGTATTTTGTGTATTTATGTTTTATAAACACACACCTAACAAGTTTTTGTTTTGTTTTTGTTTCATGTAATGTTTTGTAAACCTTATGTGTGCTCCTCCTGTGCAAAACCCCTAAAATCATCTAATTTGTATTCAGCTACATCTTCTAAAAACAATAACCCCCAATGTATGCCTTTTCCACTATCCTGTGAAGCTACAGCGCCATATTGGAAATCTGAACATTAAATTTTTTTTACCTTCATATTATGCTCAACTTCATATTCTGAGTAAAACAAACCCCCAGTATATGAATTAGCCTTGTTAAGTCACCTTGTTATATAAGTGAGCTCGCCATTTAAGTTTTTAAAGTGTGAATTTTGATGGGCATTTTACTATTTTTGGGCATTTTATCAGTTTGATATTTGAAATTTACCCCACAAAGGCCTATAATTTCTTGAAGACACATAGGGTATGTCAGATGACATATTTTAAACCTTATAGTGGGACTTTTTTTCTCTCATTAATTTGTTCCAAGTGTAGTGATGATAAGCCCTTTCTCTGCCTTTTTACTGATATAATTTTTCCAGATCCTATACAGATTTTTGGTTGCCTTTTGGACTGATTGACTATAACAGGTGCCATTTATAGTGTTGCAAAAACACAATTTTTACACAAATCTGGCATTAACTAAACATTCTGACAGCAATCACACTTTTAACAGTCTCAGCAGCCAGTTTTTGGTGGGATCAGTAAGAGCGCGGTTACTGAAAGGAGTGTCACAGTAAACTTTGGGCCCACCAGTTTGTGACTCAAGGGTGCTTCTTTTTGGAACCCTCTATGGACCATTGTGAGGATAGATGTTCGCTTCTTTGGTTTGAGAGCTGTATGAAAGTTTGAGAAAGCTCAGGCAACTTGGTCACCAGTCGCAGCAAGGCTTTGAGTCAAAAACATCCTTGATCTTCGCGTGATTTAACTGGCTCTCCAGGCTTGGCCACAGCTCCTTCGGGAGTCCCATTTCTCATTCTGGTTGGAGAATTTCAGAGCAGTTGTTCATGTCAACCACCAGGGAAGAAAGCAGATTTCTGCTGCAACTGCGGCGGGGTTACTACTACCAAGATTCTTTGCGTAGCGGAATTTTAAATTAATGCTATAAGCAGTTTAAATTTCCTGGTGTGGACATCTGTTAGACAGACTGCCTCAATTGCCAGGCCATTCATCTGGAGGAGTGACAACTTTCTCTGCTTATCTGGCGATGGGGTCACCCACAGATCCACTAATCTCTTCTTGATTGGACTTCCCAACTTATTTTCTATTGAACCAGTAGCAGTGAACCTTGAATGGCCTGGGTGATGCTCTGATGGCATTGTAACTTCCACTTGACTTGTCTATCCCCTCCCCCCTCCACTTTGGCAGATAGTTATAGATCTTGGCCAATGGTGTATCTACCGCGAGGCTGACAAGGCATTTGCCTTGGGCGGCACTTTCAGGGGGGCGGCAAAAAAAGCCAGTGTCAGTGTGTATATGTGTTTGTTAGTGAGAGTGTGTATCTGTCACTGAGAGTGTGCGTGTGTCAGTGTGTGTTTTGTGTGTGTGTCTGTCAGTGAATGTGTATGTCTGTCAGCTAGTGTGTGTGTGTCTGACACTAAGTCCTTATATGTCTGTCAGTGAGTGTTGTATATGTGTTTGTCAGTGTGTATCTGTCAGTGAGTGTGTCCCAGTGTGTGTTTCTGACACTGAGTGTGTATGCATTTCTGTCAGTGAGTGTATATGTGTCTGTTAGTATGTGTGTAACTGTGAATGAGTGAGTGATTGCCTGTAAATGTGTATGTTTCAGTATGTGTGTGTTGGTTAAACAGTGTGTGTGACAATGACTGTGTATCTGTGAGTGCATGCATCAGTGAGGGTGTGTGTCAGGAAGAGAAATTTGGAGAGTTGGAGGGTGCCCGAGTTTTGTCATGCCTGGTTCAGCCCAAAACCATATATAATAATACACCAATGATCTTGGCGAGGATCCATCAGGGAAACCTTGGTTTGCAAACTTTGAGAAATCTACTCGGGTGCCTTCCACTCCAACCGAACCTTATTAGCGTAACGTAACTTGATGCTCCAGCGTCCCCTTTTTGAGCCTGTGCACACCTTTTTAGTCTCTAATCTCTAAACTCTGTACTGTGCACCACGTTTGCTGGTGTTTATAAAGAATCAGGCAGTTTTGAATAATTGCTTTAACTTTTTGTTGTAAGATAGTTTATTTTTCCAGTATCAATAAATCAAGTCAAACCTCTTCTGGATGGAGTCATGACTCACTCTACCTGTTTGGCGGTCCCTTTTTTTTTTTATACCGCTGTACACCTATTACGCTAGAGCTGGCCATAGCTCGCATAAATGTGTGTGTGCTACCATTATTTCTACTTATAACATATTTCTAATCACATTTATTGCACCATCCGCTGTCCTCTGTTTTTTGTCTTTTATATATGCATACGGAGCGCTCGGATTAATTGACTCATCGTTTCAACTGACGATCTTTCATTTTTCCATCAAGTACTTTATATTGACTCTCATCTATGACTTATAGTCACCTATACAAGATTATCTCTTACTAGGACTATCTCTACTATTGATATTATCTGTATATATATTTATTATCTTTGGCGCAACCTTTCCTTGCCTTGTCTTGTTTTATATTAGTTTTAAGGGTCTTGAGGGATCCCCTTTTTTTAGGCTGCTGCCTTCCGGTATTTTGTATGTTAATTAGCGCTGACTTATCTCTTGGTTTTTGTATTTCGTAAGATTTTATATTTATTTATTTGTATAATAACTCAAACTCTGCTTCAGTGACTGAGGTTTGAGGTAAATTCTAGACTTTGCAAATGTTGCATTATTTTGTCTGTGTAGTTAAAACATGCCAAATCTGCTTTGATCTGGTTTAGGAGTGGTTAGATGGGCACCTAATGTACTTTCTGACTTTTTTGCTTTATGTAAACTACATTCCCTAGGGGGTCATTCTAAACATCCACCACTGAACAAATAAAACCCATCAATAACAATTAACAATAGTATGTGAAAGTAAAGTTGCAACAATAGATTTTTCAGATTATAGCTATCTTTATTTAAAGGAACACTATAGTCCCCTAAACAACTTTAGCTTAATGAAGCCGTTTTCGTGTATAGATCACGCTTCTCAGGTTTCACTGCTCAATTCACTGCCATTTAGGAGTTAAATCACTTTGTTTCTGTTTATGCAGCCCTTGTCACACCTCCCCTGGCTATGATTGACACAGCCTGCATAAAAAAACACAACTGGTTTCACTGTCAATCAGAAACATAGAAACATAGAATGTGACGGCAGATAAGAACCATTCGGCCCATCTAATAGTTTACCTTAAACAATTGTATCTCTTTCTCTGTAAATTGAACTTACAGGAGGCTCTTGCAGGATCTAGCAAGCTATTAACATAGCAGGGGATAAGAAAATCTAATATAAACAGAACTTGCAATAAAGGAAGGATAAACTTCAGATGACTTTACAGGAAGTGTTTAGGAAGGCTGTGCAAGTCACATACAGGAAGGTGTGACCAGGGTTCATAAACAAAGTGATTTAACTCCTAAATGGCCGATAATTGAGCAGTGAGACTGCATGTTCTATACACCAAAACAGCTTCATTAAGCTAGAGTTGTTTTGGTGACTATAGTGTCCCTTTAATAAAAATAAAAAGTGCTTTGGTAGTGAAAAGGCACAAACATAAAATGTAACTTGCAAGAAAAGGTGTATTAAAAGTTTGTAAGTTGAGGGAAGCCAATATTAGTAGTTTGAATTAGTTAAAGGGACACTACAGGCATCCATTACATGTCCCTGTAGTAAAAGTACATATTTTATTGTATGTATTGGGGTTGATGTTTACTGTAGTCATTGCTGACAACCAGGAGTAGGGGGAGTTTGAGAGCAGCCTGGATGTTTGTCAGCCCTTTCAGCAGAGGTGGCCGCCTGAGGGAGAATTGAGCCGAGCGGAGAGGGAGCTGTAATCTTCTTGCTCTGTTCCCTTGTATGCCATGCTGTGATTCCGGGATATGATGTCACTCTGACCCTTGCACCACTAAACCGCATGCGAGGGAGCAAAGCAAGAGCTTGAAGAGTACAGGATCACAGTGTCTGTGTGTCAGTGTGTTCAGCGCCAAGGGAAGGGGGCCCTGAAGGTGGGGGGTCCTAGGATGCTATAGTGTCAGGAAAACAAGTTTGTTTTCCTGACACTATAGTGATCCTTTAAAGTCTGGGCTCTGGCTGAGACACTCAAGGACATTTGCAGAGTTGTCCCTAAGCCACTCTTGCATTGTCTAGGCTGTGTTATAGTCATAGTCCTGTGGGAAGGTGAAGCTGTATAAGTCTGATGTCTTGAATGCTCTGGCCAGTTGTTCATCAAAGGGACACTATAGTCACCAGACAAACTACAGCTTATTGTATTTGTTCTGGTGACTAGAATCCTTCACTTCAGGCTTTTTGCAGTAAACACTGTCTTTTCAGAGAAAATGCAGTGTTTACATTACAGCCTATGGATAACTCAACTGGCCACTCCTCAGATGGCTAATAGAGGTGCTTCCTAGGGCAGTGCTGCACAGTATGCAGCACTGCCATTCATTGTCTCCACCCTCTGCATGCAGACACTAAACGTTCCTCCTAAAGATGCATTGATTCAGTTAATCTCAATGAGGAGATGCTGATTGGCCAGGGCTGTGTTTGACTTGTGCTGGCTCTGCCCCTGATCTGCCTCATTGTGTCTCAGCTAATCCTATTGGAAGCATTGTGATTGGCTCAGACCATCACTTCTGATGATGTCAGCAAGCAAGTCAGAGGCAGCAGCTGCAGTCTTGAATACAAGTAAGATTTTACTATATGTAGGGAGGCAAGAGGGGGCCAGGGTGGTTAGATGGTGGTTTCAACACTACAGGGTCAGGAATACGTGTTTGTGTTCCTGACCCAATAGTGTTCCTCTAAGGATATATCCTTGTGTTGTGTACAGCTTTCTCTCAACCCTGACCCGTTTCCAATCCTAGGTGCTTAAAAACACCATTGGGGTGGTATTGCAGAGGTAATGAGCTGTGCCTGTCTTTCCCTAGACATTAAACTTACTTTTATTTGAGGCCAAAAGGTTTATTCTTCTTTTCATCAAACCAGAAAATCTTGTTACACAGTCCAAGAGTCATTTAGACACTTTTTTTTCTTCTTCTTCTTTAAATTCCTGTGTCTTGCAATAAGGACACGCTTCCATCTGGCCAGATTGGTGTAGTGTTGTAGTGATAGTTGTCCTTCCACAAGTATCTCCCATCTCCACACATGATCTCTGGAGCTTACCCAGACTGACCATCGTTCAGCAGGCAGATTTTGATCATGATTATAATGGCCATCAGATTGCTCTTTGGATTAACAAACACATACATGTTAATTATAGTCTTGAATATTTTGTTTAAAAACAAAAAAAAAATCCATGCCTTTTTTGAAAACTGTCTGCAAATTTGATGCTACAACCGTAGAGTTCCACATCTTTATTGTTCTTGCTGTAAAGAACCCTTTTCTCTGCTGTAAGCAAAAATGGCTTTCTTTCAGTCTCTGTAGATCTTGCCTGTTGTATTTTCTTGCTAAGAAACAGGTTGATAAATTATACTGCTGCTGAATGACTGGGAACCAGGAACTACGCAACAAGCTACTCCAATACTTTAAGAAATTTGTGGATGAAAATACACCTTTCTTCTGTTTAACATCACCTAAACGGCTCCATGGTGTAAAATTTGTACTCTCCAAATACTTGCAGATTAAGGATCGATCATAATTCCAGGACTGGGGCTGAATTTGCTGAAAATTCTTTCAATGTTCCAGATGTCCTTGAACTTTATGCTACATATATGTTCATAGAATTAATGGAACAATTAACCCTTCTCAGTGGAGCTAAACTCAAGTGGCAGCAATTGCCCAGAGCACCTGCCTTGCAAAGACTTCTCATTGAGCTGCATTGGGAAGTTTGTGATTGGACAGCCACAGAAAGATTGAGTGAGGTTAGAAGGGGAGGGCTTGCAAAGGCAGCATACAAGAGAACTGCAACTTTTGCAAGCTTTTTTTTAGTTATACCTCCAATGAAAAAATGCATAATTAAATGTATCCAGGTTTTCATTGGGAATATATCTACTAAATAGTGATATTTGTTTTTAACATTTGTATTAGGCAGTGGATTTTCCCTTTAATACTAAGAGTTGACATTCACCAAATCTAAACTGATATTTTTGTATAATTTTTCTGCCCACCTGGACCAAGCACATCATTCAAGATATCTAATGAGTGCAAAGCGTATGTTATCTTGAACAATGTTCTTAGAAAGCTGACACCTCCCAAGATAACTACTGACCGGATTCTTCCATAGTATTTACAAGAGACTAAGGCAATCTAACAGCTTTTAATTAAACCTGTAACTTGGAATTGTGGTGTGTAAATCATAAATATAATTAACTGTAAAATACTGTTAATTTTTAATTATTCATTATGCATATATTTGTTTCTCAAAATGCATGATTAAAGTTGGCCTTTCCCCTGATTTCTACTATACCTAGCTTTGCAAAACATAGAATAGCAGAATGCTAGCGTGTACATTCAGTGTACTTATATCAGTAAAAATTTCAGATATTCTACTTGCAAAAGAAAATTTTAAAAAGGGCACTTTCTTGCACCCATTAGAAAAGAGAAAAGTCCCAAATAAAAATTTGTGACTAAGACTATGATCCTTCCTTTTTTTATTGACCATAAAAGTGGAAGTTTCAGCTATCTTGAGCATTACATTAGGATTTAAGTTCTATATCTCAAGAACAGGAATGTGCAAAATGTCTATATGTATACATATGTATACTTGGAATGTAGTCTTGATAGCAATTTTTTAAAGTGTATAATTAAAAATTAAAAACAGATTGTTTTGCAATTGTTGAAATACAATTAGGAAGTTGAAATCATTGGACCACTTGAGATGGATTGACCAAAGTCTATGCAAGACTTTACTATCACTCCAATGGCTATTAAAGTGTAAGCTCATCTGCCACATCAAAACCTCTTAGATGAGTCATATCGAATAAAAACAAAAGAAAATGTACTTGTGCACTATCCCAAATCCCTGTGCACATTTAAAGCTAAAGGAACACTGTACCCAAACTTCACTTCATTGAGATGTGAGCTTACATTTTAATAGCTGTTTTAGTCATACTAAAAAAAAAAAAAAAATCTTCAAAACAAACTTTTTGTGTTTTTTGTTTTTTTAATTTGTATTTTTCTTTATTGTATGTGTGCTATAGTCATTGCTACCACCCAGGAGTAATGAGCGCTTAAGCGCAGGGTTTAATATTGTATATGTTTGTATTTTCTTTTCAAACATTTTTTTATTTAAATGTTTTTATTTTATTTCATTTTTTTATAGATTTTACAACAAAATATTCAGTATTCTCAAAATAAAGAAAAAAGCTAAAAATATGTCTACATAAACAAACATTTTAATTATACAATGACTAATACAATTACAACATTGCATCATTATCTTGTCAAATGTTTTGTTTTTTTTAAAGGTTTTAATTTTTAATAATAATAATAAAAGCACTCCACATGCACCAGCCATAAATAGTGTACAAACAGTTGCGTATACAAACAGAACAAGAGTAAAAGGAGAGGCACATTAACTACAGTCATAAAGAGTATTTTTGTTTGACATTATCCTCCCATACGTTCCAGTGGTAAGTAGATGATTCTGTTGTGTTTGATAGCATCTCATAGCACTTATTCTCTAAGGCCAGTGTTAATACTTCTTTAATAGCAGGAACTACGTCAGATCTCCAATAATGTGGTATTACCATAGTGGTCGCTATCAAAGTATGGCCTACCAGTATCTTATCCACTTTGGTAAAGTTTTCAGGAAATTACTTGAATAAACCTAGTTCTGGAGTCACTAAAATCTTTATAGTTACATAATGATGTGCAAAAATATGTGTATGAGGAAATACATTCCTATTATTAGCTATTTAACCAATATTAACAGCATGTTGTGTAACGTCCTCAAAGTATCTTTAACATATCTACACTTGATCTCATTAAACAATAATAGCAACGAAAGAAAGATCAAAAGATAATCATAGTGAAGTATTATTACTTTTATGCTAATACCTTCGCTGTATGTTTCCATTGGCCCAGAGAGTTTTCACTTGTGTGAGCAAGAGAGACGATTGTCTTATGGCTAGCTCGTATCTTATGTTCTCACAAGTAAATTCAATCATTTCAGTTTTCGATGGTATATGTTTGTATTTTCTTTTGTATTACACATCCATGTTACAGTGCTGCCACCCAGCCCATGTGTTCCCTATTAAGGACTAATACAGGGCTTGAGAAATCCCAGGCGCCAGGTCGCCAATGCAACTAGAAATTTTACCCAGGTGCCTGGGATTTGAAGCCCTTTAGCAAAAGACAGGATGGGGGAACAATGGAGCCGGCCGCCCTGGGGATCGTGGATGGCAGCATCGCTGTTATCGGCTGGGACTGCGAGGGAGCAGTGATCTTCAAACGGCTCCCTCTGCTCCCTTGCGCTGTTTAATGATGCCGGGAGCCGGAATATGATGTAGTTCCGGCCCGGTACCACTGCAGAGAGGAGCCGCTTGAAGATCACTGCTCCCTCACATGCAGGATGAGCGAGCAGCCCCACTGGACCCTAGGGAAAGTGCACTCAGCTCTCCCAAAGGTAGGGAGGCTGGGTGGATTCAAATTAAAATGGAAAATGAGTGTGTGTATCTCTCTGTGTCAGTATATGTGTGTGTGTGTCTCTGTCTGTGTCTCTCTCTCTCTCTCTGTCTGTGTGTGTCTCTCAGTCAGTGTGTGTATGTCTGTGTGTCTCTCTCTGTCAGTGTGTGTGTCGGTGTCAAAGAGTGTTGTCATCTTGTGTCTGTTTAGGTACCTGCACCCCTCCGATCACGCCATGCCTGTTTTCCGCAGCTTGTCCTACCTTCATGGGTGAGATAATCAATCTTTAAGATCTCCACTAAACCAAGCATTCGGAGGATATTGGGCATGTTTTCTATATGTATCATTCAGCACCTTCATGCAGAGTGTGGAGACGCTGAACAAAGGTGCTGTACACTGTGCAGCACTAACACAGGACTCTCTAGTGGCATCTGAGTGACTGTCACTAGAGGTGTTACTAGGAAGCAATGTAAACACTGCCTTTTCTCTGAAAACAACTACATCAAGCTGTAGTGGTTCTGGTGACTATAGTGTCCCTTTATGAATTGTATATTTCTCGTAAATTAAACTTTGCTAGTTTTAAAAAAAGTTGGCTCTTTACTTTTTTAGCTGGCTCCTAGATTCCCAAAAATGTGTCAACCCTGGGTTAATATAATACCAAAGTATTTAAACAGAAAAGGTACATTCAGATTACTCTGGTTTTCAAGTACATATGAAGGGGTTTAGAAAAATGCCCCTCTCTTGTCTCATTAGATATTTTTGCCCTGTTGCTTCAACGAAGGAAGGTGCATTGTTAGTGTAGGACTTATCAAAAAGGTTTTGCCTTGACATGGTGTAAGGTGAGCTTACACTTCAATGGCCATTGGAGTAATAGTAAAAAAAAAACACCAGTTATTTAAATGTGCATATGGATTTGAGAGAGTGCACATGTAAATTTTTTCCTAGTTAAAAACAAAACAAAAAAAAAACATTATTATTATTATTATTATAGCTTTACACAACACAGTTTGCGTGCCATGTCTATCTAGTGTTAACATTGCCGTTCCACATTAACAACAGGGTTTAAATGCCTCTAGTGGCCGTCATTCTCACCTTTATACTCCTGTTTCATTCTGATGTTCACACTTACGGCATAAAATGCACAGTGTGCATGGAATTCTAAAGAGGAATCTGGCAATAAAGGATTTTCCTTGCTGTAGCGTTTTCACATGACCACTAGCAGCATTCTGGAACCTGTCCAGTTTTTAATCAAATAAAAACAATAAATGTTTGATGTAAAACCTGCTGAATTTAGCCCCAGCTTCTTATTCCAACAGGAAATATGCTGCTGAAGGTAGTTAGAATTTTCCAGGTATAACTATGCAAAGTAGCATCCAGCATTGAAGCCAAGGCAAGAATTCAAGACATTTCTGAGATGGTTTAAATGCTTTTTAAATGAAGGCAACGAAATTTGCCATGCATGCCCGTCACATGATGACCTTCACATGCTCAGTGCTCCTCCCAGATATTTTTATGAGGGCACATGGATTTCGCTGAAATTTATTCAGTTATTTCCTTGTGTCAGAATACATGGAGAGTGCAAGCTAAACCAAGCATAATGCAAAAAGTTCTTGTGTACCTGCAGCAAATGCACGTTTTTGTGAGTGCGTCCAACATTAACTCAAGCTGTGCAGCTGCAATCAGAATGAATAAAGTTTAACCCAAATATTCACCGAGAATTTATCAACCTTGAGTCAGTCTAAAACCAGTTAGTTACCACTTATGTATATGAATGCATGGGGAAACTTTATATGGCAATTCAACTCAATGCAGAAATCACAATTATTTATCTAGGGCAATGTTTTTCTATTGGGACATACAGAATATTGCCAATAGGGCAGTATTCTATTCACTACAAAAGAGGTTTGGAGAAACCCTTTAATATAGTAACTTTACACCAGTTTACACACAGTTTATACTGGATACACATGCAGACCCAGATATAAGAGCATCCTTAAAAGGGACACTATAGACACCCGGGCCACTTCAGCTTATTGAAGTGGTCTGGGTGCACTGTCCCAGCACCCTTAATCCTGCAAAGCTAATTATTGAAGATTTTTAATACCTTCTGCACCACAGGGGGAGGTGGGCACTCTAGGGAATTATAGTGCCATGAAAACAACTTTGTTTTCATGGCACTTTTCTCTTTAAAGGACCACTATAGTGCCAGGAAAACATACTCGTTTTCCTGGCACTATAGTGCCCTGAGGGTGCCCCCACCCTCAGGGACCCCCTCCCGCCGGGCTCTGGGGAGAGGAAGGGGTTAAACTTACCTCTTTCTCCAGCGCCAGGCAGGGAGCTCTCCTCTCCGCTTCCGCTCCTCCTCTTCGGCTGCATGTGCGGCAAGAGCTGCGCGCGCATTCAGCCAGTCCATAGGAAAGCATTCACAATGCCTTCCTATGGATGCTGGCGTCTTCTCACTGTGATTTTCACAGTGAGAAACGCGGAAGCCCTCTAGCGGCTGTCAATGAGACAGCCCTAGAGGCTGGATTAACCCATTTATAAACATGTTTATAAAAAAAAAAGGGGGTTAACCCTAGCTGGACCTGGCACCCAGACCACTTCATTAAGCTGAAGTGGTCTGGGTTCCTATAGTGGTCGTTTAACAAAGGTTACCTTCTGTTCTCTGATGGAGAGCAGGTAAAGTTGTTGAAATAGGTGTTTCATATCCTTCCTCACTCTGAAATAGGCAAGTTTGTATGGTTAAAGGGACACTCCACTGCCCAAGTGCAATTTTTTTTTTTCTTTTAATTCACTGTTTATTATATATACCCAAATGAAAACTTGGATGCATTATGCGTTTTTTAATGGTTACATTTAAAAACCTGCATCTCTCTTGTCTGCTGACTTTGCAAACTCTCCCTTTCTTCCCCAACCAAGACTTTGTGTCCAATCACAAATTTCCCAATGCAGCTCAATGAGAAGTCTTTACAAGGTAGATGCTTTGGGCAATTGATGCATCTTCAGTTTAGCTTCACTGAGCTAAACAAACCAGGACGTGTTGCCTGCTTGAATTGCAGGGGGTGTAACCATATCTGTTACATATAGGAATAATTAAACATATGAAAACTCTTGAAGTAACGGCACATGTCCACTCCCAAATGTGGCAAAAATAATAATTTTTTCACAGGATTATTTACTGACGTATAATTTTTCTGAAATGCTTAGTTAATTTTTAATTTTAATCTAAACAAACCAAATTGGAAAATTCTCAAATTTAGCAATGTGATCAGTTCGGCTCCTTTAACCTAACATTTCAAATTCGCATTAAAATCCCAGCAGTTCATACTTTAGAGAATAAGCTTGTTGGTTTTGCCGGAGTGTGCATGCATATTATTAATTAAAACTCATTAACTTTACATGTGAAAGAAAAGTGAAATACTGAAACAGTTACCATGGTAACCAGTGAAATGCTCCATACTTAAAGTTTTGTGTTGCACTTTTCCCCAGAATTGCCCTTTATAAAATAGTGTATTTTTCAGTTTTCTGACTATTGCCTTCCATGGTCTATTGCAGAGGTAGGCAACCTTTTAGCAGCACTGTGCCGAAATAAGATTGTGATATCCTGTAGCATGCCGGTCCTATTTTTTTTTTTTTTTTTTTAAATGAGGTGTGTTTGTTGCAGTATTCTGCTTGTGTTATTTATACTGCATGTGCTTTGTATCGTACTATTTGTGCGTATATGAACTATTACATTGTGTGTGTTTACAAGTAGTTTGTGGTGTTGTGTATGATACCTATGAATGTGGGCTGTGTATGGGGGCTGTGTGTGGATGGATATGTCACATTGTGTGTTTTGTAGTGTGTTTATGTGAGGGGCTGTTTGGGGTATTGCATGTGGGGTTGTGTGCATGTATGTGGATTGTCAGGGGTGTTGAGTTTGTGGGGATTGTGTGTATGTTTGTGTGTGGGCTGTTAGTATTTGTATGAGGGGAGGCTTATTCTGCATTTCTGTGTATATGTAGCAGTGTCGGTGGCTTCCCTGGGTTCCAGTTGGGGCCAGGTACAGGTCAAGGACAGGAGCTGAGCTGCAACAGCAACTGCAGGCTGCTCTTCTACTGTGTTGATTCCCAAGTGCTGGGTGGAAGTGATCTGAGATCAGTTCCTCTACGTGCTGCAAATTGAGTATTGTCCTTCACCACTTTTTCGTATTAGCAGGTATCGGAGGTTTCTCTGGGATTCTTGATAGGCCAGAACCTGTTTGGTTCTAGCAGCCTTGAGTGCCCTGCAAAGATACCTCGAGGGCTGTGCATGGCACACGTGCCATAGGTTTCCTAAACCTGGTCTATTGAGTACAAAAATAGAAATAAAGCAGGGGTCTGTCATACAAAGTGATCTCCCATCCATATTATTCATTTTTAATAAGAAGCAATTTTTGTTAGAATACCAGAAACTCTTCTAAAACTTGGGTGCAGTATGTAATCAATGTTGATTTAATGTCAACACAGCCCTTTTCTGTCCTAATATAAACCAGTGTAAGTCTACTTTTGTTGCTTTTCAATGTTCTGGGAAAAGAATAATCAGAGTGCGTGCAATATTTTCACTGCAAGTTCATCCTGCTGAAACCAGTTTGAGCCTTTTTTTTTTTTTTTTTTACATCTATTCATTCCTCTTAAAAGACACATGGTACACATTTAATTCAGCTGCCAGCTCTGGAGAAAGCAGCACATTACTTTTCCACTACCCCCATCCCAACTCTTTTTTTTCTCTTCTTTATTCTTTATTTGAATCCTTTGAAATATGTTCTCCCATGCTTACTAGGCTTAAGTGAAAGGAGGTATATATTTCATAAATATATCCAAAGCAAATCAAGACAGCTTATAAGTAGAGGTTCGGACTTCCAAGTCTGCTGGATACTTGTTTGCTATCTAGGTCAAACTCAACCACATTCTTGGTGTTTCATACCATTATGAACTGGACTAAATATTTAAAGGAACACTCCAAGAAAAGAATAGTGCTTTTGGCACCAGGAGTGCCCTGCCACCCCACACCTCCTTTGAAGACATGGAAGCACCTAAGTAGGAGCTTCCATTAGCTTTCCTGAGCTAAGCCCTGCATTCCAGGGTAACTTATTGGCTAGAATTTACTGCCTTCAGTGGGAAATAGTGGAGGTGGGGAGTGGAACTTGGCAGACCCCAGGTAAAAAAAAATCAATCTGTTCTAAAACTATTTGACCCCTTACAGAGAGGAGCACTTAAGCACCATAGCCACTATAATGAGTAGTGCTTGTAGTGTTTGAAGTGTTTTTTTTAACCGTAAACAGATGTAAATTTTATGTACACCCTGTGTTAATTTATGCAGTCTATTTCTTAGAATCAATGTTAATTCTATGCGTTAAATTGGCACTTTGATTTCTCCGTTTTACATTCAAACATATTTTGGAAAAGCAGACTATATACACTGAACAAAATTATAAACGCAACACTTTTGCCCTAATTTTTCATGAGCTGAACTCAAAGATCTAAGACTTTTTTTCTATGTACACAAAAGGCCTATTTCTCTCAAATATTGTTCACAAATCTGTCTAAATCTGTGTTAGTGAGCAGTCTAAATCTGTGTTAGTGAGCACTTCTCCTTTGCCGAGATAATCCATCCACCTCACAGGTGTGGCATATCATTAGACAGCATGAGTATTACACAGATGTGCCTTAGGCTGGCCACAATAAAAGGCCACTCTAAAATGTGCAGTTTTACTGTATAAGGAGGCTCGGGAGGGGGGGGGGAGGGGGATTCCGAAAACCAGTCCCTATATCTAGTGTTATCACAATTTGCCTCATGCAGTGCAACACATCTCCTTCGCATAGAGTTAATCAGGTTGTTGATTGTGGCCTGTGGAATGTTGGTCCACTCCTCTTCAATGGCTGTGAGAAGTTGCTGGATATTGGCAGGACCTGGAACACGCTGTGGTATACGCTGATCCAGAGCATCCCAAACATGCTCAATGGGTGACATGTCCAGTGAGTATGCTGGCCATGCAAAAACTGGGATGTTTTTAGCTTCCAGGAATTGTGTACAGATCCTTGCAACATGGGGCCGTGTATTATCATGCTGCAACATGAGGTGATGGTTGTGTTTTAATGGCAAAACAATGGGCCTCAGGATCTTGTCACGGTATCTCTGTGCATTCAAAATACCATCAATAAAACACACCTGTGTTCGTTGTCCATAACATACGCCTACCCATACCATAACCCCACCACCACCATGGGCCACTCGATCCACAATGTTGACATCAGCAAAACGCTCACCCACATGCCATACACGCTGTCTGCCATCTGCCCTGTACATTGAAAACCGGGATTCATCAGTGAAGAGAGCACCTCTCCAAAGTGCCAGACGCCATCGAATGTGAGCATTTGCCAACTCAAGTCGGTTATGACGATGAACTGCAGTCAGATCGAGACCCCGGTGAGGACGACGAGCATGCAGATGAGCTTCCCTGAGATGGTTTCTGAGGGTTTGTGCAGAAATTCTTAGTTCTTTGAGTTCAGCTCATGAAAAATGGGGGCAAAAACAAAAGTGTTGCGTTTATAATTTTGTTCAGTGTATATTGCAGTGAAAAGGGAAAAAACTTTCACTTGTCTTGCCATTTACCATCAGCTATCAATCTGATGGGAGAAGTCATCTCATTTGAGATTGTAATCATGTTTCCTAAATAAAATCTAAATTGTAGATTTTGTATTTCAGTATGCTCCTTAAAGCAGGCTTCTGCATTTACCACAACCACTTTGCTAACAGAATAGAGTACACACATTTTTACTTTTATGTACATTGCAATTTCGTCTATACTCTAGGAATTATTAGCAACCTGTAGAGGAATGCATTTCTCTACCAGAAACCACTGGTATAATGCCTGCAGGTTTGCTGAAAGTATCTTCTTTATGCAGAAAAGTGAATTTCATATATAGTATTGTCTAAAGCTTTTCATTTTCCAAATATTTTTATATAGACTGAAAGAATTAATGGATCTAAAAATTGTGAACGACTTTACTGGAAAGGCTGCACTGGGGCATATATTTTCCAGTGCTTTCAAAGATTAGTGGGAGTCACAGTCCCATGAAGCAGCTATTTCATCTGTCACCATTTGTCAACAGTGCATTATACCCAGGGACGTATTAGCCGCGAGGCAAACAAGGCATTTGCCTTGGGCGGCATTTTTCAGGGGGCGGCAAAAAACGCCGCCCCCCAAATGCCCAGGGCAGATGCCTTGTTAGCCTCGCGGCTAACTGACATCCCGGGCGGCCGGCGAGAGAGCACTTCCCATGAGCTGACTGCTCAGCTCCCTCGCGCACCGCAAAGTGAGGCTGGGAGCCGGAAGATGACGTCATCTTCCGGTTCCCAGCCTCACTCTGCAGCCGACGCGCGAGGGAGCTGAGCAGTCAGCTCATGGGAAGTGCTCCCTCGCCGACCGCCCGCCTGCCAGCGCCGCACGCCCTGCAGCCACTGGACCACCAGGGAGAGAGACCTCTCACCCCAGCACTCCCAAAGGTAAGGAGGTTGGGGGGGGATTTAAATTAAAAAAAAAGTTAATGTGTGTGTGTTTGTGTCTGACTGTGTGTGTTTGTGTCTGACTATGTGTGTGTGTGTGTGTGTTTGTGTCTCGACTGTGTCTGTGTATGTGTCTGACTGTGTGTGTGTGTGTTTGTGTATGTGTCTGACTGTGTGTGTGTGTTTGTGTGTGTTTGTGCGGGGGGGGGAGGGGGGCGCCTGAGTTTTGTCCTGCCTAGGGCAGCACAAAACCAGGATACACCACTGATTATACCCAATGTATTTAAGGAAATAATGGAATGGAGGATGTCACCATCTGAGTTTTTATTTATATATATATATATATATATATATATATATATATATATATATATATGAGAAAATATGCACACAATTGAATTTATAGTAACGTTAAATACTCCCTTGCTTTTGACTGTTTCTGTAGAGCACTGTAAAGCCTCTGTGTCAGCTGAGTCATATGTTTAAATAGTTAACTATCTTGAACAGCTCGGAATTTGCTGACAAGGTGAGATCTGTTTGTCTAAGGATTTAGCACAGAACTGTGAGGCAAAACACTGAAAAGCTAAAGACTGTGGAGGAGGGTGAGAAGAGAAGTGGCTGGAGTTCAACAACACAGCTTGGCTCGGCATTGTTTTTCCCTCTTTTCATTATTTTTATTTTTTCTCTGAAAAAGGTTTATTCTGCACGGTAAAAGTAGATAGGGATGTAAAAGTTTGACCTCTTTATGGACTTGCTAGCTAGCATCTTCACTTCAACTGTGTAAAAGGGAAACATAAAAACATGAAACGTGTCCAATTACTGACTGTCAGCCAGCAGTACGACTATAGAGAGGGCTTCAGCCCAAATGAGCAAGAAAGGTTAAAAAAAAAAAACAACTAACCATAATTTGTTTCAAATTTTTAAAAAATAGTTTGAAAAGCTTATCTAAAATATTAAATACTTTGAAAAGCTTACCCAACATTAAATCTAGGCCATAGTGTAATATTTTGTGCCGAAGGTTGCCTATAACTGCACTAAAGTATATATAAAGTAAATCAAATGATCTCATACATTATAGCTGTTAAAATTGAAACAAAACAACAAACATACCAGGTAGCAATTCCTTGTTAAAGGAAAACTGTAGGCACCCAGACCACTACAGCTAATTGAAGTTGTCTGGATGCTGTGACCCTTTTGTACTTAGTGATGCAATGTAAAACATTGCAGCTCTAAGTCTGCCCTTTGTGGCTGTCTAAGCTTCCAGATTCGTAACTGACTTTTGGTCCGTTAAGTAATGCTTTCCAATAGGGAAGTTTAATGTGGGCACGGCCATTGCCGCGCATGCGCATTAGGTCTCCCCCGACTGGGGATGGGGGACACTCCAGGATTCTTTAGTGCCAGGGAAACAGGTTTGTTTTCCTGGCACTGGAGAATCCCTTTAAGTGGCTGATAATCTCATTGAGGACGTGTGCAGCAAACATCACTGTCAACCAATCCATGCTTCTCACAGTTAATCATTAAACCCAGTGCTTCTCACAGATAATCACTGATAATGTTTGGCAGCATCATGTTGTATGCAATGTGAAAGCATTCAAATATCAAAGGATCTGAAGAAGGAATTGTCTGTAGTAGCTATCTGGTTGACAGCCACTATAGGCATATTTTTGATCAAATATCTGCATTATTGTTTCTCATAAATAGCAATGGTTTCAGTTGTCTGAAAAAAGACAGCATCTATAATAATAATAATAATATAATAATTTGGTAAAACAGGCTAGTAGATATACCTGTTATGAAAACAGGCCTGTATTTATTTGTCATTGTGAGGTATATTTAGAAACGGCTTGTAGTATCTCTTATCTACAGCCTTGGCAAGCTCTCCATTTTTCCCAACACAGAGAGGAATTGGAATGCTCAAATCAGAGGCCTCTCATTGAGAAGTCTCTTTGCTGGAGCCGCACACACTCTGCTTTCCAATACTTATCAGTGAGCTGGAGCTAACGGAAGAGGAAGAAAATCTGGCTGGCTGATTAACAATCAGGGAGTTTTCAGCCCCAAAGCATGAAACTGAAATTACGTTAGTGATTTGACTGCCCTTTTGAGTCCCTGCAACCAATAGAGGTTAATCTGTCTTAAAAAAATTTTTATAAAAAAAAAGTTAACCGAAAGTGCAAAAACCGCTATCACTGTGTTTTTGCATTATCAAAAATGTGATGTATATATAAAAAAAATATATAAAATGCAACAATTACATATACTGTGTCCTATGCATCTGCTGGATTTCAAAACTAAACAAAATAAAAATTTCACTGAGCACTATACTTTGTGAATGTCTGTTTTCCTAGCACCCATTTTAACCAGCATTTTGAGTTTTATATTACAAATAAAAAGGTGCATTCTTGCTATAAAGATGTTTGTCACGGTTGCTAGTGTGGTCCCATATACATACAAAAGAAAAGGAAAATAAAAGGACAGAGCGTAAACCGGACCTTAGAATGGCCCGACTAATACGCTAGAGATAGAGAATGGTCAAAGGGAAAGCCAAGGTCAAGGAAGCCAGAAATACTCAGATACCGTTTAAACAAGCCAAGTCAGGGCAACCAGAATTCGGAATAACCAGGGAAAAGCCAAGATCAGGAAATAAGATTCACAAAGATAAACGCACTCTCGGAACCAGGAACAGGAAACCACAACGGCAAAGAACTGGAGTGAATTAGGGATTTAAATATCCCTCTGACCCCAGAACGTGCGTTGACGTTGTGACGTCACGCGCACATCCGTATTAATTTTAGAGCCGAAACTTGTGATGCGTGCGACCACGTGGTCAGCGCCATCTTTGATTTGGGCGCGACGCCCAGAAGACGCGGAGGAGCTGTTCCCGGCAAGCGGTTAAGCTCGCAATATCGGCGAGGTCATGCCAGTTTGTCACGGCTGCGCCATGCGGCGGGCCGGGGAGCCGCAACAATGTTAAAGTTCTGAAAAATTCAGAACTCGTGGAAAAAAATTACATTTTATATTCTTTCTAGGAAAAAAATTTAATATTTGTAATACCTGGGGGGAAAAAATAAAAAGCATGTATAAAAAATAAAAAAAATACAGTGTGTTTGTCTGCATAACAATATTTTGCTTGAAATTAAATAAAATAACCTTTTCAGTAGATGATAGACTAAATTTGCTTTTTAAAACTTTTTTGGTTACAAGTAGAGTTGCAGGGTCTGGATATATGTTAATAAACGACTGATAATGGAATTATTCCATCATGGATGACCTCCTAAGGGATGTTATAGGTACCCAGACCACTTTATATCATTGAAGTAGTCTGGGTGCAGTACCCCTGTCTGTTTAACCCTGCAATGTAATGTTTACATTGAAGGGGTAAGTCAACCTTGAATGTCCACCTGAATGGAGTATTGCTAATTCCTACTAGAGTTTTACTCTGTTAAAACGACATTGGAAGTCCTCATGCTACAGGGAAGCATTGAGTCAGAACAGAGCCATGATGTCATGGGAGGAGGAGACCTAGGCAGCAGTGAGGGAGCCTCTGCACTGGAATTAAGGGAATTTAAAAAGTGTTTTTAGCCCTTTAGTCGGTGAAAGGGGTGGGTGGGGAGGGGCTAATACATTAGCGTTAGTAGTAGTAGCTTAGAGAGGTTGTGGTGTATAGACCATGTCCATGCAGTCTAACTATTCAATTCTCTGCCATTTAGGAGTTAAATCACTTTGTTTGTGTAGCCCTATCCACAACTCGCCTTCCTCTATGTGACCTACACAGTCTACACATAAACATTTAATGTAAAGAGAGATGTTTAAAGTTAAACCTCCTTTATTTCACAGTCTGTTTAAATTATAATTTAGTATTTCATGTTCTGTTATCAGTCTGATAGATACTGCTGGAGCCTTCTTTATGTGAATTTAAATTACTGTGGGAGGCCTGCTAGGCAGCACTGCGGAGTTTGAAAAGACCACAATCCGGTCTAGCTGCAATGTCCCTGCAGCACAATCACAGACTGCACAGAGTGATCTGCTCTGGGCTGTGCAGGTGGCCCTCTGCTGATCACTGATTGATTGCAGAGGCACTTTAAATCATTATGACAACTTGTCACATCCTGACATAGCAGAATAGAAGGAAATAATTCCACTCCTGCTGCTAGTGTACAGTGCAGAGTGATCTGAAATATAAGGGATTCCCTCTGCTGAAATAGCTGGAGATAGCTCGCTGTAGACTTAAATTCTGTACTCTCGTGCATGCGAGTACAGCAGTGACATCGACTTCTGGCGCTGAAGCGTACCTTCTGGAGCAGGCTTCCCCAAACTCCTGCCCTCCAGATGTTGCTGAACTACAACTCCCATGATTCTACGAATGAAATAGATAGGCTGAGAATTATGGGAGTTGTAGTTCAGCAACATCTGGAGGGCCGGAGTTTGGGGAAGCCTGTTCTGGAGGAAGATGGCTCTGGAAAAGCAAAGGTTCAGGTAACCAGATCTCATCTTTGCCTGCCTCCCCTAGCCACCAGACCAGCAGCATTGTTACCATCGGGGTCTTTGCAAATTATGCAAAATCCACAGACCGTAACAATGCCACTTTAATTCCCTTCTCCTGCTTACTGTCTGTAGAGATTTGAAGAGAGATCAGATCAGCAATTCTTTGATACATTAAAACATATAATTTATTTGGTTACTATGTAATCCTCTCCCTCTGGGCTGGTTGCCAATTCCTAATTACCTAACAGTCATTGTGGGTGTATGAGAATCCTCTGACACGGAGTTTAATGCTCTCTCTGGGATGTTTTCCAATTTACATTGCTCTGGCAGTGGGTAAAAAAAGAATTCCTTACTAGATGCTCTCAAAGAATTAAACATAATTCCATACCACCTAATATATACGCCAAGGCTCTCCATTATTTACACCCCCCTTATTATGTGTGCCTTTTCACTTTTTACTTATAGTTGACTACACGTAGTATTGATTGTCACATACTGCTCCAGTAGGGTCTATTACTTGGTTCTGAAAATGAAGGTTTAAAAAAAATACATAACTGTTTCTGCACTAAAAATAATGATGAAATAATCTCTCTCAATACCATTCACACGTAACTCTAGAATTAAATGCTTACACCGCCAAAACAATTTCTAAATAGGGGCGCTTTAGGTTAACCCACCAAACGAGATTTACAGCCCAGAGACGCAAGTTAGCAAAATATCTATGTAATCAAAAATACTATTAAACCGGTATCTTCAGATAACGTGATTCTTTACCAGACAAAGAAAGAACTTAATTATGTAATATTTATTAGGAACAAACATAATCACAATGCATTCTTAAAAAATGCAAAGTGTTTACACATATGGTTGAAAATAAAATGGAGAAATGAATCCTAGTTACTTACTTTACTAGTACAGTGACTGCTGCAGGGGGCTCTGGGAAGGAATTTGGCAGCTTACTCAAAACTGGGTGTTTGCTCTTAACATTCCATGGACTTCACACACTTTGCTGTTTCTAGGTTGATTACGCCTCCCATCTAACATTTTGGCCAATTTAAACACCAATTTATATAAAAGATTTTAGAACAATTTTCATGTACGTACACCGTGCATAATAATTTTTACATCTGTTAATTTATCTGTTCCAAAGACATCTTTCAAGACCCATGTGCAACTTATAACAACTGATTTCCCCAATCTCTCAAATGACTTGAACCACACTAGTCATGTTTGGGCTTCTTTGTAGGGAATACCCACAAGGTCCTGAATATGTATGACAGGAGGTGGGAATAGTATCCCTCTGTATTATTATTATTATTATTATTGTTTTTTTGTTATATTATTGTTTTCTGACAAATTGTCGATCAGCACCAACAAGTGTAACCATCAAGTCTTGGGAAAAGTACACATGAATGTCCTTTGGGTGCACATGAATATTGTACTTCAATGAGATGAAGTGGTCTGGGTACCTATAGTGTTCCTTTAACCAGAACTTGACAAATTTGTTTGGAATCTAGGAGTCAACAAAAAAGTTAGACAGATTTTTCAATGTCAAAAATACAATTCTTAAAGGAACACTGTAGTCACCAGAACCACTGCAGCTTAATGTAGTTGTTTTCGTGTCTATAACCTGTCCCTGCACACTTTTCAATGTAAACCCTGCCTTTTCAGAGAAAATCCAGTATTTACACGTCTAGTGACAGTCACTCAGACGGCCCCTAGAGTGCATCCTGGGGCAGTGCTGCACAGTACGCAGCACCTACGTTTAGCGTCTCCACGCTGCTCATGGAGGCGCTGAATGTTCTCCATGGAGATGCATTGATTCAATGCATCTTTATGAGGAGATGCTGATTGGTGCTGCGTGGCACTTTGCCACACATGCGCAATAGCCTCCCAATGCTTTTCTATGGGAAAGCATTTGATTGGCTGAGATATTCAAGATTGATGATGCAGTAATGGAGGCAGGGCCAGCTGCGGCGAGACCAGAACAGCGTGGGGCGAATGAAGGTGAGTAAAAAACCCTTGCCCATGTGATGGGAGGGGGACCGGTCACCTAAACACACACACACACTGACATGCACACTCACTGACACACACAGTCACCCACTGACACATATGTCGCACGCCCATGCTCTTTATCGGCTTGTCCACTAGCCTCCACTAATAGGCAGCCACCACCTCAGGGGCTGAATGGGCCAACCAATCCCAGGCACCAGGACAAAAATCCTAGGCCTTTAACAATAATTCAGATAATTAATCCCTATTTAGTACTGTGTTTTGAGTCTTTCTTTTCAAAAACTTTTTGGGGATTTTATTTTTGTAAAATATTATTAAAAGGTTTTAATATATATTTTTAAGACTATTATTGGTTAGCGAAAACATATGCCCTGGAGGACAGATCCGTAGTTCCCTTTTTTATCTGTCTGTCGTGGTTAAAATGTTTTCTTTATACCTATAAAATTGAGACCTTTATGTGATAATTTGAACAAACTGCTGCAATGCCCCAAAATGAGACACAGGCACATGAAATCCATCTTTCCAAATTCTATGCATAACAACTGAAATAATGAAGTCTCTTATATGGTACTTTAATTTCTTAAGATCGTGATCCGGTTAGCACCCAGGGATACCTTGGAACGAAGGGTCTGAGTGCAGTTCCACATTTTTTCTATGGATAGTGACAAAGGTATATATTTGTGGTATTATTTTAAATAACAAAAATTATGTGTGTGGTTAAAAATAAATTTTTTTTAAAAAAAGCAAAAAGAAAAATTACCACAAACGTTGGCATAAACTGGATAAAAAAAATAGCTGCACAATAAGGCACAATATACGCCACTTGAAATACTGGAGTATCAGCGTTCACAAATGACTGGCATTTGTGGGATAATTGTGTTCAGAATATGTATCGGAAAAGACAAACATAACTAATTCTAAAAATCATTCTACATTGAAATTGTATTTTACTCCTAGTGTTTTGTCACCTGTAACTACCAAACATAAATTGAAATCCTACACAATGATACACTGTGTAAATCAGGGCTGTCCAAAACACGTCCTACTGTGGGATTGGGATTTTCTGATGGCTGACAGTGGTTTTTAAAAATCAAGAGGGGAGGGGGGAGAAAGCTGAATGGGCCCATTTTCTTTTGTCTGCTGACTATAGTGTCCCTTAAAAAAAACAAAAAAAAAACTGGCTCCTAACTTTTTTTAGCTGGCTCCTAGATTCCAAACAAATGTGTCAAGCCCTGTTTTACATTGCAGGGTTAAAGGACATGGTCACTGCACCCAGTCCTCTTCATTGAGATTAAGAGGTGTGATGACTAAAGTGTCCCTTTATTGAACTATGGTTTTATTTTCAGATTTTAAACTTCTATCTTTCAGTTAAGGCCTAACTGATAGCACAGAAAACCTTGTAAACCATGTCACCACATATATAAATATATCTTGATAAAGTGCAGCAGTGTATACTGTGAAAAATATACACATTTATTTATAAATATACAATAAAGTGATGCCAAGTGGACTCAATTGCCACTTCCAATTCAAAATGCTTGTGTGAACATATATCAAAAAAGGTGTCTGTGGTGCAAAAAAATAATGCAAAGTGTTATCTTCGATTTCCTTGCATGAGATTGATCCTGATGAGATTGTCATGTCTGTCCAATCACAGACTTCCCAGTTCAGCTCAGTGCTCTGGGCAAGTACTTGCTTTTTGAGTTTAGGTCCACACAGCTAAACAGGACCCGCACACATACTTATCAATAGCTGCCATCACTAAGGCAATTTATAAATGGGTACCTTGGTTACATACCAAAATCTGATTAAAAAAAAAACAAAATACATGCGTTACGAAAAAATACTATTAAATAGGTCTCCATGTTTTTGAATCCAGATACTAGAGCCCAAAGACAGAATTAGGTTATTAAAGGGATTCTATAGTGTTAGGAATACAAATCTGTATTCTTAACACTATAATGCCCTATGGTCCCTGTGAGAAACTCCCCTTTCCAAGTGAGTTTGCCACGAGTTCCTGGAGGAGCCTGCTTGCCAGCCTTCTGCTCACAGGCTATGGAACCTGTAAAATGTGATGTAAGAGTCTCCGTTCATGTATGTGGACTATATGGTTCGAGAACCGAACAGCCACACGAACCGGAGACCACCCTGGAGCTTGTTAAGCCGAATTGATACTTTGTAGCAATTTCCACCGCAGTATTCGTCTGGGTGGCCGCAATTCCAATGGACGACCACGAGGTGACGGCCATCTTGTTCGCATGAAACCAGGCAGCAGTGTTTGGTCGTCGAGTTCATGGAACTATTTTTGGACACTGAAACTCCCAAACACCGCTGGACTTCCATGATCGCCTGCAACAGAGGAGGGATTATCTGATTTATGTGTGGGAGTGTCCTGGATCTGAGAGCCAATGTAATTGTGAATTTGTTTCTACCGTGGTTTACTCTCAGGTCCAGGGGGTGTGCCCCTTGCATGGGGACATGCAAATAAGGCCAGTTGTGGCTGCCATTAAAGTATTCCAGCTTTTATTCCCTATGTGTCATCTGGTTACTGGGAGGGGAAAGGACTACTTTTTAATCACTTTGAACCTGATTCAAGTGCCGATTTCTTTCGATGTTTAGTCAGTGCTCCCCTTCCTCATTCATTAGATTGGGTGGCCTTATGCGTATGTGCGGCGAGTGCCATGAGCGCATTAGGCCTTCCCCAAATGAAAGCATTGCCTCAGTGCTTTCCTATGGGGTTTTCACTAATGCTGCATGTCTTCATGCCCAATGTTAGGACATCCAGCATCGATTAACGGAGTTCAAGTCTATTAGAATCCAGGAAGTGTCTCTAGTGGCTGTCTGGCAGCTTCTCAAAAACTGCAATGTTTTACATTGCAGGACTAAGAGAGACAGGGACACTGTACCCAGACCACTTCAATGAGATTCAAAAATAAACTTAGGCTAAGAAGAGTTCTTAAAATAAAATGGTAACATAAAAACGAAAAACACAGAATCAGCACTATTGCAAATATCACTGATAATCTCACACTAGGCCTGTGGGAGCTTATAGTTTGTAGGTCCTGTCTGATATCATTCAAGTAAAAGAGAAGTTCATATTTTCCTGGGTTGGCATTCTGTTACATATCGGAGTCTTTCTCTCCAGCAAAGCAAGCTGCCTCTGACCACATGACAAATTTCTGACAACTGGTTTATTCTGGTTCCTCATGTGGATTCAACTCTTTGATCCAAAGCACTTTTATTTTTTTATCGTTTAGGGTCCCAAAGTTTTTTGTATTTTTGTGTTTTTTTCTTTATGGAGTTCCGGCTGCATGCACAGCAGGAGAGATCTCTGTGGAGGTGTCTGTTCATACAAACATCAATGCTCTGTCATCGAAAGGGTTTCAATTTCTGTCAGAGACATAGACCAAAGAATAACCAGGTTAACCCCTGCAATGCTGCGACACTATCATACCCAGTGTACATGGCAGCATGCGTGTATGATGGTTGTCCGCATTGTGCAAAATGGATTGTCATGTGATCATGATCAGAGGCTTGGCATTTGCTATAAATGATCGACTTTGTGGTTATTATTTATTATTTATGCCTTTGTTTCTGTAATGGCATGAAAGTTGTGCAAATGTTTTCATTTGTATTCTGCACTTGCACTAGTTTTTTTCTCTTTTGTTCGCACAACAAGACATTTAAATGCACAATAGTTTATAGCAGTGTGTCATGTACTACATAATTCAAATTTAAAAGTTCCCTTTAGAATATTTTGAAGGACCTAATAAAAATGTTTTTGTTTGTTTAGGGACATTTCTTCCCGAGTTGGTTGATCAGTTTTCCCCTCCAGAGGTGGCTCCACCCATTCTTGCAAGATTTCTGGAGGCTATTGAAAAAAGAGGTAAGCTGAATCTTGTTTAGCATTTTGGTAGCCTTCCAAATCTTTTGAAAAGTTTTAAGCCAAGTACTCATAATTAGATTAAATCCTATACCATTCCATACTGGTTTATGCAAATCCAGAATAAACTGCCGTGGATCATCTGCACATTTTAAGTTGGATCTTGGGCACAGTTATTCCAAGAAATCATGTTTCCACAATTCTCCCAGAATTCCCACTCAAGTGCAGGCGTGCATTGTGTTTAAGACTTCATCTTGTCTGTCTAGTAGAGTTCAACGTTTTAAACCAAAGCATTAGCTGTGATCAAAAATGACCAGTCACCAAAAGCCAACCATGGATTGTACAGTGTCAATCTTTTGGGCCTTGTCACCATGGTGGCAGTTCTGATATAGGAGATCAAATATTTCTGCATGCATGTAGCTAAGTTCAAGATATGTTCTGGTGAAACCAAACTTTAAAAACTCTCACTCACTGGTTTGTGCAAAACAACCTAAACTTTAGTTTAAAAAGCTATCTGTAAACCAGGGTTTCATTACTTAGGGTCACTGCAGAAATGCAGAATGTGACCCTGGGAATGTGTTTTTGGCCTACTATAACTTATTTAGTACTTAGATGTTGAGAGTCTTTATCTCAGAGACCAGATCCAGCAGTGTTCTAATATGCTGAGACACAAATTTAGGTCACAAACGGTCTCTGATGATTGGTTCTTTTAGATCGCAATACATGCTTTGGTTTCAATAGCCGTGTTTTAAATCAGCATGGTCACCTCATCCTTCTCCAAAAGGAATGAGGGGAAAGAGGCTCTGTTTATGGAGGATTCCGCAATTTCGCAGGACCTTCCATAGACCTTAGTGTTGTTCTCTCATGGGCTCCTGACAAAGCAGCAGGAGCTTAAGAGGATCGTCAGGGAAAAAAAATGACGGGGGCAACAAGACAAGGGATAGGTTCATTTAAGTACTATTCACATTTCCCTACACCCTGCGACAACAGAACCACCAGTAAGTCACCAAGCTTGACAAAGGCCCTGTTGTGGATCGAAGCGTTACTTTTCATCTACTCCAATAAACCTTCTCACTGGATTTACCTTGAGTGCCTGGATCATCATTTTATTTTCTGCAATCTACTTGTCCTGATACAAAATCATTTTATTTACAAAGATGGATATCCCTTCCATGAGCTCTGGACATTGACCAAGCTAATTGCTTCGCTCTGAATTTTCACAAAATCAATCTGAATGGAAAACCTGCGGCAAAAATTGCTGATCTGGAAAAATTCTCTAACTCCGCTATAGTCGCATCATTGCTATTTTTGCCTCACTTTAAATTTATTTTACAAAAAAATCAGAGTTTTGTTTCTTCAGAGCGGAGTGTCTCATGCATTGGAATGCCTGGAGCTGCTTGCCCTGGTGATGGGCGATATGAATTACACACCCCAGTACCTGTGTTAATGTGCATGTTGAGCTAGGAATTCTGAATGAATTATAACATTACAACATGTTAACTATCTAAGACCGCCGTATTCCAAGGTCCTACTTAAGAAATGTGATGCAGTAAATTTCGAATTTGCCAGGTTTTAATACAAGTTTTAATTCAAATCAGGTAACTGGACTTTTGGAATCCAAATCCCATTAGAGTATGTTGGGACATTTTTAAAGGCATGTTGAATGCAGCACATTGCATAATGAAGTGGTTTGAGCTTAGGGCATAAAGTGGCTCTACACTTTTCCTTTATTTTTCTGTTACTATGTGAGTAAATATTCTGATCCTCTTTCCTTTCTAGGAATTGACAGTGAAATGCTATATAGGACCTCTGGGATTGTGTTGGGAAGTACACTGAAAACCGGTAAGAATCCAGTTGTCGTTAGGGGAGAACACTTCATGCCCATCCAGATGGAAGCTGTATTGTGCTGCATGTGCAGTGCAGCCATATAAATAGCATTTACTATAACGAATATTTGCTAGCATCATATTATAGTTTGAGATAATACACAATTTAATTTAAATAGTTACTATTTTTTTTTTTTTTAAATAAATTAATCCTGTGTTACTTCCCTGAATGTCAAAATGCGGGAGATATTTCTTCCTAGTAGTTTAGCTCCAAGGAATTCCACTTTCAACAGAGTCTGAGCGGCTGCTGAAATTTATAGTTTGCAAATTCTGCTGCATTCAGAAACCAAGAGACAGCCTTACTTTAAATGTTACAAGGTACACCTAGGATTCTCAAGCAACTCCCCTTCCTCTCCTGAGTTTGCTGTGGATCATCTCATCTGCTATGTATCTGTGTTATCTGTTCAATGTGTTTAACACCATATTTATATTGGTTCTATTTTGAGCTTTGATATAGAATATTTTGCCATATTATTTATGTCGTAAGGCGTCTGTCTGCTCCATCTCAGTTCCATGGACCATAAATTGTTATATGCATACACCCTACCGAGTCCACACAACAAGATTTTAAAAAACGTCTCACTTGTCAGTATCATTATTTAGGTTATGTGGTTGGAGACCGTTATCAGAGGTCAGCCCTACAGCTTTGCTTAGTGCTTGAGACAGTGTCCAGAACATATAAATTGCCAACACTTCCAAGATAAAAGATTCTACTTTTTTATTCATGAATAAAATTATTCCATGGCATGGATATCCACATCGGTAACAAACAAAAAAAAAAGTGAAAATACAATTTTTTTTAAAAATCACACAGACATCACCCTAGGCAAGATTCCCACGCATTAGGCATTTTGTGCTACACTGGCACTCATTTATAAGCACAGGTCCTGGATTAAATGGGAGTTAAAGGTCCTCCAAAATTAAACCTTAATTAATCAGTGTATGGTAATACTCGTAACAGAACAAAATACTTGCGGTAAACGAAGCATCCAGGGAAATGCGAAGAATAACATATTAACTCGCCATTACCTAAAATATATGCTTAGTGCAAATGAAGTTAGGTGAAGAAATTAACTGCTATGAGGGGCAAGGACTGGAAAAAGAGAGTGGGTGTTTGAAGCAGGCATTTGTTTGCCAATCAAATTGTATCACCCAAGATATTAAAGGGACACTATAGTCACCTGAACAACTTTAGCTTAATGAAGCAGTTTTGGTGTATAGAACATGCCCCTGCAGCCTCACTGCTCAATCCTCTGCCATTTAGGAGTTAAATCCCTTTGTTTATGAAACCTAGTTACACCTTCCTGCATGTGACTTGCACAGCCTTCCATAAACATTTCCTGTAAAGAGATCCCTATTTAGGCTTTCTTTATTTCAAGTTCTGTTTAATTAAGATTTTCTTATACAAAAAGAATTTTTGTACAAGCACTCTTTTATCCCTATTGGTGCAAAGTATCGAGGTGGCCAAAAGTACCTCAGAAAAATACAAAATACAAAAATGATACTGCACTCATAAATAGAGGAAAATTCATAGTTAAATTTAATAAATCAATGGTGAATTCATTATCTTGTAATTCATTAGTGAGGTTATATATTGGAATTTGAAAAATTGATACTGTATACACATTGATGAAGAGTTCTGAAAAATTGATAGTATATGCACATGAATTTGATAATATATGTACAAAAACAGTCAATATTTGATAGATCCCCTATTGTGACCTCATGTTTATAACAGGAATCTGCTGTCAAAAATGGCTATAATCAAATGTTCAAAAATTGTTATCCTTAAGGTAAATGGGATAAGTAGGAGCCAAAGGGAGGCAAGAAACTTAAAAATTTTGAGAAGATATGGTGTATTATAGTCCAGAGTTTCTTGCAAAAAAGAGTCCAAACAAAAGAAAAAGAAAAAAATAAGGAAAAAATATGGAAAAAATATATATAAACAGTCCCAGTGTGTACACACAATGGTATATGGAAAGATCTCACCGGTGGAAAATAGAGGTTCTGTAGTCCAATCTCTTTCAATGTGGCAATGGCACTTCTGTATTTTAAAGAGACCTTTGTGTCTTTCTTCCTTCCTCCTTTATCCGTGGTGAATATAGTGTGTCTCCTTACTTGCTCCTACTTGTTCCCGGGGTGTCAGGATACATCCATAGATTTCTTGCCAAAAATATCTTCTATATGTGCTGGTGCAGAGGCTCCTGTGCAGGATATGGGCATATCCTGCACAGGAGCCTCTGCACCAGCACATACTACAGAACCTCTATTTTCCACCGGTGAGATCTTTCCATATACCATTGTGTGTACACACTGGGACTGTTTATATATATTTTTTCCATATTTTTTCCTTATTTTTTTCTTTTTTCCTTTTTTTCTTTTTCTTTTGTTTGGACTCTTTTTTGCAAGAAACTCTGGACTATAATACACCATATCTTCTCAAAATTTTTAAGTTTCTTGCCTCCCTTTGGCTCCTACTTATCCCATTTACCTTAAGGATAACAATTTTTGAACATTTGATTATAGCCATTTTTGACAGCAGATTCCTGTTATAAACATGAGGTCACAATAGGGGATCTATCAAATATTGACTGTTTTTGTACATATATTATCAAATTCATGTGCATATACTATCAATTTTTCAGAACTCTTCATCAATGTGTATACAGTATCAATTTTTCAAATTCCAATATATAACCTCACTAATGAATTACAAGATAATGAATTCACCATTGATTTATTAAATTTAACTATGAATTTTCCTCTATTTATGAGTGCAGTATCATTTTTGTATTTAAGATTTTCTTATCCCCTGCTATGTTAATAGCTTACTAGACCCTGCAAGAGCCTCCTGTATGTGATTAAAGTTCAATTTAGAGGTTGAGATACAATTATTTAAGGTAAATTACATCTGGTTGAAAGTGAAACCAGTTTTTTTTTCATGCAGGCTCTGTCAATCATAGCCAGGGGAGGTGTGGCTAGGGCTGCATAAACAGAAACAAAGTGATTTAACTCCTAAATGACAGTGAATTGAGCAGTGAATTTAGGTGACTATAATGTTCCTTTAATAGTTCTAAGTACGTGAAATATTGGTGAAACACATTCGCTGAAAATAATAATGAAAAACTACAAGTACAGAAAGTTACAGTGGTAAACTACAGGTAAACACTTTAATATTGCTACAGTAACAAATAATAACATGGTGACAAAAGGTAAAATAAATTGTCAATACATTTTCTGGGAAAGTTGGAGATGAAGTTTCACTAAATACAATGTATCACACTGAAATATATTTTTAGTTGTAGTAGGTAAATTCTAGACTTGGGTATTAATTTCAGGCTAAACTGCAATTCAATTTAAAAATTTCAATTTCAGAATTTTGATTTCAGAGGTGCCACATGGAATATTCTCCGGGAAACTGATTCACACAGGCTTGAACGTGCTTAATTCAGTTCTTGGTTTGCTGTTCGTGGCACCCCAAAAAAGCTTCGGAAGACCTCTTGGCCATCATGACAATTATGTGGGCTGTATGTCGTGTCCAATCAAGAGCAGCAAAAATAAATAAATATATGATTAATAGTTATGGGACAGCCACTAAATGTTTATTTTATTAAAACATCTGATCATTAGAGGGAAATAAAACAAGGAACAGTAAAACAATATATGATTCCAAGCAGGATTTTTCAAGGTGTTTTGACTGCATCTGCCGAGGGAGACAGACCAGCAGTGATACTGTATACCCTTGCTGTGCCTGTGTGGTAAATGGGAGATAGCCTGGTTCATTGATTCTAGTGCGAGAATAGGTTAAGTTTGGTCTTTGAACAAAATATATATTTTCTATTATCTCTCATTTCACATCCCTCATCAGCATCTACTGTCGCAATCTCAAATGCCTCTACAAAACCATACGTTACTTACTCTGCCCATTGCTATCCCTTCTGACACCAATCTCACAGCCAAAGACTTTGCATATTAGGAATAACATCTCTGATCCTGCTTTTCTCTTCAATTTCTTCAACTCTAAATTCCTTCCCCCGATTAATGAATAGGAGGTTTCTGTACTTCTATCTTCTCGCCCGACCTTGTGTGCCCTTGATTCAATTCCTTCTCACTTCTTCTAATCTCTCTTTGCTTGTTTTGCTCCTTGCCTAACTGGTATCTTCAGTCTCTCTTTAGCTTCAGGAATCTTACCCACTTTGCTAAAACAAATCCCACCAGACTCACGCAGGGAGCATTTCCTGAAACACATGCTTTTTTATTAAAAGTGTACTGAAACACGTCTGTTGTGTTTGAGGACCTGATGCAAATTTTTCATTGTAGATCTTTCTGGACTCGACTTGAAGGCGTTAGATATTCATTCCATTGCAGACGCTGTGAAGATATTCTTACAAGAAATTCCAAGCCCTGTTATTCCACATCATGTCCACCAAGAGATAATCCAGACTCTTCAAGGTTTGCAAATATATTGTGACGTTTTCCCAACTGAAAAAGTTTTGTAAAATATTGTAGTTGCCGCAAATATCCTATAGCAGAGGTAGGTAACCTTCAGCATGTTGTGGATTAAATCTCCTCTAATGCTTTGCCAGCACTTTGGCTGTTATGGAGATGTAGTCCACAACCCCTAGAATGCCAACGGTTGATTACACCTGTTTAGCCACATATTTCCTTACTGCTGTAAAAACAACGTATAGGTTGCTGGACTACAGACTTGTATTAAATATCATACTGTAAATTCTGGTTGTTTGGGAAACCTCAAAGTGTCTACTTTAATTAGTCAAGTAATTTGAACATCTCTTTATCATTGTCGTTTTAGTCACATTTCTTCTAATTTCAGAAGCATTTAAGGATGGACCAAAGAGAGAACGGATTTTGCGGATTATCCAGCCACCTGCTGTTCCGCTGCAAAATGCCCTTACCTTCGAGTACATTCTCAGGCATATTGTTAAGGTTTGCAACAAAGGTAACCGCAATGGGCTCACTCTGAAGACCGCGGCGGAGATATTTGGACCACTGTTGCTTCGACCAGTTATCTCAGGGTGAGGGTTTTCGTCCGCCTGCTCCTTTTATTGTATTGTGCTATTTGCACACAAAATACTTACAAGGTTATTCACTAAAAGGTGAATAGCTTCAAAATCAAAGTGAATTTCAACTTTAAGGAAAATAAAAACTGAATTAGAAAAAATCTCAGCTATGCTTCCATTGCAGTGAATAACCTTGGTGTAATCGTTATATATTTATTGTAAATAATGTTCATTCACTTTGCAAAGTAAAATACAAAATTATCAAGTCGTTTGATATAACAAAGAAGCAAGGTTGTAACAAGAATTTACTCTCAGATAAATAAAGTCTCAGTACAGCAATTAACCCCTTAATGCCGTTACGTCGTTCTATGCCAAGATAATGCATCTTGGACGTAAAAACCCAAGGGCAGAGTACAGGATATTTAATAGAGTCCTAACCTCAACATATGAGGAAAGGGATTTAGGGGTGATTATTTCTGATGACTTAAAGGTAGGCAGACAATGTAATAGAGCAGCAGGAAATGCTAGCAGAATGCTTGGCTGTATAGGGAGAGGTATTAGCAGTAGAAAGAGGCTAGTGCTCATGCCATTATACAGAACACTGGTGAGACCTCACTTGGAGTATTGTACACAGTACTTGCAGCCCTCCCATGCCAAATCAAAGAGCGATCACATGGCCCCCTATAGCTGGCTGTGGATCTGCCAGCAGGGGGACTGTCTGGAGTGTCATACAGTCCCCCTGCTGGTGGGGAGTAGTAAAATTTTTTTAATTAAACCCGTTAAAATAAAAGTGTGTGTGTGTGTGTGTGTGTGTATATATATATATATATATATATATATATGTGTATATATATGTATATGTATATATATAAAGGCCATTAGGCCTGAATTTGTGGGAGGAGTAAGTCCCCTACTTAAACTCCCAGCCCCTACTCACCTCTGCCGTTCAGCTGATTGTCTATCCCCATAGCAACCAGCACTTCCGGTCCGAGCTTCCCGCCAGAACAGCTTCAGTCTCCTGCAGCAAGAGGTCCTGAGCAATCCTCCGTCCGTTCTGAGGCCCCAGCGCAGTTTTCCTCCCGGTCGCGGTACCTGGCTTCCGGTCACGAGACCGGCACGCTCACGTAAGCTAAGTGAGGGAAATAGCGTTCGGCTCTTTCCCTCCGTTCGGGCCTAAAAACGTAGGGATAGGCTCCCTCTATCTTCTTTAAACATATCCATGCTCGCTTAACGTATTCAGCGTTCGCGCCAAAACGGACGAACGCCCGTTACACTTACGCATCGTTCACGTATTCATACGGAAAAACTGCCGAACTATGTATAAGTATAAACGCTCATATTAATCATTGTATTTCTGTGTTACTGTTCGGTCATACGCACGAACCTCGTACTTACCCGTTCGTGCATCCTTAACGTTAGATGATAATCCTATTCACCCCTCGCTATTTTCTCATTCAGTACTGATCTATTCGTACGGTTTAAACGAACGCACGGTACAAATCCCTATTACGGTTAATTCTTTTAAACCATGCTAAGTAAATTTATGAATTTCATTTACACGAATTTTAAATGTAAACGCATATTCCCTGTTCGGTCCGTTAACTGCTGATACCTACATGTCAGTATTGGTTATTCAATCCGGTCTAACTACCAGTCTTTTTCTTAAACTGTGTTGGCCGGTTTGATATATCTAAAACATTTAAAATCTCAACAATTATTTATAAGATACGGTTCCTTTTTCCTTCACCTAATTAAATAGTAACCACGTTTTAATATTCATCTTATTAATTCTTATAGACTACTCATGTTACCAATATAAAGAACAGGTTTTTCTAACTATACACCAACCCTATTCAAACCCTACATACAGATATTAATTAAACATGATCTTCTAGGGTAATTGCGTTAAATCCACATCTGTACTACATCTTCTCCTTAGAATCACGCAGTCATTTATTCTTGCCTCTGTCACATGTCTTTGGCTTTACAGATTGCATCGGTTTCTTGCATTCCTGCTCAAAAGTTGCTATTTCAAGTTCTTTTTATTACAGGAACAGGTATAATATTTTTCTCACTTTAGTTTCATCCAGGTCTAGGCCTCAAATACAATTAAGCTATCTAGACTTGTCACAGCAAGACATGTTGGTATTTATTACATACTGTCACATCTGTCGTTAACTATTTAATATTCATTGGTTAATCCTTAGCTCCAGTAGTATTCTAGGCCTCCACCGGTTTCTACACATTAAACCAGTTACGCTCATCACAAGTTTCGTACTTCATTCAAGGTATAATTCCCCGCTCTTTCAAGACCTTTCTATACAAGACCTTACGCAGTCTTGGTCTCACTACGATTGACTCACGGTCTTACGCCCACGGTATGTTAATTCTTTACAGTTTCTCTACCCAGGCCTACGGTCATACTGCCATCAGGCCAAGGAAAACATCCAACCTACCTGATCCGGTACCCAGGCATACCATCAGCCTTCTCTTTAACGCAAACTCGTCCCAATCCTATACTAAACCTTTCAGAACCCTCAATTCAGGATCTCACGTTGCGCTCCTAACAGTCAACCCTCACTACAAACCATACGTCACCACGATACGCATAAATACATCAACATCTGTTTTAATCCTCAGGCTTCTTCTTTAAGAACAGCAGCAGACTAGACTTGCCACATTAAAAAATACTAGAAGGTTCCAGTTATCATTTACAACCTTTCCACACATTACACCAGAATTTCCCAGTCAACCTTAAGTATACAATTGAACTGGCTACTGGGTCTAGGGTACCGCCTTTGCTCACCCTATTAGGAAATCCGGTCCCACAAGGCCATCTCCCACCTCAACACGGAGGTACGGCCCCACGCCCAAATCATAGTTATACGCCTCGCCGCCCTACTACAGGGCTTTAGTCAGGGCCTCACCTGTCACGGCCACACGTTTTGAATTCTCTTTACGGTCACCGAGAGGCCAACACCCTGCCACCACGTCTGTGGCCTCAATTTCCTAAGCCAAATCATAGGTAGAGCCTCTCACCGCCACTTGGCATTAGCAGGACCTCACCTACCAAAAATCCCACAGATAAGTTTTTCGCATCGGCACTAGCATTACAGTCCAGTTCTTCCAATAAATACCAGCCCTCATATCCCCCCACGTTTCCTTACTCCCCTTCTAATATCTCATTCACAAAATCATTTCTTTTAGAATGTCCCAAGAACCAATCCCCATCGAAGAACTGCCAGAAGAGATACCGTTTACGCCAACCAGACCAGAGTCTCCAGGCGAATCTCTCACCCTTTCAACTCCCACGTCCTTGAGAGCATGGACTATTCCTAAAATTACGGCCGAGCTTAGGCTCAGGGGAATCCCCTTTCCAGCCATAGATAGAAAGGCAGAACTTTACAGGCTGCTTACCTACCAAGCCCCTGAGCCTAGGCCAAGCACTAGCTCTCAAGGACAGCCACCAAGCACTGGCACGGCCACCCAGGATACCCTGGCAGCAATCTTGGCCAACCTACAGACCCTTAATAGCAGGCTATCTAAGGTGGAGAGCACCATCGCCTCCCCAGGTAATACCCCGGGCCTCCCAGTCTCCACCCCGGCTGTCCCCGCTGTACCAGCATGCCCCCCATACTCCCCTCGCCAACACCAGTCACAGCTATAGCTCCTTTTGAGTCACCAGCTCACTCCGTCCCACACTCTATCAGGAAAGAAATCCTAGACGAGAAGGACGTTTGTCTGGTGTCTCTGCTTATAGCTTCACAGGACATACTGGAGAACAAGGCTTACAATTACAGGGATATATCAGTAGTGCTTAAGACAAGAGATCCCAGGCATAATAATAAAAAACTCAATTCCCCAGTTCGTGATAGCTTTCGGGATATACCGTGATGTCATCTGCATGGTGTATCCCCACACAAGAGAGGAGTTAGACCTCTACCTTCACAAGGTGGTGGATCTAGGCATCAAGTACGGGGGCTCTTCTTTCTACAACTATCATAAGCGAAGGCGGCGACCCATCTGAAACAGTTCAACGTTAGAATTAACTGGTGTCAGATGGATACAGAACTATTCTGTCGCCACTTCTCTGGTCTCATGCCCCCGTCTTGTTCCATATGTAATTCCACATCCCACATGGCAGACTTATGTCCCTCTGAAGCAGATCCCACCCCTCATACCTCTTTCACCCCTCACAACAAACCAACGGGTGGTCTACGTGACAAGCTGGGTAGGCCCATCTCCTTTTTAGGCAAGGCGCAGGTGTGCAATAATTTCAACGCAGGCTCCTGCAGTTTCAGCGCATGTAGATTATTGCACATCTGCTCCATTTGCTTCAGGGCACATACCAAGACCATGTGTCCGGCCAGGTTGTCCCCTAACAAATGACTAACCAACATTAATGTCGACAACCTGGCTTTTTACTTAAGGTCACACCCTAGCAGGCACCTGGTGGAATATCTGACCACAGGGTTCACACAGGGGTTTCTCACGGGTATAGTAGCCATCCCCCTCAGGTACACTTGAATGTCCTTATCTCCTGTCAGCACGTCTAGACCCAGTCTCCACAGACACTCTCCTTTCCTCTGAAATTACCAATGGTTTCATGATCGGGCCTTTTTCCTCCTGGCGCACTAACCCAATCCGCGTTGCAGTTCACAAATATTCAAATAAAAAACGTCTAATTATCGATTTATCGGCACCGCACTCCTCTTTTTTGTTCCCAGCATAAACGCACTCATTCCAGCAGACGAATTCTCACTCCAGTACGTAACTATTGACGACGCTATACAGGCCATCATCTCTTCTGGTAATCGCCCATGGCTCAGCAAAACAGACATCACAAACGCGTTTAAGTTACTACCCATGCACCCCTCACTCTGGCACTTGCACGGTGTTAAATGGCGAGGAAAGTACTACTTCTCCACACGACTCACTTTCGGTTCTCGAAGCACATCCTCAGGTGTCACTCCGTTATTCACTACCTAGACGACTTCCTATTGATAGAGCCAGGGGCACAAACACCCACCGCTATCAGCCGCACTACAGCACTTTTTTCCACACTTGGAGTACCTTTGTCCCAATCTAAAACAATTGGTCCCACAACTAAATTAACCTTTTTGGGGATAGAGCTAGATTCCGTTACCCTCAGAGCTAGCCTTCCCCATGACAAACTGACCCGCTTGAAAGGAGAGATAGACATGTTCCTGTGGAATGATGTTTGCACCAGGAAGGAACTCCAGTCCCTTCTGGGATCCCTGAACTAAGCCATGTGCATCATCCCGCAGGGAAGGTCTTTTATATCCAGGCTTCTTTGCCTTTTCCACGGGGTACCGGACTCTTGCCCAGTTTCATTGGACCCCCACGCCAAGGCTGACTTAGCTATGTGGGGGAAGTTTTTGGCAGAGTGGAACGGTATCTCCATGTTTATCCCCCCTCTCTCCACTTCCTCATTCCCCATTATTCACACAGATGCTGCAGCAAACACTGGTTTCGAAGCCATCTTTGGGAACCACTGGTTTAGGGGTCACTGGCCCGCTGAGACAGATGCCTTGCCAGGATTCAGGGAGACCTCAGCCCTATTTGAAATCTATCCCATTGTGGCGGCCGCACACACCTGGGGTCATCTCTGGTCCGGCAAGGCAGTAAAATGCTACTCTTACAACTCGGCAGCTTGCAAAATCATTAACAAGGGGCGCTCATCATCCCTGACCATCATGCGGCTGATTTGCAAGCTGACCTGGCTAGCAGCAACCGGTCAGTTTCACTTAGTTTGTTTTCACATTCCCGGGTATCCTCAACACTGCAGCTGACGCTCTTTCTCGCTCTCAATTCCAGGTATTCTCTCAGGCACTCCTTACGGCTCACCACCAGCCATCCAGGACACCACAGTTTCACGAACTAATCCTGGATTGAGCACACTGATGCATCACGCTAGGACTCTCACTCACCAAGCACAATCACCTAACACAGCTATCTCTTATAATAGGGCACTTACCATATTTAACAAATTCACTGCAGAATTCGGTTTACAAGGCGACCTTTCTATACAAACCATTGTGGCTTTTGCCTCTTTCTGCCACTTACATCTTAAACTTTCCCACAACACCATAAAACTTTACCTCACCGGGGTGCAGCACCATAGCCTCACAAATTTTCCTAACAACACCCCCTTCTTGTCATCATATCCCATTAAAAAGGTATTGAAAGGTATGTTAAAGGTTTCAGCTCCTCTCACTATCACAAGACTACCTACAGATGGGCCTATCTTCAGATCACTTAGCAATCTCCTTGACGAATCCCCTTTTGATCCCGACACAAACCTGGTGATCAAAGCGGCTATCTATCTTGCTTTCTACGGTTTTCTCAGACCTAGAGAGTTCACCGTTGTTCGTCAAGGGGATATCACGCACAGCCTAAAAACATTGCACCTCGCAAAGGTGGAGGATCACTATCTACTTTCTATCCCGTCAACTAAAACCAACCATTCACTACACCCCACTGTAATTCCTCTCTTCCCTACTGATAATGCCTGGTGTCCGGTCAGACCACCTACAGTCAACCCTTCACGCGCACTTACCAGACTCTCCACTCTTATCAATACAAGGGCACCCGCCTACCACTGCTAAATTCACGTCTCACGTCAGAACACTATTATCTAAACTGGATTTCAATCAGACTTCATTCTCCGGGCACTCCTTTCGCATAGGAGCCGCCTCTTCAGCCTCCAGCACTAATACACCAGTCCACATCATCAAGAGACTGGGGCGATGGAAATCCTCCATATACCATACTTATATTCCACGACCAGAAAAAGAGCTTCGTCACGTTTTCAGGAACTTGGTTATGTAAAAAGGCAATAAAGTGTGTATTTTCTCGAACTTCTCTTTTGCCCTCTTTTATTTACAGGCCCACTCGTACGTTGTTTTCGGCACACCACAACCAACTTTGTCCTTACAGATACTATCCATTACGTATTAAATTCCGAGCACAAGTAGAAAGGTCATTAGGCCTGAATTTGTGGGAGGAGTAAGTCCCCTACTTAAACTCCCAGCTCCTACTCACCTCTGCCATTCAGCTGATTGTCCCCACCCACCTACACCCTGTTATAATAAAATTTTCCTTGGTGGGCCCTCTTTTATTTACAGGCCCACTCGTACGTTGGTTTCTGCACACCACAACCAACTTTGTCCTTACAGATACTATCCATTACGTATTAAATTCCGAGCACAAATATATATATATATATATATATATATATATACACACATACACATCTTAAATATATGTAACGTCATAAGTAGTGTATTTTAATATTAGTACATATATTAGTATTAAAATACACTTAGAATGACGTTACATATATATGATATTTATATTATATATATATATATATATATATATATATATATATATATAATACATCTATATATATTTTATATTTATATATATATATATATATACGTATAATTACAATAGTAAATGAATAAAATAATAAAATATAAAATAGTTGTTTTTTTTAAATTAAATTATATATACATATGTAATCTCATTCTAACTGTATTTTGTTATTAATACATATGTATTGGTAACAAAATATACTTAGAATTACATTCTATATATATATATATATCTATATATAAAATACAAATAACTGCAAATATTTATATATAGATAAATATATATAATTACATAAATAACTACATAAGTATACATGTAGAATTTAAATACATATATGTGTGTGTGTGTGTGTGTGTGTGTATATATATATATATATATATATATATATATATATATATAAATTCTACCTGTATGCTTAAGTAATATTTTAACATAATTATGTGATTTAATTAATTAAAATTTGATTGACGTGCCTGACAACCCAGGCAGCAAGTGCAGAGAATTAAATTTGCACGCGCTATATTTAACCCTGTAACTTTCCAAGACACCATGAAACCTGCACATGGGGGGGTACTGTTTTACTCTGGAGACTTCGCTGAACACAAATATTAGTGTTTTAAAATGATAAATTGCATTACAACAATGATATATTTAGTAAAAGTGAAGTTGTTTGCATTTTTCACACACGAACGGCACTTTTACTGACGATATTATTGTTGTAATATGTTTTACTGTTTTGAAACACTTATGTTTGTGTTCAGTGAAGTCTCCCAAGTAAAACAGTACCCCCCATGTACAGGTTTTATGGTGTTTTGGAAAGTTAGATAGTCAAATATAAGGCCTGCCTTTCATTTTTTTTCACATTGAAATTTGCCAGATTGGTTACGTTGCATTTGAGAACGTATGGTAGCCCAGGAATGAGAATTACCCCCATGATGGCATACCATTTGAAAAAGTAGACAACCCAAGGTATTGCAAATGGGGTACGTCCAGTCATTTTTAGTAGCCACTTAATCACAAACACTGGCCAAATATTTTTTTTTTTTTTTTTGCTTTTTTCACACAAAAACAAATATGAACGCTAACTTTGGCCAGTGTTTGTGACTAAGTGGCTACTATAAAAGACTGGACATACCCCACTTGCAAATAAAAAAAAAAATCTTAATTTCTCACAGTTTTTTTAATTGTATTCATAATAAATTATGTTTCAAATAGGAGTGGTTCATGAAAAATGAAAGATCAGTTTCTCCTGAACAAAATGATATTTAATAAGTGTGGGTGCACTTAATATGAATGAGGTGAATTATGGCTGAACAGACATAGAGCGCAAATACCAGTTTTTGTTTACATTTTATTTTGATCAGAACGTGTACTACTGACTCCGTCCTGAAGGGGTTAAGATTAAACTATGCGGTCATTTTTTTTGTAAATATAGATCCCGAAACCGATATAAAATAGAAATTGTTTAGATTGTACACACAAAATAATAAAAGTGTATTTGTATGTACATGCAACGTGTATGTGTGAGGAGGTTCAGCGTGTGTACATGCAAGGATGTAAGTTTGGGCTACGTATCTTGTATATAATGTAAATGTATACAGTTGGGTGGACCACTGTTTCTCTGTAGTGTGAGCATGGTGTCTGTGTGAATGCATGTTGTGTATGTGAAGTCTAGAGAGGCCCCTTTACATACATATTTTTATTTTGAAATAATTGCCTTAACTAGGTGTCCATTTGGCCCCCAGCATGGCAGGGGTCATCCTGTCAATTTGCGCTTTGTAGGGCTGGAGCAATGCAAAAATCACAGCTTTTGCATGCCCTAACTCCCTTAGACTTTGGTGTGGACCTGGATGTACGTGCTGCAAACAAGAAAATTTAGGTTTTAGCACTCACAATCTCACACATACATACAATGCAGGTGCCAAAATCTTTTTGTCGGTGACAGGGCTAACGAAGAAAAAACTGCCTGCCCAGCATCTAGATCTCTCTGGCAAGAAGCATTGCCTCTGGATCCATATGAGAAAGGTTATCCGAGACCTTCTGCAAAAAGCAAAGTGCACTTGAAGGCATTCCCACCATTTGCAGATCATATTGTCATTTCTACATTGCCAGCATGCCTCAAGAATTTAATATGAAAGAAGTTAAACATATTTCACTCCCTTTTCTGAATGAAATGCTAGTGATAGGCTGAGAGCCTATCAGCAGCACCTGGTTAGAGCCATCGTTTTGAAATCTTTGACATTCAGAGGAAACGGAGAGGCACAACAATCGGGTACAGTCTTCCATAGTTTGGGCTTTGAAACCGTTCATTAATGGTTTAACCTCTTATGGCAAGACTGTGATTGGGTCCCCCTATACCATAGCATCCTTATTGCAATGGTAACCAGAGTGTTCCTTTGAGATTAAGAGTTTTATTTAGGGGGGTGGGACTAGCACGCAGACCAAGCCAGACGCCATTTCCTGGAGCACCGCTTGATATATTAAAAACTGGGAGTCATCCAACTTCCAAACTGCCAAAATCGGACTCTGCTGCCCAAGCTGCATCTATTGATGCCCTTTGTACAGCTGCAGAAGCAGCCTAAGCGGCGACGGAAAATCATGGCCTACCACCCGCTATGGATCCCCAGCCTCGAGTCATTCCTCTGCGGGGACCTTGCAGCAGGGCCGAGGAGGATCTCACCCCACACGTCACCCGACACATTGACAATGGGCCGCAAATCGCAGAGACCCACCACCGAGCCTGACACCAGGGACATTGGGGCGGTGATGCAGAAGCCCAGACAAACCCTGGCCGGGGACCGACGGGAAGCCGAACCTGAACCGGACCACCGGGAGACAGAGGTACCCTCACGGCCCCCGACAGTACTCACCGCGCCAACGGACCCTTCTGACGACTCAGCCCCAACGACCAGGGGAAACCTGAAGGCTCTCTTGGCTGACATCCATAAGCTCCTGGCGGCGGATTCGGTCATATTCAAAACACGGTTACAGGCCGTAATGGAGAGAGTTAGAGCCACAGAGGAGGGTATGGTGGAAACTCAGTCTACCATGCAGGCCATGCAGGACTCTATCCACCAAATGCAAACACACCAAAGCATCCTGACCGCAAAACTCACAAATATGGAGGATAGACAACGCTGCGCAAACATCAAAATCAGGGGCATACTACCCCACTACGTCCCACGCCTCCTGACAACCATACTACACCCCATGCAAGCTCGCAAACTAACAGTGGACAGTCTGTACCACATCCCCAACCAACACCAATACCAACCTGAACTGGGACGTCCTCCTATGCTGTCACTCCGTACAGGACAAAATACACATCATTACAGCTGTGAAGGGCAAAACCCCTCTCCTATTTGAAAATGCCACTTTGAATTTCTTCCAGGATCTTACAAAGGCAACGCTACTATGGAGGAAAACCTACACACCGGTAACCTCCCAACTACGCATGGCAGGACTGCCTTACAGATGGGGGATGGACAATTCCTTAACTCTCACGAAAAATGACACCACTCATGTCCTCCACACCATGGCCGACGCAACCCCTTTTATGGTAAAACTGGGACTGCCCAAACCGACCGAGACACGAGCGCTACCTGAGAGTGCCAGAGACCCGACCAACATCACCCCTTCGTCCCACGCACTAGAGGGACATCGGCACCAGTGCAATGAAGTGGCGGACAGACAGCCTTGGCCCCGAACTACGACGAGGGGCTATCGATATAAGAGGGAAACCTTGTCTTTGGACACATCACAGTCGTTAGACCAGCTTTAACTCTGGTCCTTTCTATAATTCAGTAGTTACTGTTCCTTTTATTTTTACAAATTATCGTTTAACTCCGCTTGTCACCCGTAACCTGATACCCAAAGCCCCCTTGGTTAGGGGTACCACACGCACCAATATTTTATTATTATTATTATTATATTATAATTTATATAGCGCCAACAGATTCATATTGTCCACCAACCTCAAACCCCATCTCCTGGGCTCTACTGTACATCCAGCTAGTAGCCGGGATGGATTACATTGTTCCCACATACCGACCACAAGACAAAACCACATCCCAAACTGGGAACACACACTACTTTCTAAGCAGATATATGTCACATATCAACTCCAAACACCACACACATGACAACTGTAGTGACAAAATGCTGTTCCTTGTTACAGGGCTCCCGCATAACTGTTAACATAACATAACTGTTAACGTTACCCTTCGCATGTTAGCTCTGTACACTATTGTTCCATGATGAAAAAAAACGAAAAATGTGCATATTGCGAGACATGTTTAAGAAATGTATTCTGTATTGCCTGGCTATATACAAATGTCTTTGTTCTTTGTTCAAGCTACGCCACTCATGCACATTCAAAATAAAGAATAAAAAAAAAGAGTTTTATTCATGATAGCTTGATTTATCGTCAAATGAATCGAAGCACTGGAGATTCAATTCTTGATGGAACCTTGAAAAGGAATTTGTTATGTGTTTGTATACACGGTGTCAAGCCAAAGGGTTCGTTTGGAAGGAGTTGTAGGAAGAAAATACTTGAGTGTGACTAGTGATATGCTGTTAACATTTTATTTTAATGTGAGAGTCCATTTTTTGTTTACATTTTTTACTCTGTACGTTTCTCTTACTGGCAAGCTCTAGTGGAGGATATAGGCTGGATGTTTGGCCATATAGTATTTGTCTAGATCTTTCATACATTTTTAATGTGTGGTTATTTTTTTCTAAGAGTAACAGTTCATAACTTTTTATTCATCATGTATAATATTTTTCTTGCTGCAGAGCGGAGGCTGTTCCAGATTATCCTGTTCTATTCCTGGAGCTTCTGCTGCAAAATGGAGAGGTGCTTCAAGAACAGCTTCCTCCAGGTAGATTTATATCTTGACAATTACCTTGCACCAAGTATTTTCTGACAAAGAACTTGTTCTGTGGGATTTAAACTGTAGCCACGTACAGTTGGAATGAGACCATATAATGCAATAGAAAATAAAAATACAGGCGATACCTGTCAAGCTCCTGCATTGCTGCCAATACCCAGGCTTTTCAACTGGCTGAATTTTGTGCATTTGATATGTAGTTCAGTACTTTGCAGTAGTTTCATTCATCAGATATGAACAGAATTACTGTCTATTCTGAGCTTCTTTTGCAATCAGAAAATAAATTTCACAACAGAGATTTATGGAAGAAGCCTCTTAAAATCAGACCCAAAACCTCCTGACTGGTGGGGCTTCTTTATGATCTGGGAGAGGTGCTCTGCTGCCGTTTACCCGTACTAGAACCGTGTCTCTTAAAACTAAATTAAATTGTTTATTTATTTAGTGGGTAATTTCCAGCCTGGAGCTGCAAACACCTTTAATGCTCAAAGGGGTGTTCCATTGTGTATTAAATAGATTTTCTGGACCCTTATGTGCTCATTGTTAAAGACTGGAAAGAAAACATTAATAGATGATTTTGTTATTATTTGGCTGCTTCTGCTTCACAGCTCTTCCTCCAAAACCAGCTAAACCAAAACCACCGATGTGTACGGCCAGTGGGGGTGGAGGGACGCTGCAGGAGTCAGAGTGGTACTGGGGAGACATTTCTAGGTGAGACTAATTACATTTTACTTCATATAATTCCCCATTCTATGCTTGGGACAGAGAAATAAGTGTTTCATGCTGGCATTTGAACAAAATAAAAAAAAAGACAGAGTTATTTAGGCATATGCTAGATGGGAGTATAGAATATGAAATCAACCTTAGCATGTGTGCAGACCGTGAACACTTTAGTGGTTTGAAGTGATCATGGTGCATGGAGTCTGCATGTACAACTTTTCTTCAGAGAAACATTGAACATACAGAGTTAAAACCCTTTACTGCCGAGGTGTCATTCCACCTCCAGGGCATCATTAGCCAGCCAGGAAATCTTGTTTAAGAGACACTATAGTCACCATAACCACGACAGCTGTTATAATACCAATAACCGCACAGCCCCCTCTCAAATTCTCTCCCCCTGAACGAGAACAAAAACACAGAGGTTTGTTCTTTTTTTTGGCGATGGGGTTAAGGTACCATGTCAGTAAGTCTTACAATAACCAAAAACACTGTTTTTGGTTGCACTAATCCTTTAAGTTTACATTTGTGATGAGTAATTTCTCAAAGCCTTTTGTAGGTGGGGAGCACAAGGAAACGACTATGGCACAGTTTTTAAACTGCACAACTGCAGTTGAAATCATGACTCTTAAAGGGACACTGCAAGCACCTAGACACCTTCAGCTCAATGAAGTGGTCTGGGTGCCAGGTCCATCTAGGATTAACTCTGCCTGCTGTAAACATAGCAGTTTCAGACAAACTGCTATGTTTACATATGGGTTAATCCAGCCTCTAGTGGCTGTCTCATTGACAGCCGCTAGAGGTGCTTCTCACTGTGATTTTCAGAGTGAGAAGACACCAGCTTCTATAGGAAAGCATTGAGAATGCTTTCCTATGGACTGGCTGAATGCGCGCCCGGCTCTTGCCGCGCATGCGCATTCAGCCAATGACGGCCAAAGAAGGAGGGGAGTCCCCGGCGCTGGAGGATGGTGAGTGTTTAACCCCCTTCTTCTCCATTCAGCCCGGCGGGAGGGGCATCCGCAGGCCACTATAGTGCCAGGAAAACTAGTTTGTTTTCCTGGCACTATAGTGGTCCTTTAACCCTGCAAGTGTAATTGTTGCAGTTTTCATAAACTGCAATAATTACCTTGCAGGGTTAAGTCCTCCTCTAGTGGTTGTTGCCTCCAGCGTTGCCGAAATCCCCATAGGAAGGCATTGCATAATGCTTTTCTATGGGGAGGTCTAATGTGCATGCGCTGCCATTGCCAAGGAGAGTAGGCGGAGCCTGACCCGGCGCTGGACTCCGGTAAGTCACTGAAGGGATTTTAACCCCTTCAGAAACTTGGGGTGGAAGGGAGAGGGGCACTACCGGATCCTGCAGTGCCAGGAGAATCCCTTTAACATTTTATTATATTGCACAGGATTGATTTCAGTGTTATTTTACTCTTAATGTGTTCTGCCAGGAAGTCTGGAATCCTTAAAATAGCACTTTCCGTTAAAAGTCCTCACTGTGGCTCTTAATTATTGAGTAAAGAATTCATTTTGTGATTGGTTACAGGGAGGAGGTGAATGACAAACTACGGGATACCCCAGATGGGACGTTTCTGGTGCGTGATGCCGCAAACAAAATCCCAGGGGAATACACACTTACTCTCAGGTATGGACACTTGCAATTTAGTCTTCACAATGAGATCTCTTGCATCAAAATATCATAGATGAGTTATCAAATGAGTGCAATTTCTGGAATTAGAAAAAAGAGGGAGAGGTTCATACACCTTATTTTGTAATCTTCAGGTAGTTACGTGTGAATATATGAACTAGATTGTTTGTAGTAAAGACTATAAAAATCCAAGCCTTGTTAACGCACTGACATTAAAATATGAGCTTTCTTCTGAACTCAGTGGTGTTTCTATTATTTGGCAGTTCATCAATGCAGTTATTATATTTAGCACTTCTTTAACACACCTGTGTAAGCAAACTGAATTCATGGCTGTGCACAGATTCCGGTCTTCCAACATGTCTCTGTTCAAGGAGTTTTCAAAGTACAATATATGCACTCAAATGCCTCTTGAAAAGAAAATGGTCTAATTTTTAATGATATGATATGCTTTGCCTTGGTGTAGACATGCACTGTTGCACTGCTAATGGTGTTTAGACATTCTGGAGTTTGCAGTACTTTTAATGCACACTTTTACATTTTGTTTTTCTATTTCAAGTTATAGGAAAGCAGGCAATAAAATGCCATTTTTGTAATACGTTATCTTACTATATTGGACAAATTATAGAAACATAGAATGTGACGGCAGATAAGAACCATTTGGCCCATCTAGTCTGCCCAATTTTCTAAATACTTTCATTAGTCCCTGGCCTTATCTTATAGCTAGGATAGCCTTATGCCTATCCCACGCATGCTTAAACTCCCTTACTGTGTTAACCTCTACCACTTCAGCTGGAAGGCTATTCCATGCATCCACTACTCTCTCAGTAAAGTAATACATCCTGATATTATTTTTAAACCTTTGTCCCTCTAATTTAAGACTATGTCCTCTTGTTGTGGTAGTTTTTTCGTCTTTTAAATATAGTCTCAGCCTTTATTGTGTTGCCATTTAACTTTAAATGGCAAATTAGATATTTTGTCTATAGATCCAGCGACCATATTATTTTCCAATTAATTCTGTTTGTGCATGTGGGCAATATCCTAGGAATTAATGCAAGAGCAGTGACTTTAAACACAATTCTATTTTTTTAAATGAATGTTAAAATATTTATGTGTTACATATAAAAAGAAATTGGACCCCTTCATGTTCCTTACAACACAAACTCTGACTAGCTACAATTAACATGGGCTCCTAATCCTCATTCAGCTTCCTAAAACAAAAGCTAGTTTGATTTTCACAGGAAGTCTCTGGCTAGAAAAGTAAAAAAATAAAATTAAAATCAAACAAAAACCATATATTCAGTTACTAAATTAGGCAGCAATATGCAATGTCAATCTGCAGTTGCTAAGGCCAGTAAGGTTTTGTCATGTATAAATAGTGGCATAAATTCTCGAGATGAAAATATAATTTTGGCTCTTTATAAATCGCTGGTAAGACCACACCTTGAATATGCTGTGCAATTTTGGGCACCTGTTCTAAAGAAGGATATCATGGCACTAGAAAAAGTGCAGAGACGAGCTACAAAATTGATAAAAGGAATAGAGCATTTTAGTTCCGAAGAAAGGTTGAAAAATTTAAATCTCTTTCGTATAGAAAAACAGCGCCTCAGAGGGGATATGATAACATTATACAAATATATTCGGGGCCAGTACAAACCATAATCTGGAAATCTATTCATAAACAGGGCTATAAATAGGACACAGGGTCACACATTTAGGCTGGAAGAAAGGAGATTTAATCTAAGGCAAAGACAATGTTTTTTTTTTTGTTTTTTTTTACAATAAGAACTGTAAGGATATGAAATTCTCTGCCTGAAGAGGTGGTTTTATCAGACCATACAGATGTTTAAACATCAGTTGGATAAATACTTGCAAAAACATAGCACACACGGATATCATTTCTAATTCGTGGGTTAATAGCTGCTTGATCCAAGGAGACATCTGACTGCCATTTTGGGGTCAAGAAGGAATTTTTTCCTTGTTTGTTGCAAAATTGGAAGCGCTTCAGCGTTTCAGACTTTTGCCTTCTTTTGGATCAACAGCAAAAACATATGTGAGGAAGGCTGAACCTGATGGACGCAAGTCTCTTTTCAGCTATGTAACTATGTAAATACATATGTAATTGTTTGCATATTTTATTATATGCATTAAAAGTACTTAATTATGTTCCTTTAAATAGGCATTCAAATTTCATGCCTAGCTTTGTCATATATAAAAAAAATTGTATTTGGAGGCATGTCTTTTAGCTCAGCAGAATTTTTATTTTTTAAACCGAATAAGATCTAAGCAGAACAATCAAGAAGGGGAAAAGAGAACAGGGGAAGGAGTTTGTAGAGTTGCTGAAAGTATGTTGCTCTAATCTTCTCTGCCATGCAGCTTGTTCAAAAAGGTAGCCTACGGCCACTAGGAAAGTGTGGGTTTGGGTGGAAGGTATTACCAATGCACCTTGGTCCCCAGATGCCTCTTGGATCTCTGAATGTAACTTCTTATGGAATGGCAGGGGTTCTGGTCCAAATACTTTATAGGACGTCAATGAGACACAAATATAGCTATACAGGTAGTAGTTTCAGCTCCTTCATTCTACAAATATCTTGCCTCAGCTCACCTGTAAGAGTTGAACTAATTATTGTCTCGCTAAACAAAGTATCTATGACTATGGACTAATTTGATTATGTAAATGATGAGTGAGTTTTGTTATGACTCTACCAAAATATGGATGGGGTGTAAAAGGAACTTGGCTGTGTTTTGTAGTGGTTTCTGTACTTTCCATTTCAATACCCTAAAAAAAAGAAATGTTGGAGCGCTACCAATAAGATGAAATGGTTGTCTCTGGCTGACTACTTCTCCAATAGCGTCAGAGTATGGAGCTTGTAACCGGTCTCCTGGTACTTAACTGCTGAGAATTTTTGTGTTTTTTTTTTTTTGGTTTTTTTTTGTCGGTCAAAACAAATATTTGAAGTCTTTCATCCTTGAGTCAAGCATCCAGTACCTAGAAATGTATGGGGGTGAGTCCAGGGTCCTAGGTTGGAGAAATATAACTATAATTCTAAAATATAGTAAGATGGAGAAGAGCTTGTGGGAAAACAAGCCTTTAAACAAAACCTCCAAATACTATAACTACTACAGCTCACTTCAGTGGTTATAGTTCCAGGATTCCCCTGGTCCCTCACTATTATAAGGAGTTACATCTTTATAAATTTTTTTTGGTTTGTTTTCTTACCTAGTCTGCACCACTCCTGACCTCAGGAGGAACTTACATTAGCTCTCCTGAGCTAAGGTCTGCTAAGGTGTTATACTTTTCTACACTTTTTTTGCACTGTTTAGTTTACATTGGGTGACATAGGCAGCCAAAGGACGTGTATCACCTTTTGTGTATGGAACTTGTTTTTTTGGACCCTGAATAATTCATGTGAATTAAAACGTTTTTGCATATACTAATCTTTCTATCCATTTTTAGTCAGAGTGTGATAGTATGTATTTGTATAAAAAAAAAAAAAAAAAAAATCATGTAATATACAAGATACATTAAAAAGCAAAGTGTGTTTTAGAAGAAATTAGATTGGATTGTGGGGATATTTATAAACTATTTAACATTTGGTCTTCTAGTTTCTTATGGTATCTTCAGAACACATTGGTACTCTCCCCAGACACTCCTAAATTCATCATAATTAACACACAGAATTAAACAAACTTTTTGATCTTCTTTAATGTGCAGAATTCTAATAATCAGCTGGTTTAACGAATGAGGGAGTTGTCATTGGAAACAAATGCCCAAACACAGACTTTACTGTTAACGGCCTTCCACATGCATGTTATTCAGTTCTTTCTGTCTCTCATTACCACAGGAAGGGTGGAAATAATAAGCTGATTAAAATATTCCATCGTGAGGGTATGTATGGCTTCTCTGAACCTCTCACCTTCACCTCTGTCGTGGCACTTATCACTCACTACCGACATGAATCGCTGGCCCAATACAATGCCAAACTGGACACTATACTTCTTTACCCCTTGTCTAAATACCAACAGGTAAGTTCTTATAACTATGTGTACAGTCTACTGCGAATAACTTGATATTTCCTTCTTAAACATTTAATCATATATTTATTGCTAATATTAGGATCAGATTGTGAAGGAGGACAGCATCGAGGCTGTTGGAGAGCAGCTCAAGGTTTATCACCAACAGTACAGACAAAAGAGCCGAACTTTTGATTGCCTGTATGAGGAATACACCAAAACAACTCAGGTAGTAACTCGCTTTGTACACTCTTGGAAGTTGACAATTTGTAAGTTGGTGTCTTTAACTCTTCCTCTATCCTGATATCATCCCAGGAGTTGCAAATGAAACGCACAGCTATTGAGGCCTTTAAAGAAACCATCAAGATCTTTGAAGAACAGTCCCAGACACAAGAAAGATGCAGCAAAGATTACATTGAAAAGTGCCGCAGAGATGGAAACAGCAACGAGATTGAAAGGTGAGGAGAAAAGGCTCGGTGATCTACATTTCATCTATATTTTGTATCAGCGCTAGTATTAAAATAGAATACTTTAAAAAGTGCAAGTGTGTATCAAAAATTAGCTGCTAATCCACTTAAGTGCAACCTTCAGTAAAACACCCAAAAATAGAAACACAGAAAATATATATACAGGGGAGCGCTTATTAAGGTGATCTACTACATAAGGAAAAAAATCCACTTTATACCTTATACTTTAAGAATTCTCAGATCTCCCCGTTTACTTAGAGTGGGAGATATAGTAAAAATTTGATATGGGGATCGAGGGGTCGAGGCACTCAGTTAAAATAAGAAAACTAAATAAATAGATTTTTATTTCTTTTTAAATTAACCCCTCTCCTCCCTCCCCATGTACTTATCGACCGCTGTCGTTCCCCCGCCGGCGATCTGTCTTCTTCTGAAGGGGGCTTACTTTCACCCAGTAAAGTTACCTCATAGGATTACCTGGGAAGATACCAAGAAGGGAAAGGGTTGCCTGCACGCACCCTACAGCACACCAAACCAGAGCTAGGTGCATTAGCTCTGAAATGTGTCAGTGTTCCTTTGTGATTATTTATATATAAAAACCAGATAAAATTTTGTATCTTGTAATACCTTTTTTATTGGACTACCAGAATTTTTTTATGGCAATCTTTCGGGAGAACCTCCCTTTCTCAAGTCTAAAGCATTTCTGAGCAAGACGACACATAGAATTCAAAGTTGAGTTGTGATACAGGGGTTAAAGCGACATTGAGTGCATATAAGACACAGGTTGATAGAAAGTAATTATTTCGTTTTTACTCTTCCCTTCTAGCACCATCTTCTACACTGTTTGCGTGTTTTATTTTGTTTTTCTCTCCCCCTCACTTTGTGATCTTCACATAAGATATTTACGACCCTCTGCGAGAATGGTGTCTATTTTCTATCAAACCTGTGTCTTTTCTATAAATAGATATGGATACGGATATGAAGTAATATAGACCAGATTGTGGATGACAGATCAATTATTACATATTTTTTTAACTGGATAACTTGCAGATGAGTTAGTGCTGAATGGTGAGCAGCTTTTTACTTGGCTCATGTGGCATCAATCTACGTCAGTGGTAGTCAGCCTATCTCTACCTACCGCCCACTAATGCATCTTTCTTGATGGAAAAATTTCCTTACTGCCCACCAGTTTTCACGCAAGTGCGGAATATTTTTTATAAAGGAGGGTGTTTTAAAAAAAAATAAATGTACGTACATTTATCTTTTTATTTCTACTTAATGCATGTTTATAATGTTTTTAACTTTATAAAGTTTAATGAGAAAACAATAAAGTAAATTGAAATTGACGGGCGTGGCCAACTGCCGAAGCAAGCAGTCGCATGGAGTGAGAGCTCCGAGCTTCGGATGACATAAACGCCAACAACTCCTATCATACACAGCCCCACAAGAGGCAAATAAGCCCAGGAACGAGACTGCAATCATGGCCCCAGCCAAGCAAACTAAACTGACGGATCAAATTCGATCCGCGAGGAAGGACCGCATGCGGCCTTCACAAGATGGCGACGACGGACCAGCCTGCTCGCAACTAACTGAAGGCACACCTGAGCCAGAAGGGGAAACCTGTCCATACACGGACGCCCCAGTGATGGAAAAACGGCTGTATCTTATGCTACAGGACTTTCGGGTCACTCTTCAGTCTGACCTTAAAAAAGCGACTAGTGAAATAAAAAGAGAAATATCTGATCTGGGTGAGCGCACAAACCAGCTTGAGGCCCGCACAGACGACCTCTGCAGTGAGCAGAATGAGCTGGCAAGTACAGTACAGCATCTAATGGAGGAACAACTACAGCTCAAACGCAAACTGGCGGACTTGGAGGATAGGTCCCGCAGAAACAATGTCAGATTCCGCGGGATACCAGAAAAAGTGGGCCTAGAGGAACTGCCCTCATTTCTCAAAGGGCTTTGCACCACCCTACAGCCTGATATAGCCGACGAAACATGGCTACTGGACTGTGCTCACCGACTACCACGACCACCGAGGCTGGCGCCAGATACGCCTCGTGATGTGATTGCAAGGTTTCACTATTTCACCTCAAAGAATGCTCTGCTGACTGCATCACGTAACCTGGACAAGCTACCAGAACCGTACACCAACATTAACATATATGCGGACCTATCAGCCCTAACAATGGCCAGGAGAAGAGAGTTTATAACGGTGACAAAAACCTTAAGGAACCACAACATCCAATACAGATGGGGATATCCGACGAAAATCATAATATGGAGGAACAACAAGAATCACACGGTTAATGAACCAGAAGTAGGCATGCGCCTAATACGGGAATGGGGACTGTTCCCGACACAAACGACGGTAGCGGCCGCTACTGCACCACAACGAAGAATGCAAGCAGAATGGCACATGGCGGGATCGCCGACTAAAGCATAAAAGACTCTGTTCCAGGGACTCTTTCCTCACCCAGCATATGCTATGCTGACCTACCTCACGTAACTATGACATATGCAATTTGACACACATGGCATTAGGAACATGCACATGGCTCATGTAATGCCAGACAACGTGCTGTAACTGGCTGATTGTGGCTGGCACGGGAGGAGGGGGGAGCCCCTGGGACTGTATGTATGACAATATGTATATCTGGGCACTACGCAGTGGTTATGCAAGGGCTGTGTACCCTTAATTAGCATATAAGTCATCCTCACCCCCGCTCTTAACACCGAGCGCACCCCCACGGATGAGCGCAGATACTAGCACCAAGGGCTGGTCTGTGTCTCAACCGGAGAAGGCGCCAATCGTCCTGAGGGCGCTGTGTAAATACTTTAGTTATGTTGTGAAAAGTTTACTTCTGTTATCCCTACCAAAGTTTCTATGTTCCCTTGTCACTCCACCCCCTCCTAGGAGACCTATACCACTGTCAAAGCAAACATGCTTTCCACGATTTAGCAATCTGTTACCCACACAATATGGATAATACCCTAAAAATTCTGTCCATGAATGTCAAGGGTCTCAACAGCCCGCATAAACGTAGGTTGTTATCACAGGAAATGTTCCGCTCCAGGGCGGCCATAGTGTGTCTCCAGGAAACTCACTTCACTATACGTAAACCACCCACCTTTAAGTTCAAACAATATAGTCAAGCTTATCACGCCATGGCTACAACTAAGTCCAAAGGGGTCTCAATATATTTTCACGGGGACTGGGTATTTACGCCAGCCAAACAATACGTCAGCAAAGATGGCAGGCTGCTAATATTAGTGGGCTCATTAAACGGCCTCCAATTGACAGTAGCCTCCCTGTATGCTCCAAATGATACGCAAAAAGAATTCCTGACCAAAGCGTTCCGCAAACTAGACCAATTCAAAACGGGACACACTATTGTATGTGGCGACTTTAATTGCACGCCTGACCCACACATAGACATGCAGCGGGTACAAAACCGACCTCCTAAACAAGTCTCTCTGTCCTTGAGCAGACACTTGACAAACCTGCTGCACACCTCTGACTACTATGACGTGTGGCGTAATTTATACCCGGGTATAAGAGATTATACATTTTATTCCTCAGTCCACATGACGTACTCCAGAATTGATCTCTGCCTCTTCGACAGGAGCACACTGTCACACGCTATAGACATGCACATTGGCCCCATAATATGGTCGGACCATGCCCCCTTGGAAATAATAATGAAAATACCACACCCGGCGAGGGGGAGAGGCACTTGGAGATTGAACGAGGCCCTACTAGACAACCCGCATCATTTTACGCACTTAAGAGACACAATAGAAGCATACTTTGAGGCTCATACACACTGTGAAACCACACTGGCAACACAATGGGTCGCACACAAGGTGGTTATGAGGGGGGAATTCATCAAGTTGGGAGCCAACACCAAAAGAGCAGCGGGCATAGAACACACAAAACTCATTCAAGAAATTACAGACACAGAACTCCGCCACAAGTCAAACCCATCTAAGCAAATCCACACACGGCTACAGACACTCAAGACCAAATTACGCGAACTACAACTACTAACGACTGAGAAGCAAATGCGATACCTGAAACAATCTCACTATACACTAGGGAATAAAGCAGGCAAACTGCTAGCTGGCCGCCTGAAACAAAAATACCTCCAATCCAAGATCCCCTACATATTCTCCAAAAGTGGTGACAAAATCTTTAACCCCCAAGACATAGTGAATACATTAGCGGATTACTATGCGTCCTTATACCAACTGCATGCAGACCCAGCAACACACCAACCTACTATAGCAGAAATAGACTCTTTCCTAGAAAAAGCCTCCCTTCCCTGCATATCTCCAGATTTGAGTGCATACTTGACCTGTCCCTTTACTGACGAAGAAATCAGGGAAGCCATTAAATCACTCCCAAAGCACAAATCCCCAGGTCCAGACGGCCTCTCCAATTACTACTATATCAAATACACAGACCAGTTAGCGCCCCACCTCCTAAAACTATTCAATGACATTAAACAGACAGGAAATATGCCCCGAGAAATGTTAGAAGCCTTTATTGTCACTTTGCCCAAACCTAACAAACCCTCAAATCAGTGTGCTAATCTGAGGCCGATATCCCTTCTTAATTCGGACACTAAATTATACGCTAAACTGCTAGCCACACGGGTCAAAAGGCTCTTCCCTACACTTATCTCCGCTGAGCAGGCGGGATTTGTGCCGGGTAAGCAAGTGGGTGACAACACCCGCCAATTTCTAGATCTCATCGACTGGGCGAACCAATCCTCTCAACAGGGCCTGGTGCTGGCGTTGGATGCCGAAAAGGCGTTTGACCGCTTGCACTGGGGATACATGGAACAAACCTTGGCCAAAATGGGGCTCCCACCAGCCTTCCTCAAAAGTATAATGGCCCTCTACCAATGCCCATCGGCAAAGGTCTTTAGTACCGGCTTTCTATCCGCACCCTTTACAATACATAATGGCACGCGACAGGGTTGTCCGCTGTCACCACTCATTTTTATCCTCTGTCTAGAACCCTTGACGAAACATATAAAAAATAATGCACAAATCTGTGGACTGTCGACACCAAGGGGTATGCAGAAGTTGGCTTTATTTGCCGATGACATACTCATGTTCATAACACAACCCACAAGCTCCATCCCTGCCCTTCTAGGTCTTCTTAGCGAGTATGGTAGGGTTTCCTACTATAAGAATAACACCACTAAAACGCAAGCACTACCAATCAACCTAACGCACCAAACGCAAACGCAGCTCTCCTCTGACTACACCTTTGACTGGCGTAAAACGTCTCTCACTTATTTGGGAATCAAACTGACGAAATCCCACCAAACCGTTCTTAAAGAAAACCACTACCCTGTCATAAACAAACTAAAATCGACCCTAGAACAATGGGAAAACCTAGAGATATCCTGGCTGGGCAGGGTAAATACGATTAAAATGATGGCTCTGCCCCATATTTTATATCTCTTCCGTACGATACCAATACCACTGCCCAACAAATTAATAAAATCAATGCAATCTGTTATCAATGCGCATGTCTGGAAACGAAAACCCCCGAGAGTGGCCCAACGAAACCTGAGCCTTACTTTCACCAAAGGGGGGCTGGGTCTCCCTGACATTAAGACGTACTATAGGGCATCGATTTTAGCACAGGGAGTACGCATACTGAGACTTCAAGACAGCTCCCCTAAGCCACTATGGCTTACACTGGAAGATGCCTACCTGCACCCACATAACACGACCCAAGCATTATGGGCCAGCGCCCCCACCAACTTTGATGGAACATACCTCCCACGGTGCTCCAGGTTTCTGCTGAGCTCATGGCGAACCTGGAGTCACCTAATATTAGACCCACATTTGCTCTTCAGGGAAGCTCCCCTAGGGATCCTGACCATGTTCTCTCCAGACCTACCCATGGCAAGCTGGATAACCAGGGGAATACATAGAGTTAAGGACCTACTAGAGGGAAACGAACTAAAACTGTTCCCTGATCTCCAGAGGGAATTCTCCCTGGCCCAAAGGGATGTGTTCCTCTACCTTAGAACGAAAAACATACTGTTACCACACATACGCAAACCTAGTACAGGATCCATGAAACCACCCCTACCACTCAATAGGGCTCTCACCGCTAAGCTTGGAAAACCTCTATCCATGTGCTACAACGCTCTATTGGAGCCAAAACCCGGTGAGAAAAGATCCTACATGAAGCAATGGGAAGGGGAACTGGGTTACCAACTAACTCTGGCACAATGGTACGAAGCACTATCCAACACAAAGGGCGCCTCCAAAAGCCTCTCGCTGTGGGAAGCATATTGCAAAATAGCCATGAGATGGTACCTAGTCCCACATAGATTAGCAAAGATTTACAAGGGCACATCTGGGCTCTGCTGGCGCTGTGAGGGGGGAGCGGGTACCATGCTACACATGTTCTGGGACTGTCACGCACTAGGTGCATACTGGACACAGATCCAAAACCTTATTTTGAACACTACAGGTCTCCTAATTAATTTGCGTCCAGAACATTACCTGCTACACATGATTCCTGATCTGTCATCACACCCCCACAAGGTAGTACTGATAAACATCCTCACAGTAGCAAAAATCCTGCTAGCACAACACTGGAAAAGCCAGACAATACCTACCATGGCTACACTCACGGAAAGAGTGGATGTCATAAGCTCCTACGAGAAGATGGCGAGTAGAGTACAGGGACAGGAAAGAAAGTACGCTGGGAAATGGGCAAGTTGGAACCTTAGGACATGAGTATCTCCCCATGTAGAGCACTCACCTCAGATAATACTGGCCTCACAGCTGAAAACTAAAATAATGGGAAGCAAAACTGGGAATCTTAGATCTCCCCACCCGAATTACGGTCTCCCCCATTCCCCCCCCCCCTGTGTTTCCATTCCCCCTCCCCTTATAAAAGGCCAATCACTCCAAACGACAAACTGATCACTACATGGTCTTGCAGTCAACGCATCTCTAGAGGCAATTAATGTGCCCATATCACAATGCAAGTAGAGAAACGAATGTATCACAAGCTGTACAAAGTATCCTTTGTAAACAATGAACCAAAATGACGGCATGTATATATGTAATGTAACAATGCACATACCTGTTGAAAGTATCTGACTGCAACGTAATCTGTTTCATGCTGTTGGCAAAAATAAAAACTAAATATGGAAAAAAAGTAAATTGAAATTACCTTTACTAGTGATTAATGAGATCCTTGAGGTTGATGCTGTGAGACTAACTATTTGATATCTGGTTCGATTTTCGGAAGGAACAAACAAAGGTCTAATCTTTTGGTGATATTCAGACGACTTCTCTGTTTGCGCATAAAATGATTTCTCATCTGTGCGTCAGCTCCCCTCCTCTCCCTCCTCAATTCCCCTCCCCACCTTTTTTTTTTTTTTAAACCTTCCTTATAGCAGTGCCCAGTAGGAAGGCTGAGCTAGGTAGCCCACTTACTATTACTTACTATAGACCACTATAACAGACAGGCACACATACATACAGACAGACACATACACACACACAGACATGCACACATACATACAAAGATACATACATACAAACTCACATACACACAGACAGACACAAGACACACATACATACAAAGACATAGAAAGGGTCCCTTTCTTAATACACACACATACAAAGACACACATACACACAAAATATTTTAGTCACTCTCCTGTTTACTACTTTTTAGGTGCAGGGTGACATTCCCTGGGGTCCAGTGGTGGCTCAGGTGGATGGGTGTCAGAGTTCCCACTCTGACTCCCTCTGCTTCCTCCCGCGTGGTCTGTGTGTTAGCTGGGAGGAGTGACATGCAGTCACTTCCTCCCAGCTCTGTGATGTAATCACAGGGGGCCCGGTCGCGCTGTTAAAGCGCCCAGCGCTGACTGGGCCCCCTTACAATCCACCTCCATCGGGTGGCCCTGACAGCATGGGCCACCTGATGGACCCCTTGGACAGCGGTGCGCGGGCCGGGGCCGCAAATGGTGATGACGGTACCCAGTCGCAGGGGTACTGCTGGCTCGCACCTGCCCGCTCAATCTCTCGAAATGAGGAAATTCCTACCGCCCACCTGGAATCCTGAAACGTCCACCAGTGGGCAGTAGGGACCAGGTTGACGACCCATGATCTACGTAGTTCATTTGAACTGCACAACTTGTTAGTCCTACTGCCCCCAGTGGTAAAATACTACACACGTTCATTCTTAGGCTAGTGGAACATTATTATTTTTTAGAATACACTGTATGACATATGCTGCGTCATTTTATTTTTATATATATATATATATATAAAACATAAAAAATACACAATCCAGCACACTTGCTTATTCACTAAACAATGTTTTTAAATCTTACAGTTTGTAATAGTTTTATTTAAAAACACCTCACCTTGGCAAAAAATAATCGGCGTTTAGTTACATTATATGATCATATATTGCATAAGCCTGCCACAACGTCAATGTACCCCATTCTTGGCAGGTCACATCGCAGGGACATCGGCGCTGGGTGGACACTCCGCCCCCTCCTAAATTCTGCAACGAGCAGGTGCTAATGTGCAAGTGCAGTAAATGCCGCACACATTAGACCTTCCCATAGGAAAATATTGAATCAATGCTTTCCTATGGGGAAAAATCTGAGCCTGCATGTCCTCATGCAGAGTATGAGGACGTCCAGCGTCAGATACCGGACCCAAGGTCCGTTTTGTTCCTGGAAGCTCTTCCAGTGGTTGTCTGGGAGACAGCCACTGGAGGCAGACTTAGTGCTGCAATGTATACATTGCAGTTTCTCTGGAACTGCAGTGTTGTACATTGCAGCACTAATTGCAAAAGGGACACTGCACCCAGGCCACTTCAATAAACTGAAGTGGTCTGGGTGCCGATAGTGTCCCTTTAATTCTGATCAAAATCCATTCGCAGTCCTAAACTTTCAAGGATCCTTCACTGTAGCCTGCAGACACTCATTCTTGTTCTGTTCTCAGCTTTTTGGCAAATATTTCACATTTTGACTCATCAGTTCAAAGCACCTGCTGCCATTTTTTGGCACCCTTGTTACTGTGTTGTCGTGCATAATTGAGTCTCTTTACCTTGATTCCACATCGGAGGCACAGCTTATTGGCAGCAAGTCTTCCACACCACTTTTGACCACATTTATTCAGACAGTAGGTGAGTGAATTAGGATGCATTGGTTTCTGCTAATTCTGAGTGGACGACACTGCTGGACATCTTCTGATTAGGAAGGTAAGTAAACATGATCTGTTTTTCATCTGTTGAACCGTTTTCTTGACTGACCACTGTGTCTATGGTCATCAACACTGGACAGAACATCTGGAAACCCCTGTTTCACTGTAAAGGCTTTGCTGATACAGAATAACTACCTTGTGTCTTGTTGTTGTGCTAAGTCTAGCCATGGTGTATAACTTTTCATATGAAACAGTTTTCAGCAGCAACCTCACCTTGTTAGCAGTGTTTGTCTGATCCTCACCCAGTTTTACTCATCCAACAGTACTGTTTTTGCTTCAATTAATAATTGTGTTTCAAGCTACGTATTAAAGTGATGATCTTTAGCATCTGTTTGGTATAATTGTTCAGTCATGCACCTGACTATATCCCTAACTTTGTGCGAAAATTTATGCTGTTGTGAAGGCAAAGGCTGGTCACACTAAATATTGATTTGATTTTTTTCTTCTGTTAACTCACTACATTTTATTAATTGATAAAAAATAAAATATTTCTATTTTTGAAAGCATTCTTAACATCTACAAAACATTTGCACAGTAGTATGTGTGTGTATGTATATGTATATGTATATGTGTGTGTATGTATGTATATATATATATATATATAGATATTTAACATATTTTTTTGCATTTTAGTACACATTGGCAAATGCTTGGATTGCACTAGCTTATTCTTTCTAATGTCTGTTAGTAACATTTGCTTTTTGTTCTTGTCACATGGTCAGGATACGGCTGAATGCTGAGAAGCTCGCATCTCGGGTTAAAGAGATTCGTGACCGCAAAACTCAACTAGAGCAAGATTTATTAAAACAAGCCTCAGAGAATCGGGAGATTGACAAAATGATGAACAGCTTAAAACCTGACTTGATGCAACTACGCAAACTCAGAGACCAATACCTAGTGTACGTATTCCATTTGTGCGTCACTTTTGTTTTCATTCTTATCTAAATCTGTGTTTTCCTAGGCTAACCTTCCATGTTTATCCTTGCTATCATTTGTATATATAGTTTGTATTATCTTCTTGTTATTTCCTCCGTGGTGGTTACCTGTCTTTGTATCCACATGTTTCTCAGATTTTTACATCTGCGTCCAGTAACGTTCACTGTCTATCATTGATTGCCTGTTTAATGCTAAGATATGTTGTACACGTTATCAATGAAATACAAGCATTCTAGGATTTTAATCTAATCACGTTTTGTTCATACTCTTCATCTGCCAGTTTAGAATGCTGTAAAATATCCCCATTGTTTTTTATCTTATTTTTTTACATTCATTCTTGTTTTAAACAAGCACACTGCCAGTATTCATTGTTATTTCTCACAATTTAGCTGGCTCCATGGGAAAGGGGCTCGTCAGAAAGACATAAGCGAATGGCTAGACGTGAAGAATGAGCCTGAAGAGTGAGTATATTTACGTCCCACTTCAACTACTTTTATTATTTGCCCCTTTGCCAATGTGTTCTTTCATTTCTATAACTGCCTATAATTTAAGAAGTTATTGTTTACTGACACATGAAACTGATTTAAAGGGTCCACATCTATATGGTGACAAACAACTATGTGTACTCAAGTTTAACTTATATCTGTACTATATCTGTATTGTTTTTCATCAATAATTACTGAGGTACGACAGCCTGAATAGGAAACATAAAGGAAAATGGAGATTGAAATGCATGACTAATGAGAGTATTTAGAAAATTGGGCAGACTAGATGGGCCAAATGGTTCTTATCTGCTGTCACATTTTATAAGTTACATAAAGTAGATCATATTTTGTATTAAACTTTAGATACTTTTTTTTTTAGTATTTCCCCATGTACAGATCAAGTGCCATAATTAATCTTGTTGCCTTTTTGGAAAACTTTGGCCTGTTTATCACTAACAGGGTTGTTTACTAAAGTGAGAATTCAGGGTGAATTCAAATGAAATGTCAAAATAGTTCAACGGGAAACATTCTCCATCAGCTATGCTTTAAGTTCGGCTGCTCTGTCCTTAAATTTGAAATTTACTTTGCATTTTCACATTTCTAAATAACCCTGCAAACGTTGTTTTGAATGCCAGTTGAATTATTTTCAATATGCAGTAATGAAATACCTTAGGATTTCACTACAAGTTAAATGACACAATAAATGTCCATTATAACAAGCACTTACTGTGGTTTCACTGAACACATGAACTGTCTACAAGTTCATGTGAGGAATGAAAGCATGGAAATTGGACTCTTAAAGTATTACAGTGGTAGGATAGTCATATTTAATGATGAAGGGAAGATGTTGGTGGTCAAAATCATACAAAATAGTGTACATTAAATATAGAATAAGTCCAAATTTAAGCACATCAATGTGGTAATGATAAAGAAACAAGGCTGTGTTGTTCTTCAAATATCAGGTAATGCGGAAGGTGAAAACCACCAAAATGGTGGGTTTAACACTCTAAGGTCAGGAATACATGTTTTTGTTCCTTTAAGTGTCCCATACCTCTACTTGGAAGAAGGCAACACTTTTTTTTTTTTACCATTGTTCTTGTAGCCCATACTCTCTAATGGATGATGACGAGGACCTTCCACACCATGAGGAGCGCACCTGGTACATGGGGAAAATTGATCGTGAGCGGGCTGTAGAGATGCTTCACAAGAAGCCTGATGGTACATTCCTAATTCGAGAAAGCCGTAGGAACGGCTGCTACGCTTGCTCTGTGGTGTAAGTATAAGAAAACTGTTTACTATTTTTCTGTGACAACGGACCTCCCTCACTCATACTACCTATGTGGCACAGGTACATGGAGCATCTTCCACCATTACCAGTGTCAGGAGCATAGATGGTTATGAAGCCTGAAGGGTCCCTTTAATATTTCTGTGAGTCTACTGGCACTTTATTGCCCCATCTAGACAATTGTTTTCTCGTTGTCTTGTTGAAACCCAGCTCAGCTCAACTACTTATAGAACTAGCAGGGTTATTCACTAAACTGTGAATTGTCTAGAATTCCTAAAACCAAAATAGCCAAATTGGAAAGTCAAGTACGTTTTCAGTGTTACTATTTTGTCTTAACATTTGAAACCCACTTTGAGGTTCTGACCGTTTCTTTAATACCCTATATGTATTTCTTCTAGAGATAATGTTTTACTGGACCACTGCAGGCACCAAAAACTCTTCATGTCATTGCACATTCTTACTTTAAAATGTACAACTGCTTTCAAGTGCTAGAATACTGTAGTGGAGTCCCTCACATGCCGGTGTCTTCCTATCCGGTCTGTCTTCCTACCTGCCTACAAATGCAGAGGCAGCTCCACCACTGGCCAGACATAGCAAATAATGCTCCAGAAGTACTCTACATTTCTGAAGCATTATCACTATTGCTCAAGTAAATGATTCTGCATTTGCAAGCAGGCAGAGGAGCAGAAAACAGGCTAGCACCCAAAGAATAGCATTTCCGGTAAACAGTTAATAAACAGAAGAATACAACATAGATGTGTATGGAGGATTCCACTAGAGCGTGGGATCCTCCGTAGAGGTGTGTGTGTGTATATATATGTTTGTGTGTGTGTGTGTGTGTGTATATATATATATATATATATATATATATATATATATATATATGAAGTAGTCTGGGTGCCAGGTCGATCTAGGGTTAACCCTGCAGCTGTAAACATAGCAGTTTCAGAAAACTGCTATGTTTACATTAGGGTTAATCCAGCTTCTAGTGACTGTCTCATTGACAGCCGCTAGAGGCGCTTCTGCGCTTCTCACTGTGATTTTCAATGAGAAGACGCCAGCGTCCATAGGAAAGCAATGAGAAATGCTTTCCTATGGACTGACTACGCGCGCGGCTCTTGCCATGCATGCGCATTCAGTGGATGACGTCAGAAGAGGGAGAAGAGTCCACAGCGCCGAGGGAGCCCGGCGCTGGAGAAAGGTAAGAATTTAACCCCTTCCTCCCCCTTCAGCCCGGCGGGAGAAGGATCCTGAGGGTGGGGGGGGACCCAAACACCCTATAGTGCCATGAAAACAAGTTTGTTTTCCTGGCACTATAGTGGTCCTTTAATGAAATATTTGAAAAGACAATGTTGCAATTTAACAGAAATTCCAGTGTGGTCACAAGATTATATGTTCAAATATTTCATTAAGATGTTTGTAAAATATATATATATATGTGTGTGTGTATATGAAACAGGGGGGGGGCGGTTGGCTGCATTGCATTGTGTATATATATATATATATATATATGTATATATATATGATTTGGTGATAGTGCTGCTTTAAATAGTTTCATAGATTGGAGATTTAAAGCCTTTACCAGGTTAAATCACAACTTTTCTCTTACTGAAGTTTCCTAACAAAGTTTTCCCTACCACAATATAAACTTTTGGACTAGTACTCTCCAACATAGAACGTTATGTGGTTACATGTCTTTGGACAGACTATGGTTGACTGTTGATCAGCTTCAACACATGAAACAATTCAGTTTTGCAGGTTAATTTTATACTGAGATATTTAATTTGTCAGTAAATCTACCAGTAGTTAATCTGCCAGTAGATAATACAAATAGTTGGATAGTTAAGAATTATTATTATTTAGAAAACACCAACACATACCACAATGATACACACTGCACTTGAATATGGAGTGACGACAGTCTACTAAGTCATTCATAGTATAACTTAAATAAGTGGGGGGGTCGTTTTGGGTCTTTCTTTTAAAATAGTGATATAAGCCTTCTGTTTCCAAAATTTCTAGAGATCATTTGTGATAGAAGTAACTGTAATGAATGTTCACCTAAATTAACAACAAATTAGATTAGATTTATTTTATATATATATATATATATATATATATATATATATATATATATATATATATATATATATACACCAAAAGAGTTGTGGTGGGGAACAAAGTGTGGAACTTTTGCTATGTACTTCACAAGTAATGCCAAGCCTCCATAGCAAGCCAGTAACAAACCTCATGCTGATGAGTTGAAATAACAACGAAACAGCTGTCCATGAGATGTTCACTGGCTTTGCTCCTCTTCCTGAGTTGTGTTTCAAAGGTGGTGTATACAGAAGACACATACTCCAAGGAAACCATGTATAAAGTAGAATGTTGAGCTCATGAGTGAGCTCTGTTAAATCTGTTAAAATGAGTGAGCTCTGAGCTCTGTTAAAGTGAGATTTCTGAGGGAAAAGCAAGTATTATGGCTTGACTGGTGTATTTGTGTTAAGCAATATATTAACTATATACGCATTACACATCACACATTCACGTTCACTTTGTTCAATCTGTTTTTTTTTTTTCATTGCACTAACTGATTTGCTGGCTTGTTGTCTTTACAGGGTTGATGGCGATGTTAAACACTGCATGATCCTCAAAACGGCTACTGGATATGGCTTTGCCGAGCCCTACTATCTGTACTCCTCCTTAAAAGAGCTGGTCTTGCACTACCAACATACTTCACTAGTGCAGCACAACGATGCCCTCAATGTTACTTTGTCATTCCCTGTGTTACCACAACTATCTCGGTGAATTGCCCCAGTATGACTAGCAGCAGCGGCTGCTGTTTTCACGTGCCTGACCCACTGCCATGATGTTTTTTGCTACAGTTGGGAATGTATATTGCTATTCTGATTTCGAGATAATTTCACGGCCTTCATTAAATGTTATTGGTTCTGTGATTGGGACTTCAGAGTCCGGAAATATCAAGTGATTCGTATTGGCCTAAACAGTGGTCCATGTCTACATGTTTTTAATGCAGTCTGATGTGACTTCTAATGTACTGAAACATGAATACATTTCTCAGGCACTACAGCTGTCAATTGAACTTGTTCAGAAATATTTTTAGGCCCTTGGCAAATAGAGTATTTGTTATTGGTCAAAAAGGGTTTCATTTATGTTATGCAGCAACCATAGCTAATAGAGGTATTTATAAATTGTATATCTATTTTGCTTGTTACTTATGTTTCTGGTATCTATCTTCGCCTCACCTTTTAACTCTTTCAGTCTCAAGCATTAGATTACCTATATTCCCTTTATTCTAGCAGTAAAATCTATTTTACTGTCACATCTACCCACGGTAGCCTTTATATTGTTTAGGTTTTTGAGTGCCTTTCCTGTCTTTCTAATCCTGACCGTTTCAATACTTGTCCTTGGCCATGTCCTGTTTGATCTATGTAAAATACTAATCTAATCAAGCCAACTCTTTACCCCCTGTAGACCAACTGGCTGCCTTCTTTTTTATATATGATAGGCTTGTTTTTATTCTTCTTTATACTCGTCTCTTGCTTTTCTTTTTGTTAAGTGCATTGTTCTGTTTTTAGGCATATGCATGCCTATTAGTCTAGGAAAAGTAGCAATTTGAAGCCATGAGCTAAAATACTTGATGATGGAAAAATGTTTTATTAACTTTAGAGGATATCCTCTTCATTTCTGAGTTTTTAGGTGCTGCTTGAGTTTCCTGTATTTGAAAGGTAACTAAAATTAGTCCAGCTGGGAATGCTGGCTACACAACTCAAAAAAATTTAAAAGCACCCAAAAGGCTTCCACCAACCCTTTTTTTTTTTTTATTAGCACTAGGATATTAACCAGTTTGTGGTAAGACAGATGTCATCTGGTCATCATCAAACAACTCCATATTGTGCTACCCTTAAAGAAAGTTAAGAAAAAAAGATGGCAGAAACAAATGCAATATGCAAATCAGGATAGACACTGCTACTGTTTATTCACAAAAGTTAGAAATTGTGATTTTTCAAATATGACAAGGAAAAATAAAACCTAAAAATATAAATAATAGAAAGCACTGTTCAATCTCATATGTTTGCAGATTTCTACTAAAGACACACACAACACTTTTACTGTATATATATATATATATATATATATATATATATATATATATATATATATATATATATTAATTTAGGATAGATAACATACTACACATTTTCTAATTGTATTATTTAGGACATCTGATGCAACAAATGGACATTTTTAATACTGTTTATTGCAGAGAATGTTATTCTGACCAGATTGTTAGCCTTTGGGAGGACTCAGGTTGACTCCTAAAGGTCTCAGAGTGCATTGTTGAAAAGCCAGACCTATGCTTATTTTCAGGATAATCAAATTGACAACCAAGGAAAAACATAGCTTTAACCTTTACACTGTCATTTGCTTAATTGTAGTGCATTCCTGATTTTAAAAGCATGGTCCAAAGGAATACCATTTCAAAATGCAAACTTGATGACTGTTGTGATACTTTAGGTAACTTCCAATATTGAATATGGCTGTTACTAAATAATATTATATACAGTATATTAGATCAGGGAACAGAATATGCACCTGCCCTAAGTTTGTTACATCTGTACCCACTGATGAAAAAGTACATTTTAAATTAAATCTCTTTTATTAAGAAATATAGTGACTGGTGAACATTTGTACAAAGTAAAGTAGATTTTTTTAAACTACACAAAGGTAAATAGAATTTTGTTTATTATTTTTTTAATTATTATTATATTATTTTTTTTCAAATATTCATTTACGCACTTGTTAACATTATATATGTATATGCACACTAACACGTGGATTTACACCGTGTAGGGCAGTGTTGAATTCAATTAAATTTACCTGTAAATCATGGTTGGCCTAATGAAATCACGTTCCTTTATTCAAATAAGTTTAGAGGTTTTTCTCTAATAACCCAATTTTTAACAGATTGACGTTTCTTTGTGATATTTTGTGTAAAAAAAAATACTTCTAACCTCAAAAGTTTTTATGCCAAATCGAAGGCAATCTTTTGACCCCTGCTGCATGGTATAGTATTAACACGAACGTCTGGTTTTATAATCTTAACCACCAAGTAATGTTAAACACCATAGAGTCTTGCTGCATTTGCCGTTGATAGACTAGGTACTAGACTTGTGCACAAATGCTTTTCCGTTTGGTCAAACAAATGAACACATTAAATTATTTTTAATGTAACCCAAAGAAATTGATCTGTCTGGGATTTACCTGTGGAGTTATATTCAATGATAACGTGCCCTCATATTTCACCACAGTGTACTTTCAATGAACTCCAGTTGTTTGATTTGGCAAGCTCTCCGTTAACACATATCTGAGACATTGATCAGTTGGCAGTGTTATCTACCCCAAAGACAATTGTAAAGTATACCAGGAAAAGGAAGTCATACTTTCTCACAACTATCCATCCTTTTAAAGTACTTTTTTTTGTTTGTTTAGTACTTTTTAGTACTTTTTGTGCCCACTTTATATGTATATTTTTCTTGTTCTGAATGGCAAACATTATAATTCATCATTTGCCTACACTACAGATTGATTTGCAAGTACTCATTTGCCATTATGTTGCAATGTTATGTAGACATTTTAGTTATATTTGTACTAATCTTTTTAACCTATATCCTCAAGTTCTTTTCTGTGATTACTTGAGAAATCTTCAGATAAGCTATTTTAGCAAATACTTAGCAACAATGGATTATTGGTCTCTTAAAGTTTACAAGGTAAACTTGCACTAACTTAATACATGTTGAACAATGGTTACATAATGTCCAAGTTGTATCAAAAATATTTTGGAGCAAATCCCATTGGTTTTATTAAAAAATAAATAAAATAAAAATCTTTTCATTGCTACCAATACCCTAAGCACTTAATATACTGCAAAGTTTAGATAAAAGATACTAAGCAGTATGCCCACATCATTATTTTTGTGCTAGACCATTGCACAACATGGTCTATATGTTAACCATTTTCATGGTTCCTTTAAATTCATTAGAAGTGTCCTTAATGCTTATTGAGTTGGAAACTCTCAATTTAAATCCTATCGCATACTGTAAATATGAACTATTCCTTGGCATGTCTCGGAATAAACATTAATTAAATGTTCTTGTTTAGAATAAAACTTCAAAGAACAAAAATAAAATGTAAACTTGTTGAATCCTACCTAGTGCAACTTAGAGAGATATAAACATTGTTAGTATGATTAATCATCTTTTTTATATATACTGCATTATGCTTTTTTTTTTTTCTTCAAATAAAGATTTTCTTGCGCTTGAATGGGCAGTAGGAAAAAAGAAATGCTAACTGTGAAAAAATTATTGTGCATTTTTTTTAATGTATATTTTTAGCTACCGTTTATCCACTAGAATAATAGGTGTTGAGAGGTTCTTCCCTCGTTTTTACATGTTTGTGTGCAAATCATGCATTTTAAGACACCCCACGCCTATGGTAGTTATGTAAAATAAGCTGGTTTTAAATTGTTACACATTTTATTCTGCTGTTATTATGACACAAACTGTTTGATTCAGGTGACATTACTGCTCAACCTTTTTGTATTTTGTTATTTTCTCTTTTATATGCAATAATGTTAAGCATTGCTTGTAATGACATAGCCTTTTTCCTGTTTATTTTATGCAGTTTCTGTTTAAGGAGAATATGTTTACTAATGTAAACCCCAGTGTATGTTTCCAAGCTGGTACTCTAAAATTAAATTTTGTATGGTACTTAAATAAAATGGGGGAAAAACTGTGCTGTGCATTTACTGTAATAGAGTGTGTGTGTATATATATATATATATATATATATATATATATATATATATATATATATATTTTTACAGGATTTCTTTTTATGGTTATTGTGAATGTGTTTTGAAGGCATGGTTTGGTGGAATGACTGGTAGGTAGTCCATTACTAATTAATATTTACTTATGTAATGTAGCATTAGAACAAATACTTATTTCATTTTGGAGTTTTCCATTTGGGTATACATTTAAAAAAAATTGTAGGGATAATTCATATTTACAAAGTTAGCTGTATTTTCATATTAAACATCGTAAGAGTTTGATTACTAAATTATAGCTGCATAGTATTTTTTTGATAAAAAAAAATTGAGATTGCACATAACATAAGATGGACATAACTTTGGCAAGGAATTTCTAATTTTACTGAAATTTGTCATTTTGCTCAGCCGAACAATCAGGACAGAGCTAAAATATTTTACATGGTCTGAAAGTAGTTTTTGAGGTATTTTAGAATTTGGGGTGTTTGGAATTGCAAATATCAGACCATTAACATTGGAGGTTAAGCCATGTATAAAGGCACAATATGTTCCCAGATCTCTGAGATTTGACAGTGTGATTGATCTTATTGCAAGCTAGTTCTCTTTCAATAGGTGCATGTGTACCTTTTTTCGTTTTTGAGAGATCGATCCTGACTGCTGGTCAGTGGGTGTCTGAGCTGGGTAATTACACATAGGTCATACTGTCTCCGCATCTGCTTATAACTCCCTAGTGTGTGCTCTTCCTTGGGAGGCATCCTACCTGTATAAGAGAGTACACTAATTGTCCTGAATTAGACAGGACCACCCCAATTTCAGGCTCCAGTTCCGCTGTTCTGATTGCATCATTAGACTTACTTGCACTCTGCTGAGCGCACGAGGTCCATACGAGGACATTTCAGTAGCGCTCTCTACATGGGTTGTCCTGAATGAGGCTGATTATTGAGACTGTCAGTCTGGT